GACTTTTTATAAAATCATTTACCAAATTTATTATATAGCCCCTAAGCATTTGCAGAGACATGTAATACCAGCACGGTATATCTTGATGCGGAATACTCGAGCAGATGAATAGGGCGGTCTGGCCCAATTTCGTGGCCAGCCCTTCACGTGACTTAAATTCACTCGATTTTTTTTACTGAGAAGCGGTGAAAGAAAAACTTTACCCAAAGTCAATCGAAAATTTAGCTGACCTAGGGGACAAAATAACGGCAGCAGCTAAATTTGTTAATAACGGAAGATTCGCCCGTCTGATAACCCGATGATTTTTGAAAGGCAGTTTAAACATTTATTGGGAATTTAATAAATACTTTCATGGATTAATAAAATGACGATACTATCCGTCTTGCACTCACTACGTAGAATAACACTCTCCGTCTAAGAAAAAATTGAAATTTGTAGTAATGGGAATTAACAGATTATCAGATGGTGTAGATTTTTCAGATTTTTTTAAAGCCTATAATTTTGAAAAGTACACGATTTTTTTATATTTTTCTATATACTATTACGACTTGACCTATCCCCGTTTCCGGCTTGACGTCGATATCTGAAACGTCCTGTATAGCATCAGAGCGGCCCATTATTATCAGGCAAATCCAGCGATACTGCAAATGTTTTTGCTTCAATTTCATCTTCCCTTTTATCTAACTGTATGTATATAAAATTTCATTCAGATAAAATCATTTTTACTGTAAGTTCTATTTTCTCTTTCACCGAGGATATTATATGCCCTATGCCAAATGAAATATCCCACTACCCACTACCCGGAACGACAATAAAAAATATGAAATCACAAACCCATCTGAAACGGCGCAGATGTAAATGATGCTAATAATACTTTTACATTAAAAAACTCAGTATCAGATAAATAGTCAGGTCTTATCTCAAGTGGATATATTCGAGAGGGTTAGATACGCTAAACAGTATAAGTATCATGTTTTTTTAATCATTGGAGAAACTGTACTTAACCATTGAATAACCCCACTTCAGTTGTTCATGGAATAAAACTAAATGAAGTGAAAAGAAGAAAATACTACGTTGTATATCTGTTACCGGCATTCTGTATAATCCGGTATTCTATACAATATCTAGCTGATGTATAGAATACCTAAAACGTTGGTACTTTGCCTAGGTATTCTATACAATACCGAATGCGCAGCCGGTAATGTATGTAAAAGACAAGAACAAGGAAGATTTTGTGCACTTCAAAATGTCACAATAGTTCCTCATGTAAAAATAAATAATTTTTTCACGTATGTACTTAATTAAAATTTTGACTATGCAGTAAACCTACTTATTTTCAGAGGATGTTTTGTTTCTTAAGTTTTTTATACGTATTACGTACGTACTTGTAAGCAAAGAAAATTATTATGTTACTTATAGCCAGAATAATGTTTAGTTCCACGTTAATTTTACTGTGATTTTTACTGTAGCAACAGAAAGGTGCTTTTTTGTACCATTCTCATAAAGCTTATTTTTAAGGAGCACTTTAAGTGTTAATTTTAATAAAGTTGATTTTAAATAACATGACTTGTTTCATTTGCCCGTCATTTTCTAGGTATGCCGGTGAACATTGTTAAATTTAGACCAAGATATATTTATTTTACACATTTCCGGTGGATCAGCAGGTACTCTATACAATCCCTAAGAATTGTATTCATTAGCTAGGTAAAGATTGTAATGGATAATAATACTCATAATATTTCATACAGTGCCTGGGAAACCCAGGTATTCTATATATTGCCTAGGTATTTTATAGAATACCTGAACTATACAGACTACCGGTAACATATTTACAATAACTTTACAACAGTTTAGTCCAAAGACAAACGCGAGTGGTTCAGTATTATGAGAGTTTGCTTTATTTTTTTGACATAAGCTTTTAAGAGTTCACTAAGGGGCTGAAGTAAAAACGATATCTAGAATAAACTATAGCTTATCTGTTGAATGTATGATTAGACTGAGAACAAGCCAAGCCGGCATAAGAATCCCTAGTTTCGTATTTTGTTTCAGCCTCTCAGTGCACAACCAATGGCTTCAAATTTGCATGTTTACCAAATATACAGGGGCGCCATCTTTTATGTCGGTATTGAAACAACATCGCATGGCTTTGATATTTACCAACCGAGTACAATACTACAATTTTAACCATGAATCGCTTTAAATCGAAACAACCCTAGACCAACTTATAAAAGTCAAAGATCAGGCGCTAATAGGAAGATTAGCATAGAGCAACATTCCCCTGGTGCCGATTCTCTAGATAGTACCTGTTTAAGTTTCAGGTGAGAAATTAGTGAAAAATGTAATTAGTTTATCGTAGTTTGACCTGTATAGTAATTTATTCTGAAGCTATAAACTCTGTTACTGCTACTGCTGAAATATCATCTATCTTAACTTCTAAGGTAGCCATCGTATAAGCGTTGAAACATGTCAGATGTCACAACAGCCTTCTCCAAAAGTCTTGTATATATATATATATATATATATATATAGGGAAAACCAAATTTATCTGAAGGCTCGAGTTCAATGTGTACGAGAGAGAAGCGCGAGAAGTGTGTATCAACACATGAGCGAAGGAATCTGCCGCGTTGCCAATATATTACACCAGAAAATGTTCGCATAGGCTTCTACAATAGGTTAGGTTACTGTCAAACCCAAGAAGGAGGTCTGTTCAAACATTTACTTTAATATTTTGCTTTCATTTTGATTAGATTAGAATTTTGATGCGACTTAGTGTTTTAATTTACTTTAGGATTATCTTTGATTTCCACCGATGGTGATTAAAACAACACATCATGAGCTATTGTTGCATTTTGCGACAGTGAGCAGTCGGGTATTGTAACAAATACCATTACGCAATACAAAGTATCACTGCATGCGTGTACGCAGGTGAAAACCATTACGCAGCAGGACGACACTCCCCAATGAGTGCTAGATGGGTGCTGACCAAAATCGCTCATCTATGCTCATAGAGGTGGAAACCTTGCCTTGGACTGTACAAGAAGTGATGATGCCAAGCGAACCAATGATGCAATGTTGCATAATTTGTGGCGATTCTGACCTTTCATTTCTACCTAAAATTGAGTTCCGTAAGGATTGATCCGGAAACGATTCTAAACACACAATTCACAATTCAAAAATGTGTACGCTCAAAATAAAACCATTATTTGGGCGTAGAGAATAAACTAACGCATATTTTCAACATCCATCTTAATTCAAGGAATTGGTGTAACATATTGGCAACGCGGTGATGAGCTGCGCTATCCAGCCGGCTTTTATCTCTTTCATACACATTGAACTCAAGCCGTCAGACAAATTTGGTATTTAGTGTATATATACGCTTGCCGAATTTTTCAACAGAAAGTATAATGAGCGTTAGTTACCATGTGTCAATTTCATCTTGCTAACTCGATTCGTACAAAAAATGAAAAGCACTGTATAAATGTAGTATAAATTTGTAGCTTGCCCCCAGTATTAAATATGTCATCTCATTTTAGCGTAAACATAAATTTGTTCAAAGGGAATGAGAATCATCATGTGACGATACCTTATTTTGAAGCTTCTCATGAGTATTTTATCACCCTAGAAAATAGTCGTTCTGAACGTAAAATAAAATATGTTAAAAAAGTGGCAGATTTTGAACATTTTTATTTAGTGGTATATTCAATATTCTCATAGCCGTTTTCCAGTGCCTCATTTGAGTTACTCGGAGTAACTCGGTGCTGCCCATCACCTGTCAATACCGTTCCACTGCTCGAAAGTGTCATGCAACTGAGCTACTCTTTTTTGAAATCACCTGCCCCCTCATGCACTAGCTTTTTATTCGGTGTTATATGCTCCGAAATAGTGGGGATAACTAAAACTGTGTCAAGATTGTTAGGTTATGTTTTTTCATCCTTATTGCTTTTTTTGCATTAAACTCACATGCAACTGATACCAGACGATGGAGGATGGTAAAAAACTGATGTTATGACCCAGAGTCACAACGTACATTTGAGATGTTCCTGAATAATAAAGATCACGAGAGAGCGCAAGAAGGCAAGTTCATAGCGGCTTGTAGCCGGCTTCATCTATAACTAGACAATTTGAAAATAATTTTGAATGTCTATATTAAAATATGAATTCGACACATCTACGCAGAAGCTTTAAGCATCCTACAAACCAGCGCGAAATATTCGCTTTGGCTGCGAAAATTTCGCGGCGATGAATTCGCGATCAGATTAAAACGCGGCGGTTTACGGACAGGCTCAGACTTGTGCGAAGCGAATGCGATTGTTCCAGCGTTTTTATCGCGGCGTATTTCAGTTCGCCTTTGACCGCGTTTTTGACGCCGTTCTTCAAAAATTCGCAATGGCAAAAACGGAATTATTGATAGAAATAGTGAAAAAGTATCCTTGTTTGTATGATTTGTCGAACGATGAATACAGGAATGTGAGAAAGAAAGACAAGATTTGGATGGAAATAGGAAAAGAATTAAATACAAATGGTATGTACCTAATATTTTTTATTAACTTGTTAAATAATTTACAGTCTACAAAAAATGTGAAAACGAACATTCTATATATTGGGCATAGGCATATCAGAATTAAAATAATTTACGAATTTGTCACGAGTAGAAAATGCTAGCCTTGCTGCCCGCCGAGGATCATTTGCTATATCAGTAAAAGCTCCAAGCACGGGTTCTGGGGGATCTAAGAATTGAAAATATTTGTCATCGCCACTTTTACTTCGTAAAAAATTATGTAAAACACATGCCGTACGTACAATTAGAATAGTAGTATCTACTTTAGTTTCTAATGGCCTGTAAAATATTCGCCATTTTTGAGACAAAATACCAAACGCATTTTCCACGACCCTTCTAGCTCGACAAAGTCTTACATTGTATTTCTCTTTTCTGGCGTCTGTTAAAGTCTGCTTATAAGGAAATGGTCTCATAAGGTATGGTTTTAAAGCAAATGCTTCATCACCAATTAAGACGTACGAGCAGATTTCATTTTGTCCAGGAGAAATCTAGGTGCAGGGACACTCATTAAATTTTGTTCAAATCGTTTTCCCATGTTTGAGGTTTCGAAAATACCCCCATCACTATTTTTTCCGAAACCACCAATATCAACACATATAAATTTATAGTCCGGGCCAACAATGGCCATAAGTACTATTGAATATTTATGTAAATAGCACCAGTAATTGGAGCCACTGTTGTTAGGTCTCTTGATTGTTACATGTTTACCGTCCACGCTGCCAATGCAATTGGGAAATCCCCATCTATTTTCAAATTCTTCAGCACATTTTTTCCATATATTCTCTGTTGGTTCTGGTAAATATATATGCTCCATATGTCTGCATATCGCTTCACAGACTTCGGTTACGATTGCACTCACTGTTGTAAAGCCAACTCGAAAGCTATGCCGAATGGTATAGAAGGTGTCACCAGTGGCAAGGAATCTATAAAAAAAATCGTTTTTAGGTGATGAAGTAAAAAAAAGGTGGAAGAATATCAGAGACACATTTGCAAAATATATAAAATCTACCAAACCAAAGACCGGCCAAGCAGTGGGCAACATAAAAAAATGGCAGTGGGCTGACTACATGGAATTTCTCCGTCCTCCGTCGTCTAATGTGAAAGATATTGACGTCATACATTATGAGACTGCCGAATTTAACTCAAATATATATCAGGAAAGGGCTGGAAATGTAGAAACCGAAAATTTGGAAGACCGCGGCCATGAAGAAGATGAAAATGCTGATGTAAATGCAGAAGATGCACAGAACGCCTCGGCAACACAGACAGCACCACCTTCTTCATTGAACACTACAGCAGTGACTACTCCAGGGCACACCTTTCCGCAGACTGCAACTACACCAAAGTATAAAACGAGCAGAAAACGCTATGAACCACCATCTTCGTCTGTACAACAGCTCATTCATTATTTTGAAGGTAAAAAACCTAAAAAAGAGAACGAGGCCATTGATTCACTTTTCTTGGCACATGCACAGACTGTGAAAACACTTCCCTTAAAGCGTCAAGCCCGAATAAAACTAAAAATAGCCGAATTAATAGCGCACGAAGAATTTGAACATATTGAAGAAATGTCTTCAGCGTCTACCCAGAATTCTGCAAGTATGTATGATAGTAGTATGTCGTCCTTCCCAAGCGGCACTGGGTTTACTCCAATAATATACCCAACAGAGGAGGCAAATTCTGCCTCGAATTATTTAGCAACATTTAATCCTAGTGGCAACATGTAGTCCAATTATTACAATAAAATATTTATTTCACGATCCCTGAAGTTTTCGTATTCGATAAGCCTACTAATTTTAATACATATAATTTTTTTACCTGAGTGTAATAGCAAGTCGTTCTTCTGGAGAAATAGCTTCACGATAATTTGTGTCAGATTTTCGTATTTCATCTTTCACCAAGTTCAATATTTCATCGAAACACTCTGGAGTCATTCTAAAATATACGTAAAAGCGCTGTTCATCCAGCCGAAGTTGTGGCATCAAGGTATGGTATTCCCCAAATTTATTTCGTTCCAAGTTAATATCATGTACCCACTTCCTTCGTTTCCTAAACAAAATTGAAAATATTTGTTTTATGTACTTCGTTAAACTTAATACATACCCAACTATCAAATGGCGTTAAATAAACATAACTTACCGTGCATTTTGTTCCTCTTCTAAAGCAAGAAATAGAAGTGCCTCCTCTTCTTCTGAAGACGAGCTCATTGCAAAAGGCAAAAATAAAATGTACGCAACCTGTCGAATGCTTGACGAAGACCGGAGAGTGGCATACTAACAGGTAGAGGAGACCTTACACCTTCATGCACAAGCAATTCATTGAATTCTGCATGACCGTTTACACGAAAGGAGTACCGCATAGTTTGACGGAAGAGTGGAAGACTCGTAGTACGACTTGGTCCCGAAAGATTCTGAAAATGTTTGATAAGGAGCAATCTCGGTATGTGAACAGCATCGTGACAGGTGACTTGGCTCTATTATTCCGATGTGCCCACCAAGGCTCAAAACAAAGTTTGGGTCTTTCATGATGAGGACACACCCGTAGCTGTCCCAAAATCCCGATCTGTTAAGAAAAAAAATGAAAGCTGTATTTTTCAAATCGAGCGGGATTGCCGGGCGTAACATTTTGGACACACAGAAGACAGTCACAGCTAAGTGGTATATGGAACAGTGCCTGCCTAAGGTCATAGAGTCTTTGAAAAACCTGCGACCAAAATCAAGAATGGATACTTGGTACCCCTGGTTTTGGCGGATGGAGAAGTGTATGATTGTAGTGGAAATTACTTTGAACGAAGTCAATAAATAAAGCTGTATTGCAAAACTTTTATAGTACCCATTTTGAACCATTTTTTTAATGGAAAGTGGGGTCGAATGAAACCTCGTTTTGAAACCCCTCATGAATAATCTATACTATAAAATCATTATATTATATTGGTGACCTGCAAGAGTAGTTCCGAAAATGCTCACTGATGTCGCAAATGATATAACCCCTATTGGTAACTTTATTCAACATTCCACGTGACAACTTTTTTTTAATAGTCCAGCCAGGGGTTGTCTGTTAATAAAGTCAAAAGCTACCATTTTCAGTGAGTACTAAGTCAAATTTATGATAATTATAATAAATCGAAAACATCTTGGTTTATTTGATTTTTCGTAAAAAAAATGTATTTAACGTTCAAAAATGGCGCCCAGCTGCCAATTTCAGCTTTCTAACGTGACCCGTTAAAACAAAGTAGGGGGACTTTCAAGAAAGCACTGTATGTAAGGCAGTTACAATCTATCGTGCTATACTATAGGGCTATAGGCGGTGGGCCGAAATATGAAGGATTACTATAAACTTCAGAAACAGTAAAATATCTTGACAACTAACGGGCCGATTTTCATTAAATTTTCAACAGGGGGATGGTAGATCGTTCCCGATCAGATGGTACTAACCGTGTTGTCACCACATTTAAAATTATTTCGGAAACTACTGTCAAAATTGAAGGATTTTTTCTTTTCTCTCACAGGATGAAATGCTTTTATTTATGGAATATTGCTCAGAAGGAACGCTAGAAAATTTAATAGCATCTACAGAAAAAGGCTTGCCTGAACTATTGGTTAGAAGATACACCTTTCAGTTGCTATGTGGAGTGGTGTGTTTGCACGATCATGGAATAGTCCATAGGTATTTATATTCCCCTTCCATTTAGAAAAATATCTATTTGCTTTTTATTTTAGGGATATTAAGACTGCGAACATATTTTTGACGAATGAAGGAAACTGTCTAAAAATTGGTGATTTTGGCTGTGCTGCAAAAATTAAGTCATCAACCACTATGCCAGGAGAACTACAAGGATTTGTTGGAACCCAAGGTAAGTTATTACTCAGTAATCACACAAATTATGAATCTTAGATAAACACAAAATAATTTACTTGTCTAGACAAGATCGAACATATGATCAGTTTCAATTATTAGTCCTCGATATGGTTATGGAACAAACAAATAAAATAGCTTGATAGAACCGGTTACAATAAATCATACATTTTCTAAATATCAGAAATGCACTAAATAATACTTTTTCCAAAATGCCAAATACCGGGTATTCGGTGAACTGATGTACTCTAGGTTATTTCAGCGACTGTTTGTGATATTAAGCTTATATACTCAGTGACATTAGGAGTGTTACATCCAGAAAAAATTTATTCAACTTGATTATTTGGCAACATAATGACTATATTAAAAGCATGCTTCGGCAACATTGTTAACGTTTTATCTCTCTTTTTGTTTATCTTTGTTAAAATGTTATCACTTAATTTTTGTGAAGAAAGCAGTTTCTGAGAGCTGAGTACTACAGATATTTTTAATTATTGCACTTTCATTTACTAGTGTTAAGCATAACAAAATCCCTCGAGTTCGACGACGTCCAAATTATCCCCATGTTAGCGACTTTGACAGGGGTAGAATTATAGCCTATCGAGATGTTGGTTTGTCCTAATGGACAATGACGAAAATGCGTGTGTGTCGTGTGTGGATAGATTATTATTATTATTATTATTATGATAATTGAGATGAGCAGAGTACACAGTACTATAAGCTCATGCAGTAAATATAGTGTACGGACACGTAACACAAATACATCAAATAGAAAAAAATAAAAAAAATACAGTTCACAGCTATAAAGTTTGTACACTCCTCCAGCTATCATACTGCACTTTGAAGCTATTAACTGAAGTAGCACCAACCACACTTTCAGGTAAGCTATTCCAGGTGTTGAGTATGCGGTTGGGAAGAAACCACTGTCGGACTGTTGTTTTAAATGGCTCCTTATGCAGTTTGAAGCTGTGTCCGCGTAGATTGCTGCGCGACAGATGGTATAGATGCATGAGGTTGGTGCCCATCAAACCATGAAGTATCCTGAACGTAACTATAAGATCGCCACGAAGTCTTCGCTCAGAGAATGAGGTCAGGTTGAATAATTCAAGGCGATCTTCATAGCTTGGTCTTCGTGCTCCAAAAGGGATACGAGTAGCCCGACGCTGTACTGATTCGACGAGATTTCTATCGCGCAGAAGCACAGTGTCCCATACCGGGCCAGCGAATTCAAGAATTGGCCTCACGAATGCCTTGTAAATGTAGGCGCAAGTTTTGACATCGGATCCTTTGAAAGACCTCTCCAGCATATATAGAAGTTTCTTGGCTTTTGATGTAACGTGGTGAATATGCTCTGACCAGGAAAGACGATCGTTGACTACAACGCCCAGATCAGTGTGGCTCGAAACTGCTTCGATGTTGTGGTCAGAGATCTTGTATGTAAATCGCGGATTTGTCTTCCCGAGGTGAAGGACACAACACTTGGTTAGATTTAAGGGTAAAAGCCAACTGACTGACCATTGACAAACAGTATCAAGATCTCGTTGAAGCATAGCAGAATTTACGACAGTATTGTAAATCTTGGTGTCGTCGGCATAAGCTGAACATGTGGAGGAAATCAATGCGGGCAGGTCACTGGTATACAGAAGGAACAGCACTGGCCCCAAGACAGAGCCTTGAGGAACTCCACTTGCTACATGATGAGGGTGAGACTGGCTATCACTGACGCGCACAGAGAAAGTCCTCCCGGTGAGAAAAGCCTTAATCCACAGTAACAACTCGCCTCTTATTCCCATACATTCCAACTTAAACAGAAGCCTTCTATGTGGTACGCGATCGAAAGCCCTAGAAAAATCTAAGTAGATTATATCAACAGGAGTCTTGGTGTCCAGATACTGAGTCCAATCGTTGAGAGAGTGGAGAAGGTTGGTCATTATTGATCGACCAGGGAGAAATCCATGCTGATTCTTAGGGATAAGGTCATTTTCGAAAGCAAATGACTGGAGCTTATCTAATATGATTCTTTCAGCTATTTTGGCGGCGATAGGAACGAGACTTATTGGTCGATAATTTTTAGCGGAGGATTTGTCGCCCTTTTTGAATACAGGAGTAACAGAAGCACTAAGCCAGCATGAGGGTAGGGTATGAGATCTAAAAGACGATTTGAATATCAAGCTTAATGGTAGGGCCAGTGCTGAAGCGCAGTTTTTAAGTACAGCAGCCGTCATCCCATCTTTACCAGGGGAGGAAGAGGTCTTCAGATTTCGCAGGTGCATTAATACATCTTCAGGCAGGAACTCAACTTCGCAAAGGCTGTTGGGACACCTATGGCAGATAGTGGTCGGTAGAAGGTCTCCATTAGGCTCATCGACGAAGTTATCACTAAAGGACTCTGCCAGTAAGTTGGCAGATTCGGTGGCATCCATGTGGAGATGACCGTCAGCGTCGCGGATCTGAGGTGATGAAACTTTGGAATTCAGGTTTGTTCTTAGATACCGAAACAGCTTCTTCTTATTTTTGGAGGTAACGAGTTTTCGTTCATAAGCATGTTTGGCATTATGTAGCGTTCTAGATAGGAGGTTAGAAAAGGATCGATGAGACACGTAATCTTGTGAATGGCCACTCCTCCTAAACCGTTGCCACAAAGATCTCTTGTGACGAAGCATCCTCGATATGTTAGAGTTGATCCAGGGCTTTGAGGGGTCACAGTATACCTTCTTTTCAACAGTATTGTCAGCCGTTTCGCTTAGGACTCGTTGAGCGAAAGTGTCCCACATATCTTGGGTGCTACGGTTGTTAAGCAAAGCAGGCCAGTTGACTTCAGACAGGGCTTGGTTAAGAGCATCGTGGTTTACAATTTTGATGGTTTTAAACTTATCGGTTGTAGAACGACTATTTATATTGAACTGGAGAGAAGATAAAAGTGAACAATGGTCAGACTTGCCAAAAGGTGGCAAATAATCTAAATTAGAAACAAAGTCTGCGTCGTTAACGAATATCAAATCCAGAGCCCTAGGCGTCTGTCCTTCCCTGAATCTCGTTGGACGATCAACAAGTTGAGATATGCTAGAGTTGCGTAGCAAGTCGATGTAAGCAGCAGAAGAAGAATTGCATTCAGGAATGGTTGACATAGGCCAGCTAATGTCACGTAGATTGAAGTCACCAGCTATGAAAAGGTTGGTGTTTTTATTTAAGAGATCTGAAATGAGACTGCACAGGAAAGTTTGGGAAAAGCGTATGAGAGCAGGTTTTGCACATCACGGATACAATTCCTTGATTTACATAAGTTATATGCCGAGTACCGGGTAGAAACCGAGTATTAGGTTGTTTGGAAAGTTCTTGCGGTTTTCAACCTTCAAATTCAAAGGATCATACCTCAGCTTTATTAATTAAAATAAAAACTATTAGAATCAGTACACTTTTGCCAACGAGAAACAAGTTTATTTATGCTGTTGGCAGTACTTCGCCGTAATCGTTTCGCCCGGATTCAGAAAGCTGTGGTTGATGAGACCGGCTGCAGACCACCAAAGAGTCACCATAACCTTCTTTGTATGGAGTTTCGGCTTCGGCAAGTGTTGTGGAGCCTCGTCGCTGTCCAACCATTGCGGCCCAGAACGTCGCCTATTGTCCGAGGCAATCCACTTTTCATCATGTCACAATCCGGTCGAGAAACGGGTCATTTTGTTGCGTAGAAGGGCAGACGCCACCTCAAAACAACGATTTTTCTGATTTGTGCGGTATCCATTAACGAGCTTTTTTGACTTTCCGATCCGTTTCAAGTGGTCGGAAATGGTCGCAATACCCACATCAAGCTCCTCCGCAAGCTCAGGAACAATTGTGCGCGGGCTTGCTTCCACCAGAGCCTTTAATTCGTCGTAGTTATCTTGAGGCCGACCACTGCGCTCTTCATCTTCAAGGCTCTCGTCACCGCTGCGGAATTTCTTGAACCACCATTGTCCCATATGTTGGTTAGTGGTTCCTTGGCCAAATGTATCGTAGATATTGCGAGTTTCCTCGACAGCTTTTCGACCTAATTTAAACTAGAATAAGAAAATCGTGCGAATTTGCCTCTTGTCCATCCTACTCATATATTTGAAGACTTGAAAAAAAACAAATTATCTTAAAACAGAACGAATACGACTAGAGAGAGTGAAAAACGCGCTTTAAAATGATGTATAAAGTCAAAATATTATGAATAAATTGTAGTGTAAAATACATCATTTAAAATATAAATAACAAAAACCGCAAGAACCTAACCTAACATCGGTACATCACTACTAAATATAGCAATTTTTTGCTGCATATATGGCTCCAGAAGTTTTCACGAAAAATATGTCAGAAGGGCACGGGCGAGCAGCTGATGTGTGGTCTATAGGATGTGTTGTTGTAGAAATGGCATCAGGAAAGGTAATTTTTATTTATTTATTCATTTAAACTCTTACAAACACATTTGAATGTAGTTTACATGTAGGAGTGCTTACTGACTAGTAGAGAAATAGAGAGAGTACACAAAAACTTATAACTAAAAAATAACGACAAAGAAAAACTATAAAAATTAACAAACAAAATGAGATAAGGATGTTTTACTTAAATTTAAAATCAGTCTTAATCTGTCTCACAGTAGTCGAAAGGAGATCCACATCACAATTTTTTATATAACTATTACACTCATACATCATTCTATTGATAGAAGAACAGCTTACAGATGAACAGTGAAAGAGTTTGTGGCCTCTTATTCTCAAGTTGATTCTAGGATCAGCAAAGAATATATTATTTATTAAGGAACACTTCTTATATTTTAAATTATTATGTAGTAAATGAACAAGAAGATATCATTCAAACCACGCCTAATGATCAACCGCACAATTTTAAATTCTGTTAGCATACTATTATAAGAGATCATGTTGTATGGATAAGCATTGTGTGTCCTCCTAAGTACAGATATCTTAAACATCTTTTCTGTACCCTTTCGATCATATCAACATGCACCATTGATTTGGGTTCCCAGACAACAGAGGCATACTCCAAAACAGGTCGTAGTAGTTTCCTTAAAGTGCTCTGTATTCCTTATCACAAAACCCAGGATCCTATATGCTTTTTTTACAATAGTTTCATAATGCTGAAAAAAATTTAGGTTAGTATGAAACCAGACGCCAAGATCCTTACATTCACTTTTCCTACTTAGCAATAAGTTATCAATTTTGTAATTAAAATCTATAAATTGTGATTTTCGTGTAAAAGTTAAACTATGACATTTGGCAATATTTCACATTTTATTCTCCTTGAACCACTGTGACACTGAACTTAAATCAGTTTGCATCTCAATACAATCTTGAAGGCAAGTTATAGTTGTATATTTTAAAATCATCAGCAAATACGAGACATTTGGCATATTTTACACAGTTTGGCAAATCATTCAGAAAAATTATGGATAATAGAGGCCCAAGATTACTGCCCTGGGGCACACCAGATATTATTATGTTCATCTTTGATAAATGCTTACCAACTTTAATCTGCTGCGGCCTTAAGGTTAGGTATGATGCCATAAGCTAACATGCACTTTTTGAGAACCCAGATTTACCCAACTTGTTCACTAACAGACCATGATCAACCCGATAAAAGGCTTTCGCACAATCCGTCAAAACAACATCCAACTATTCTTTGTTGTCAATTGCCCCGGCAGCTGCCTCAGTCAAGATACTGAGGTTGGTAACAGTTGAGACATCCGGCAGAAACACCATGCTGCTGCAGAGAGAACCTATGCATAAGAGAGCTCAAAATACCTCGATACAAGATATTCTCAAATATTTTCACAAGAGAGTTTAAAACGCTAATTTGCCTGTAGTTGTCAACCAGAGAATTATTGCCTGTTTTGAGGACTAGAGTAACCAAAGCATATTTAAGAGTGTCTGGAAATGTGTTTGTTTTAAGACAAAGATTAAAAATAGTTTGTAATGGAGTGCACAGGATATTAGAACAACCTTTATATATGTATGAGGGAATATTATCATTGCCAGTGGCCTTTTTTGCTTTTAACTTCTTAATGGCTACCTGTACGAGGTATTTACATTTCTGAGACAGGAGAGAATGAGAAGTTACCATTACAAACGTCAAAGTTCGGTTTTTCGGATTGTTGGAACACAGAGCTAAAATACAGAGCAAATGTATCAGCTATTTCCTGGGCACCATCAATAGTTTCTTATAATTTTTCTTTAAGATTTTTCATTAGACTTCCAGTACAATGGTAGGTGTTCGAATAAGTAAATGGCTAAAGAAATCTTCTTCTTTATTCCTTTGTTAAACGTATTTCACACAAATAACAGTTTTATTGATTCAGGCTAAAACCACACAGGAAATTACTAGCTTCCAATAACGGTTGTTACACAATAATACACTGAGAACCAAATTTGTCTGACGGCTTGATTTCAATGTGTTGAGAGAAGTGTGTATAAACACATGCTAGGAAGAGATAGAGCCGTTGGATAGCGAAGTTTATCACCGCGTTGCCTAGCAACACTGACGCGGCAATCTGCTACGTTGCCAATATTTTACACCAGTTCCTTGAATTAAGGTGCATGTTGGAAATTCGCTCAAATAATGGTTTTAATTTGAGTGTACTCATTTTTGAATTGTGAATTGTGTCGAATCCGTTTAGGATCGATTCTGGATCGGTTTTAATTTGTTTTGCCTTATGATATTTGTTACATTTTTCGGCCGCTCGCTGTCGCAAAATGTCTTGATTTTATTACCATCGGTGGAAATCAAAGATAATTCTAAAGTAAAGTAAAATGGAAACAAAATATTGAATTAAATGTTCGAATAGTCCTCCTTCTTCGGTTTGACAATAACCTAACATATTGTAGAAACCTGCGCGAACATTTTCTGGTGAAACATATTGGAAACGAGGCAGATTGCGCGTCCTTCTGCGTCACCGTTGTTAGGCAATATGGTGCAGACCTTCGCTGGTCAGCTGGCTTCTATCTCTTTCTAGCACGTGTTGGTACACACTTCTCGCGCTTCTCTCTCGTACACATTGAACTCAAGATGCCAGACTAATTTGGTTCTCCCTATATGCATTCATCGGTGTGTACTCATTCATCACCCTATGTAGTTTGATTTCAATTCTAGTTGTCAATTTCAAATTTTTGAACTTTGTTGGTTGAAGACATACCACAGAAGAGCTTCAATAAAATAGACGTATTTATTTTATTTTAATGCATAAAGTTGTTTATATACCAAGCATTTGTTATGGTTATTTTGATTTTTCCTTATTTAACTTCGCGAATCCTTTATCAGACAAAGGTGAAAGAATTTGAGGTACTTCAAAGCTATGATACTTTTAACCCTATAAACTTCTAGCCTTATAAACTGGTCTACACAAAATTGAGTGTTTTATGTTTTTTTTTCAGCGACCTTGGGCTCAGTACGATTCGAATTATCAAATAATGTTCAAAGTAGGAATGGGGCAAAGTCCGGACCCACCAGATGAAATGATAGATGAAGGGCTAGACTTCCTTGACATGTGTTTCAAGCACGATCCCAAAGAAAGAGCTACCGCCAGAGAACTATTGGCACACAATTTTGTCAAAGTTGGTGAAGAGTCGAACTAAATATTTTTTGTATTGTTTGTCGAGCCTATCTTTAAAGCTCTTTTAGTCAGTCCAAGCTACTTAAGATTCACCTTGTTATTATAAAAGGAGGATATTTTAGTTTGCCAAATTGGCGGTACAAGTAAGTTATGTCAAACGAGGTCATTTTTGTCATAGAGCATATATCGTAATTACTGTACTGTAAAAAGTATAATTGAAAACGAATCACAACACATGGAAGATCATTTTGATCTGAATTATTCTATAAATTCTCTTTGTAATGATGAGACATATTAACATTTTCAACTAATTTTTAACAAACAAAATTTATTTTTCCGTATGTTTGATCTCAAAAAGCGATTTAAATTATTGATTACTATTTTATACAATTTACTGAAACTAGCAGTATTTTAACTCAGTCTAAGTTTAAGGTGATGTGATTGTACAAATGTTGTATTTTTCAAAATATATATATAAAATTCGTTTTTGTTCTAGGATAGGGATATATCGTATTATGTATTATTTTTTGACCATGTATATGTGATGAGAGTTTATATCTGTTAGGTGTAGATAGACAAAGCACTTTGAGCGACTATATTAGTGAGAAATCAAATAAATTAGTTTGGTAAATATTTTTGTTTTTATTTTCATCAGATTATACTGAAGCAGTCTACACAGCTACATGGGTTGTGTGGACAGGTATTTATCTAATCTACTAGATATTTTGGTGCAGTTTCAAGAACACGAGAAGTTACACCAGTAGCGTAGCTTGCCCCTGAGTGTCCTCATATCAGACTTTAACGGGAGGCGCCACCAAGGATTTTCACGAACGAAAAACATTCTCTTTGAATAATATGAATAAATAGTCAAGTATTGAGTAATTATTGATTATTGTAAGTATCGCCCAGACATGGGCCAATACCAAATGTATGCTTTCCTTGTCATTTCCTTTCCCACGCACAAGGAAAGGAGGTGCTGTGATCGCGAAAATTATTCTGAATAAGTTGTTAGTTTTGTGATGTCTACAATACATAAATCCATATCACGGACTTCCGTCAGTGGATTGGCGTTATTTCACTCTTGTAATCTGGAAAATGACTGCATCCAATTGGATGACATTTGAGGCATGTTGTAAGATCATAGGAGGCAATGCTACTTAATTTTTGAAAATGGTAACATTATTGTGGGAAAACAAGACAGCATCAAATCGTCCCAGTTTGTTTTTGTATGCTTTACAACCTTCTAAAAATTATTGGGCGTAATCAAGAATTTCATTGAAACAACAATTTTGAACAAATGTTTTTTGATGTTTTTAATTAGTCATTTTGATTCTTCAGCAAGGATTAATTTTGACTTGCATATAAAAATGATGAACAGCATTTATGTGTCAAGGATTTTCAAGTGCAAAATAAGCATGCGAATGCTTGCGGAATTCCGAGTCAGTCTACTTGACATTATTTTTATTTTTTTTAATTACTCATGTCATGACAGTACCAAATATGGTAGTCATAGTTGTCTCATAGAAGTTGCAAAATAATGTATCGCTTTTAATTTCGAAAACCTTTAACTATCACCCTCTATAAAAATTTAACTAACCCAGCAGTGTCAGTTGGTGTTTTCATAACCATTATTAGAAACACTCGATCAAGTGATTTGAATAACGACATATATGTTTAGATTTCGTTTTATAGTACGATATTTCGACCACCAAAGTAGTAATTTTCAAGTACATATTATGTGTTAATATATGTCTTGTTTTCCGCCTTCCAGGTGACATTACATTTTTTTACATATTCGTATACAGTATGTTACTACAATAGTCCGAACGGTCCTGTAACATGCTGAGAGCATTATTGCAGTTTTAAGATCGCACCGCACAAAATCAGTAAAGCTCAGGACCAGCTGCGGTAGGCTGTCCCGCTGCCAAAAGAACGCCCAATCCTCCAAAGCGACAAGCGAGTATGAGATTATCTGTCGTTTTTCGATATACCAGATACGCCACCCTATCCATCGTTCCGAAAACTCCAAAAGTTCTCTAAAAACGCGAAAATCCACCCAGAATTATTGCCGCAACACACCGGTTAGTTTTTATGCAATCTTCGACTACAGATGCTGAATATGCATTGTTTATGGAACGGAATGCAAAAAATAGTAATGGTATCTAAAGAGAACTATGTTGTTTGTCTTGTGAGGGAATTTTAAATTTCGTTTTGATTTGGCCAGACAATGGAATCCTCTGAACATGAAAACCACAGGACAAATTTCAGGAGTTATATTAGGAATTTCAAAGTTAAATGTTTCCATTAAAATTCGCCATTCCGTTTTTATAAAATTTCTGTATTCCCAACAGTATCTCCCCTAGTGTCAAAAAACCTAAATACGAGTATATCAAATTCCATCAAGCCATTTACGCTGTATTCCGTGAAATAGCATTTTTTATTAAAATACGTCATTTCGTTTTAATAAAATTTTAATGTAATCAGTTTGTCACTTGCACTGCTAAGGCGAATCCAACGACACCTCATATATCAAAATCAATCAAGTCGTTTGTCCTGCAGCGGGTGAAATAGAATTTTGTGTCCTTCGAGGCGCGAAAAACATGACCCTCCTTTGAGGCATTAGGGTAATAAGTATACGATGAATAGTGTCTATTTCTTGGTCTTGTGCCTACCGTGCCTCTTAAATTAAGGGCTACCCGGCGTATCAGTGAGGTACCAATAACCAAACAAGGAAAAAATTAAAAGCAAATACACTTGTAGATATATGCGTATTTTAATTCTTGAAAATAGATTAGAATCAGATAATTCCACCTTTTTGTGAGCTCGCTAGATATGTCCCTGATATTGTTTATAAATACATATACTAGTGTTATCCCTCAGAAAAAACAAAGATACAGTTATTTATGCAAGAAATGTAGATATTGCTTCTCACATCCTAGATCGATCCATCCGTGATCGCGACTTGTAATACTTGAGAACGTGTACTTTAATGGCAATCATAACCAACGGTAAACGACGTGGCAGGAGCCCTTACGCTTCCCGGCACGCCTGAAAAAAAGCCTGCTGGATAAACAAAAAAATGTCGACAACCCTATAATCAACTCGACAATCTGGGGTTCACTAAACTCTATTTCACGAGTATCCATCACGCTTTGGCGCACTTTGACGTCTACTGAGGTGGACAGCTGATTAGCAAGTGACATTTTCTGTGTTAGTCTGTAACGTTGGCTATAATGAATTGGGTGTAAATCTAGCAAAAATTTGTTCGTAGCGTTTTGTTTTTGGATTCACATTTACATGAACTTTTCTGAATAAAAGATCTTTTAGCAAGTATAGTACAAATTGTAAATTCCATATGTCGATTTATCCGTTATATGATTTTTATCTATCGAAATTTTATAATTCAAATGAAGTAAGTAATTTATGGAATCTTATTCATGAAATAATAATATGAAAATTATATAGAAATTGTCAAACTAGTTATTTGACATCATAAATACTAAAAAGGAAAAAACAAATAAAATAAAAAATACATTTTTAAAAACAAGCTTTTAATAAAGTGATCTACAAAATTTCAAAATATTTTGACCGACTCACGCAACAAAGTGCTGTTGTTGGATTCCGCTTGACTATATCGTAACTGCGCCTGTTGCTTAATGTAGTCCCTTAGAATGTCGAGTTCTCAGTGAAGGGTCTCGTTGGAGACATACCATGAGGCGTTAGTGACAGTATGCAAGTTACACCATGCTGCACATGCATAAGTGATTGCTGGTCTAATAGCCATCTTGTATAACCGAACTTTGTTGATAATACTTATTTTTGGGGTTCTGCCTAGCTTACGGTAGAGTTGCCGAAACGTAATTTGGAATTTGGCTTTTAACGCTTGGCCTTCTTCCAAGTCATCCCCTTGTCAAGAGTAACACCAAGATACTTGAAATAATTTTCCCATGATACATGTACCCCATTCACTGAAACCTCTACGTTATTTAGTGCAATAGATAGCCTGCGTTTTCGAGTAATTAATTTTGATCAGCCGCTGGTCCGCCTATTTCAATACCTCTCCACATCAGTTTGTAAATTGTCGTGAACCAGATTCTCAGAACTCGACTGGGCCGCCAATACAGTGTCAGCAGCATATATATAGACTTCACAGTCCCTGGAGCAAGGGACTTCATGAGTGAAAAGTGAATACAAGATTGGTCTGAGAACCCTGATGGACACCGGCTGTAATGCGCTGTCAACAAGGCATTATTAACTTTGATCCGAAACTTCCTACCTTTAAGGAAGGATTTCAATAGTTTTATGTGCCAAAATGTAAAGCCTTTTTGGATTAACTTGTAGAGAAGGCCCTTGTGCCAAATGCCTTCGAGACAACCTGTATAACAGCGTGCAGAAAACAACCTCGTAGCTTAGCACTGGCTTAGTAATGGAAGCTTCCACCCGGCGCATGTTTTGTAAAATTCCATGGAAATGTTTTCAATAGTCAGTAAGCTAATCAAACCAAAATAAAATTCATGAATATTTGAGATATTTGACTATCTGGTCCACTTACCACACAATTGATGCTTTATCTCTGAGATAACTTGTTTAGTATAAATGGAACAATGTCTCTAATCTATCGATTTTGTGTCAGTGGGGCAACTAGAAGGTAAGTTTGATTCAGTTTTAGGTACATACTTCTCTTGAACTGAACTAAACTGTTTTTAGGAGACATCATGAAGGGTCTCGCTATAGTCGCCGTACTTATTATCGCCGCCAATGGTCTTTCAGAACAGGAAAAATGGCAACAATTCAAAGTAAGAGCATTTAAAGACAGTATTAGTAACGCACATATCTTTTTAGATGAGGATAAATAATAAATCTTATATCTATACAGTCGACATAATTATAGATCCATATTTGGATAACGCACGTTACATACAAATTCCGAACACACTTTATTTGAGTACACAAAAAATTATTTGGACTACTATGCCCAGGACACAAAAGCTTTGCAATACCGACGTTTCAGACAAAAAATTAGAGGTAAAAAAAAACTTGAGGAGGTGGGGAGGATTTATCTCAATTTTTTGATGTTAGTACATTATACGTGCCCAACCTTGGTAATTCTACGCACCTATTACACATATTTGGCACAGCATAGATTCCTCTGTACACTACCCCTTAAAACTTAGAAAACTATTATCGGCAGACGGATCGCGTTCCTATTGGCCGCGGCTAGGGAGTGATCTGTTGTTCTGGTATGGAATCACACATATTTCTGCAGCGTCACATATGGTTTCCTACTCTCTGACCGCGCTGCCACGTTTAACCTAGTCAAGTACCGGGGAGAGGCGTCGATTGCAGAGGCACTACCGGTAGAGCAGGAAAGAATGTCTATAGACCAATTGCATGGACCTGTTTGACTGACTTTTTCCTCAGAGGGTCTAGTTTGTGCTGAACATAGTCATTTATGAATTGATAACGGCGTTGCGTGTGAAGTTCAGAGTCAACACACTTTTTTTTTTTGAATACCCGGAAATGTTAATTAAGAAAACATATTGTAACAAGAAATAAATAGTACTGTTGTCGTCATCTGTTGGGAGACTCTCCTACTCGCAGGAGCTTCATGGCCGATCTCTGGTTTTACGCGGATCACGACTGCACATGCCGCTTGGCGACATCTGTTGTTGACCGTGTCAGTGACTCGCCTTGTAGATCAACGCGAAGTGACCTCGACGATTCTGGAATGCGGCTATGTGACCCACCAAAATCTTATCGACCCGACGATGCGGACTATAAGTATAACTCGACGGCCGGGAGACGGAAGCAGAGTAGAGTAGAGCAGAGTGGAGTATAGTTCACTCAATGTCACGACATAAGAATTAGTCAGACATAAATAGTGGTGTACATAAATGTTCTATCTAGTCAAGTTAAATAAATTAGTGCATTTTGTTTTGTGGAATCGAGTGTTTTAATCCACACCCAAAAGAACCCAGAAAAACGCTACAATATTATTAGGTTTGGTAGGCTTCATAACTTTTATAACAACTTTCGAGATCTTTTAACTGCTTCCTACAACGATCAGGCTCCTATACAATACAGGTTCATAACAAAATTCTTTCTGTGATGAATTTTTCATTCAATTACTCAATTATGATCCTCAATTCGATAGACGTAAAAATATGGCAGTATTTCCTACGGTGATTGTACAATTATTGCTTCCATGATTTTATCAAAGAAATGCAAGGTAACTGAGCCTACTCTGTGAAAACCATACCAACAGTCAACCAGGCATCCAATATTGCGGCATACAGACAGATATCTATTTGTTATGAAAAAACATTTCATGATGCCTGCATAAAAAGTAACACATTCCCTCAGTTTTGCTATATTTTAAAAATATGTAAGGATGTAATATTTTTCATATTCGGAATATTAGCGGCAGAATAATTTCCAATAAATTATTCATCTTTTGTCAGTTAGCGTGGCGAACACCAGCCAAGAGAATTCAAAACTAAATACACCAACTTCATGAATTTTCGGTAACATACCAGTTTACTTCTGAATTCTCCTGGTCTGTACTCGCGACCCTAAATTATCAATTCGTATTATATACCTTTTGAGTTTTCAAATACTACCAGAAATCTTTTTCAATCAATATTTTTGTCTAATATTATAAAGGATCCTGATTACCTACACATAGCTTAATCAGAAATGCAGAATACGGAAAAACATTATTTTTGGTAGCTTCATATTCATATATTACCGGATTCAGATTATTTTTCTTTAGGCCTTATGTAAGATATACTCGAGACCTAGTTCTTATGACTTCCCGAATCCACCAGTCATTTTGAAAATACATAGTTCTAATAAATAGTCGCATGTTCTACATTCCCCTTGGTGTATGATATCCTGTCACTATAATAAGATTGCTATAGATTCAACATGGCAGAACCTACAGAACCCTTCTGGAAGAAAAGAGGCGCTTCGAAATCTTCAAGTTCAATCTACGCACAATCGAAGAACACAACGAGCGATATCACAATGGCGAAGAAACGTTTGAAATGAGGATCAACCAATTTGGTGACATGACCCAGGAAGAGTTTAAACGGATGTTGGCTTTGCAGAAACCACAAATACCCCTGCCTAGCGGGGATGAGGTGTCATTTGATAATGTCAAGGACATACCTAAAACTGTAGATTGGAGGGAGAAAGGCGCAGTTACCGAAGTGAAAAAACAAGGAAATTGTGCTTCATGCTGGGCTTTTAGTGCTGTAAGTTTCAATTAATTTATTTGTAGCCATCTAAGTGTAATCTAGTGATCCTGCTCTGTCCCTAACCCCCTTGGAATAAACTTACATTGGTATTTCCATTTTTCAACGCAAAATCCTTACTAACATCGATACACTTGTTCAATCGGTGCTCCAACATTTTTTTCATAAATATTGTTTTAATTGTGAAAATAGTCAAAGTATTTTGAACTTTTCAAACGACCTTACCCACTTGTTTATTTTCCGTTCATCTGTCTCCAGGACTACTAGACCTATAATACAGCACTGATGAGTTGCTAATGAGCACGAAGCAGCATTGTCTGCGGTTGGTCGTGGTTACAGAGACGGAAAGCAAACATATCTATTTCAGGCGTGTATATTTATGCATACAGGAGGGTGTCCAATGAGTACCAAGACAAACTTAAGGAGAAGGTAGGCTTTGGACTGACCTTTCAAATAACAAAAACTTACCTTTATAAAAGTGGCAAATAAGGACTATTTTGGGATTTATAACCTTCTGATATTTTTTCCTCAACTTTGACCATCTGTGGTGAAACAAAAATGTACTGGGCTATAACTGCATTATATTGTTGTGTTGTACTATTTAGCATGTCGTTGGTCGGTAACTTAAATTTAAATTCAATAATTACATTGTAGTGTTGTCAGACACGTACGAATATCACTTTTTTTCTATTCCAAATAGTACGTGTGGCACCGTTCTGAAATCTGTATTCAATGAGCAATCTTATTTTATTCAATAAATGCAGTTATAGCCCATTACATTTTTGTATCACCACAGATTGTCAAAGCTGAGGAAACAATATCAGAAGGTTATAGATCCCAAAACAGTCCTTATTTTATCATGGTTCCTTAATATCTTTTAACTACATTGCATTTGTATATGATAAAGCAACTATCTAGAAGTATTTTATAGAAAAAATGGACAAAGTATAACGTTATTTGTACATGCAGCTAAAGACCACAGATGAAAAGGTTCGTTTTATATTTTAATCTAAGGAAAAATTCAATATCTCAAAAACGGTGACACGTTTATATAGGTAAGTTTTTGTTATTTGGGGGGTCAGTCCAAAGCCTACCTTCTCCTTAAGTTTGTCGTGGTACTTATTGGACACCCTGTATATGCAAAGAAAGGCATTGTTAGTGTGCTGCGTAAATACGAGTATTTGGAATTCAAGCTGCTAAATGGGTCGGGTCTTTTTTGTGGTGCGACACCTATCTGTGCTTTGTGCAGAACGTCGAGCAGTGATGAGCCTATAGCGTAGGGGTCTTCCGTCTGCTTTCATATAGTAAAATACCAAAATTGATGACATTAGCGAAACTCATCGTACGCCACTGCTATTACGCGGAGGCCTTCGAAAATGCGGCGCTTCTTTGTGAAATGTCGGTAAACGTCGCTGTAATCAAAAGGTACCGTGTCAAAGCAGTGGCGCCCGATGACTTCTGCTACTGTCATCAATTCTGGTATTTGACTATAGTATGGAATGAGGATGAAGATCAACTTCGCAAACCATTAGTAGGTGGACATCGTCAGATTTTTTGCCCACCAAGACCAAATGGCTTGATGGATTTGGACATTTCATGTGTTCTGATAGCACAATTAAAAAATTAATTCTTTTCAGTCAATGCATTCCGACTTTTGGTAGTTTTTAAAATGTGCTTCTTCTTGATATATACGGGTATTTTATTACGGCTCTCCGCTCAACAGGATCCATTTCTATTAAAACATTTTTGTCACATATGAATAAAAAAGCAGATGACGTCAAAACAAACATGTAAACTTAATATTTTGTTAATATTACTTCTTCCCACATCCCATAGTCATATGTTGAAGGATACATGCTCAGCAAGTTATATGATACATATAACATTGGGCAATCGAACATGGTGGTAGGAGCGCATATACATATATATTAAAAATACCCTCAACGTGTAAAATTTTCAAAACTCACCATTCGAATTAGTTTGAGGTTGTCAAAAATATAAAAAAGAACAATGTTTATCAAGATTTTGAACTGAGAGCAAGAATAACGGGCGTTTTACCTTCTAAAATAAGGTTTTAATATAATGTTTGTGGTTCAAATAAGTCGAACTGTCTCATACTATCAAAATTATTTGCATTAATATACAGATAAATATCGACCATCTGTTGCACTATACCGGGTGTTTCAATACTCATTTCTCAGATCATATTTTTCATCAAGCTCTGGGGCCGGATATTTCGTAAACGTTGTTGCTACATAGGAGGATTTTTTCAATTATCATTTTGTTTTTGGTGACCCTCATAAAGAAAAAACACTGTTACTGAGCATAAGAGACAAAAAAAAAACACGCAAAATCTCATCGATAATCTTCCTTTGCCCTGTCATTGAATAGTAATGAAATAGTTCACAAGATTAAATAAAGATATGTAAACTGGTAATTGCAGGTTTTATCACAAATCGATAAGCATTCCATCTATGTTTTGACAGTAATCATGAAAAAAATTGTTGTAAACGCAATAATGTTAACCACAAAGGACCATCAACAAGAGAATGTTGGACTAACCAAGGTCTAGACGTATGTCACCTTATTTAAATATCCAAAGTCGTATTTGCATAACCCCCAACTTGCATCCGTTTACATATGATGAACAATTCCTGAAACGTACGATCTCAGACTACAACAATTTCCTAATTTCATTAATACTCATGATATTACTAAACTAAGGTAAATGTCCAAAACTTCGTGATAGTACATAACTTCGTTATTTTTTCTTTGGAGCGCCAAAATGAGAACAACGTCTTATTATCTATTATTAAGCTCTGACGACTCAAAAACTAAAATTCTCATTTTCAACCATTAACAAAATATTTGGCGATTTTTGGAACTGTCGGTCGATCTGTAGATGCTGAGCAAGGCGAACTTGTATGTAGCTCTTAGGCTATGTACTGAATTTCTAACCTTCCCACAAAAGTAGATAAGCTAAATTGACTAAAATATGTGATATTCCTGTTAATAATTTCATTATAAGTAATTCATAATAACTCACGTAATTTGGTTCAGTTAACTTTGTTATGTTCCTAAATTTGGGTTACTCCCGACTTCACTGAAAAATTATTGCAAATAGTATGTCACAAAATATGAGATATACATCTGATCTATTATATATATATATATATATTAAACATACTTGATAATCACGGTCTACATTTATTTATTTGTTATGTGATAACTTACAACTACAGATGTAGCTAATAGTTATGTTCTTACTTTTTAGTTTGTTGATCTTTTTCATGTACCTTCATCACCTATATACGTGTATAATATGATTCTGGTGAAACCAACAAAAATATTTTGTATACTGTAATACTTAGGATGATTAATTATTTTGTTAATTATCAAAACTGTTTATCTTTATTTATGAGAATTTAGTGGTACTTATTATACCCATTTTATATCCAGAGTCCGTATCATGAAGTAAGGGAGACACATTCACGAGGTTATAGACAAAGAATTTTGTCACGAAAGAAGGTTCAGATGGAGGGTTTCTAAAAAAATATTTGAAAGGATACTGCAAACTGAAACAACAAGGATTTTGCACTTGACTAATCTCAAAATATCTGCTTACACGACAAAAAAGTTTTACTACGAAATCTTATTAATAATTAAAAAAAAAAATCTAGAAATTAAAAGTCCCTTAACATGGCGAAGTTTGGGGCCTCGGTTGGCCGCGTTGGTCAGAGTGTCGTGCTACTGATCAGCCGGCCGGCCGGGCCGCGAGTTCGAATCTCGCCTTCGCCATGGATGTTGTGACGTCGTGTGTTTGTCCATAATTAGAGAAATATAAGTAACACACATCTGTGGCAAATGGATAACTTTCAATGCCAAACAAAAAAAAATGGCGAAGTTTGAGACATTTATCTTATTCCACCCTTATCTAAACATATTTCTGTCAATTACAGGTAGGTTCAATCGAAGGACAAGTATTCCTGAAAAATGGCTCTCTGGAATCTTTGAGCGCCCAGAACCTCGTAGATTGTGCTGGTATAGAATATGGCAACTTTGGATGTGAAGGAGGATTGATGGACTATGCATTCAACTACACCCACCAGCATGGAATACTTTCAGATGCGGAGTATCCCTACTGGGGATTCACTAGAAGGTGTACGAAACAGGGTGGAGTTAAGATAACAGGATATAAACATGTGTCTAAAGGAGATGAAGTAGTCCTAGCTAAGGCTGTCGGTAAGTATTATAAACGTGGTCTACCAAAAACTGAAATGGTTTGGTTCTTACAATCTATGATACTATGTACCAAGGATTGTCTAATATACATGGTGCTAATAAAGTAGCTAGCTTATCAAACTTAAAGGGGTGATACCTTGAGTGATTAAGAAGGAAAGTTAAAATATGGTGTTCTAAGGGTCACGATTTTCCTTTTCAGAAGTTTGAAATAAAGCTAATGTACGGTAAAACAGCAGCAATACAGTAAGTAAAAAATTTAGAGTATCTGTTCAACTCCGTTATTTAAGACTTTCATGTATGTGTTTCTAGGAAGATTTGCTTATTTTTTAAAAAACTATACCGTGTGTAAAGTAAAGTGTGAACTGTAAGAACACCCCGTGAAAACATAAGCAATAATGCTTCGTTTTTAAAATACAGGTTGTCGATTTTTTTTATTTGGATTATTTGGATGGAATTTAATGAAATTTATCCAGTATCGCCTGAAATTTCTCTAAAATCAATTAAGAAGGGCGCTTTATTTAAACCTGATATGGCTATAACTATCTAGATTGTGAGCTTTACTGTTAGGAGGTTTTGGTTTAGTCCTTAGTAGATTTAATTTAAATTTTGAGCGTTACATTTGAGCCCGCGAAAAAACAACTTGCGCGCTATTCTCGAGTTATATTCGTAATCGGACAATTACCAAATTCAATACCTTCAATTTTCTCCCTAGCTACAATTGGACCAATCTCAATTGCCCTGGACGTAAGCCACATTATGTTCTACCGGAGAGGGATTGTGTCAAAATCGTGCGGTTGTAAAAACTCAGAGAACGACTTGAACCATGGTGTCTTATTGGTAGGATATGGTGATGGTTATTGGATCGTGAAGAACAGTTGGGGAACAATTTGGGGTGAACAGGGCTACTTTAGGTTGAAGAAAGATGCTGGAAACACTTGTGGAGTTGCCACCTGGCCGTCATATCCTATTTTGTAGTATGGTTACTTTGTAATAAATCCTTTGATATTCAATTTGTGTATTCGTTACCAAAACCGAAGTATCAGCGAGGTAGCCAGAAAGGCCTGTTCCTAACATTCTTCGTAAATTAATGAACGAATGATTCAAATAAACGATGAGGATGCCAGTGGTACCTAAAGGTGATATTTTTGAAATCAACGTGCATGTGTGATTATAATGAGAATAGTCAGTAGCACTGCGAATAGTAGCGCTAGATTTGTGGCATTTTTATTATAGATAATAATAGTTATTTCAACTTTTCATTTATAGAAACATAATTCAGTGCATTAATGTTATTTTATTTTATTGTTATGCATCAGTGACCTTTTGCTGTTGCGTGCTCACGAGTAACAATGTTCCCGTTCACAAAAATATTTTTACAAATTAATAAGCTTGACAAACACATGATAACTAGCACATCGGAATTATCTAATTAGTCAAATAAAGGAATTATTCAGCTGAATCGATCATGGTGACGTTCGTTATTCACTTTATTCACTTGGGTATTTTACACCTTACTTACTTATTTGATCTTTGACACCTCATCTGAAGGATCTTTCAAAAACGATGACCTTATCACTTCTAAAGCTGTACATTCATACAGACCCTCCTGACTTCGGCCTCCCATCATAACCGTGTCGAACTTCGTACATCCAGAACTGGCCGATACGACCGCTCCTTTGACCATAGTTTCTTTAAGCTCATCATAGCAGCCGCACTTGTATTCAGGCTTGTGCCTGTGCGGCTGCTTCGGTATATGAAAAAAACACCTCAATATACAGAACAGTGTATAAAATGGATAAAAAAGATGTAGAAATAACAACATAGAACTCTCTATACAAAACACTTATCTGAAAATTACTTGTATCACAAAGATGCTCTTTTATAGATCAGTAAGCTTTTTTGAGTATCATTTTTAATATATTTTTTGTATAGATAAGTGTTTAGTCGTTTAATTCATACTTTGTAAAGCTTTAAGCCCACGTAGTTAGGATCAGTCTCCGTTTTGGCAAGCTAGTGAGCAGGAAATTGTAGTGTTAAAGCATTCGTAGAATTATAGTTGTGACTATCGACTAGGTTGCTAAAGCTTGTGAAATTTGATTTAACATGCATCAATAGATCATAAATGTTGATACACATTAAAGTGTAAATTCTTTGAAACTTTCCCGACAACTAATCCCGTTTAGCCTCTTTATTGGTCTTATAACTCTCATTTGGTTAACAAAAACTCTATTTGCTGGGTAAGGTGCCGCAAAAATGTAATAGCATAGGTTGGAGCTGATTAAAAGTAGGCGAAGAAATACATAAATAGTACTGGTCTATTAAGCGTAAACCGGAGTCTATTTATTCAGTAGTAGTGATTTTTTTACAAAGGTGATCCCAAGAAGAATTGTAGGATAGATACAGTCCAAGAAACTGCAACTGCACTGCCTTAATTGTTCTTTGATGTGATTTTACCAACAAGCTGTGATCTGGTTCCGATGTATACATGAAACGAAGAAGCTATGACTTTTTTCTGTTCAATGGCAGGCCGTTATCAACGGGATTGTCTGATGATTTGTTGTGGTTTGAAATGCTCCAAACCGTCCAAAACATAATAGCCCAGGAAATAGGTAACTTTTTCCTACAATTTTGGCGACAATAATTTTTTTGATGGATGCGTTAGATTATTGCTTCCTAATCATAAGTTTAAATTGATGCCATGATAATTCTGGAGCATTTGCTGCCATTGTGATGAGCGCGTTTGATCGAAAATCTAGGAAGCCATCGATCCCATGTAAAAAAGTAAATAAAAACAACTTTGTAGGGAATTGAATTATCAGTTTGATTCTATAACAATATGTTATATCGTCAACAGGTTACGAGAAACTTAATTGTACAGGTATATGTAATGATATTTTCTGTTATAATGGCTAAACTAACAATCTAAGCATACGGCGAGGTTGTAATGTGTAGGAGAGAGAAGCCCGAGAAGTGTGCAACATGTATTATGTCGCTCTTCTCTCTCGCACACATTACGACGTCAGTGGTATTTGGTGTTCAATGTATAAAGCCTGCTACCCTTTTTTGTAAAGAATAATATTATCTACTAGAGCTACTTTTCCATTAAAATCGCAGCAACGTTTACTGAAATTACTCAGTGACAAAATGGCTAATAGACAGACTGATAGGAATGATTGACTCGATCTTCATAATAAAAACAGCACACATTATCAAAAAATAATTTTGTAAAATAGTATTCTTAATCATATATAATATGAATATAAAGTTATTTAGAAGTAAAATAATGCTGTATGCGGATAACGTGCACAACATACGTAGTGTGTAGAGTATGTAACGCGACTATTTTCATATAAATTTTCATCTTTCCCTCCTTATACTTCAAGAACCATCAAGGAGTCGAAAAAGCGTAAAAGACCTTTCTTGTAGTGAATTTTGGTCTTTTCAAAAAATAGTTGTGTTTTTAACTCTCAGATTTGTAGTTTAGCTATTATATGCGGAAATGTCATTACATGTACATTTACCCTTTAATTTCATCTGTTGACTATACGATATTTTTCTATAAAAACAAAATAATAAAGAATTTAATTTCTTAACATGTCTATCAAAATGGCGGGCACATGTTTCAGCACTAACATGACCCATTTTGAATTTATCATTAGAAAGAAATAATATACGATTCAATCAAAAAAAAATTACTGTCGCCAAAATTTTAGGATTTCCTTATATAACATCTCCCCTTTTCTTGGTCTATAATCTTGAATTAAAAATATTCTGGGATTACAATATTTTCCCGTCTGTTATCACCGTGACAATAATTAAAAATAACATTAACTGCAGAAGGACATTTACCTTATTTGATTTTCATATATCTGACAATCAGATCGAAGATCTAGACAATAACATTTTTTTAGTCAATATATGATTATGATCTATTTACATTAAGATACGTGTAAACCCCATCTACATATAAATAATTTCAAAATTTGCTTATCTAGCACTAGTCGTACATATTTACTACATATAAAGTTACACATACTAGCAGACATCAAATAATATCTTGCTTCTAAAGAAGTTTTTTACGTTCGTAGATTATATTTTTCAAAATGAGACGGTTTATTTTTTTCTGGTTCGTTGCTGGAGTTACCACTTCCACAGACTTAGACCAGTGGGCACAATTTAAGGTAAGTTATTTTAATAATATTTGATAATTTAGTTTACTTCAGAATTCACATAATCCCAAATGATTCTGCTTTAGCATGAAAGGGAGTAACCTTTCTGAAAAGCGCTGTACTGCATGTTTGACAGAATGAGCGTTTTTTTATATATTTTTGCGTCATTCATTATTAATTGAGATAATTATTTTTCAGCCTCTTAAGGTCAAAACTTGAATATGGGTCTCTGATATGGAGCCGTATTTATAAACAATATGTAGATGCTATTGATAAAATTCAGAATAAATGTTTGAAGTTTCTCAGTTTCAAAACTAATGGAATATACCCTGCAAGTAGTTCCGATTATAATGACCTTTTACAAAAGTTTGATTTTCAATCCTTAAAGCAGCGACGGAATCAATTTTCTGTACTCATTTTATACAAATTTTTGCACGGTCAAGTCAACTGTCCCCAAATTCGCTCGCAGTTACAATGTCTGGTGTCACGATTAGCTTCACGAGCTAGTGTTATCTTTTTTATGTCAAAGAGTACAGGCTAACTTATTATCGAAAGCACCAGTTAATGCGATGAGTAACAATGCCAATAAAACTGCTAACGTCTGTCACATTTTTGGGTTGCAGTTTTAATAAGATAAAATATAAGTCACGTTTTCTAAGTTAAAACTTACCATTTTGTATAGATATAAAGAGAAAATGATCACGCAGAAAGGTATATAGCAGTTGAGCAGAAAATAGGATAGGTAACCCGAGCAACACGTATTCTAGATCTAGACTATCGAAAGCTTGAGTTGTAAGTTAAAAGAGTACACTTTGCGTGATTTGTCGATTTTCCCGAAGATGGATTCTTCCACTTAGCTAGTTATTTCGTCAATGACTGTATTACCTATATACATATATATATATATATATATATATATATATATATATATATATATATATATATATATGCTTTGTTCGTATGGAAATACCTCTAGGCTAACTTTTATTTTTATAAATTGCAATGTTATTGGCGATAAGTTGTTGGGCAAGGCTTATTATTATTATTACCATTATTATTATTATTATTATTATTATTATTATTATTATTATTATTATTATTATTATTATCATTATTATTATTATCATTATTATTATTATTATTATTATTATTATTATTATTATTATTATTATTATTATACTATTTCAGTCTAAACACGGTAGGGTATACACAATCACACAGGAAGACAGAAAACGATTTAGCATATTCAAGGACAACCTACAAAAAATCGAACACCACAACGCAAAGTATGAAAAGGGAGAAGTTTCATATGCTTTGAAGATAACTAAGTTCGCAGATATGACATGGGATGAATTCAAAGATTTTTTAAGAAACTCGTTTGGTGACCTAATAGAAGATAATTCTGAGAAGTCATATGAGTCTCGTCTGGAAGAACGCAATGAAGAGACTATTGTAGATCTTCCCACTGCAGTTGATTGGAATCAAAAAGGAGCTGTGACCAAAGTGAAAGATCAAGGAACCTGCGGTTCTTGTTGGGCCTTTAGCGCGGTAAGTAACATTATTTGACGTTTTTTAACTTTCAATGGCAAAACATCATTGTTGCTAAGGAAGAAGAGAGAAAAAATACGATGTCCCTTCTTTCCAGAGGCATGGAAGTTTGCTCATATACAACCCTTCCTAAAAATGATTAAGCTTTCTGACAGAGATTAAATTCTGTATTTAAACTTTAGCTGCGCAGCTGCTAATCATACCAAAACTTATAGACAACCTGGAATGACATTAATTCTAAACCTTAGCAATATGAGTGACTGAAGGTTTCCGAAATATCAGACAAAACGTATGATTATAATCCTAGGAGTTCGCTTTCGGTTCAGCAGAAACGAAAAACGATGTACCTAATGCAGTGGGCTATCAGTTTTTGAGAGCGCGTGAGGGAAGTCCCAAAAATTTTGAACCAAATTACTTTAATGTCTCTGATCATTGAACGATCCAATAAGGGTACATTAGATCCACATTTCTCTTTCAAATAAATAATGTGCTTTTTGGTGTTTCCAGTATCACCCCGAGAAATACGAAAGTTGTGTGATTTTCTAGTTTATATGTTACTGAAATTATTACTTTTACAGGTAGGTGCCTTGGAAGCACAACATCTCCAAACGAATGGTTCTTTGTTGGATTTGAGCGCACAAGAATTGGTAGATTGCGCTGATGCCACATACGGAAACATGGGATGTGCTGGAGGACTCATGGACAATGCTTTCAACTTTGTAAAGGTTAAGGGCATCCTCACCGAAAAGGAATATCCCTACAAAGGGATTTCGGATTACTGCAGACAAAAACAAGAAGGATTCAAAATTCAAAGCTATGTCGATGTTGCAAACCAGGATGAAAAAGTTCTTGCCAAAGCTGTCGGTAAGTTATTGCATATTAGTATACTTTCAATTTTTTTTCAGCACCATGTGTACAGGTACCAATTTTCGTCGGTCCGTTTAAATATTTTTGAGTGTATTTATTGTAAATTGTTTTAGAAAAGTCAAAATATTCTTTTTTAACGTTCTTAAACTTCCTCGTCGCTTTAGCACGTAGTCAACAAATATTTAGTGGGCTTTAAAATCTAAAAATCAGACACTACTCGTATATTGTTATTAGTGGCACTAAGAATTTATGACTATCTCAAAATAATAAATATATTTATATCAATGTGTGGAAAACACTAAGACACTGTAATTGACTCTTTTTTTCTTTAGCTCAAGTTGGTCCAGTCTCTTGCGCAATGGACGCTTCTTACATCCAGTTATATAGTCACGGTATCATAGACAGATCTTGTGGATGTGACAATGCAAGATATTCCTTAAACCATGGCGTACTGGTGGTGGGATATGGGGAAGAAAATGGAGTTCAATTCTGGCTGGTTAAGAACTCTTGGGGTACAGGATGGGGAGAAGATGGGTATTTTAAGCTGAGAAAGAATGACAAGAATTCTTGTGGTATCGCTACCCTATCTTCCTACCCCGTGGCATAGCTAATGTGTATTAGAACATACTGCTTGGTATATTTGTATAAAAATTCTCATATTGAGGATCAATAATTATATTATCAGTAAAATTCATCTTTACACGATTGTATTTGTTTTATTTTTAATAGAATACCCTACACCATTAACCCTAAAACCACTCACATTATAAAAGCCACACCCAACTCCATTGTTCCTGGAACAAGTAGAAAAAAAAATATTATTAGTTTTCTGTCATATATTTACTTCAAGAGAACATCGCCTAAAAATACTCATGTTTTTATGTCCTCAAAATAAAAGAACTACCGAAATTGTAAATAAACTTGTGTTCCGCCTTTAGTACAAGTTTGAACTAGCTCGAGTCATTTGGTTGTCTGTAGCGATTTTTTGTATGAAGCAGTTTTTCCTATTGTATTCTAAAAATAAATAGCATCAATTTCGAGCAACGGTGTGCTATCAGGCCTACGGTGTTTTGTCAAGAGCCCAGGTTTTTCGGTGGTTTAAGACATTTTCAGAAGAGATAGAGTCGATTGAAGATGAACCACCAAGCGGAACGCGTTCATCTTCCAGAATCGATGGAAATATCTACAGAATCCGAGATCTTGTGCGTTCAGATCGTCGGTTGACAGTCAGAATCGCAGTTCATGAGATCAAGAATAACTGGGTGTTGCATCACGAAAATGCTCCTTGTCACACAGCAATGTCAATAAACAAGTATTTGGCCAGTAAAAACATTCATGTGACTCCTCAGTCTCTTTATTTGCCTGACTTGAGTCCTTGTGATTTTTTTCTCATCCCGAAGTTGAAAAATCACCTCAAGGGGACTCATTCTGGGACAGTCGAAAAAATTCAAACGGCTGTAATCGACCAGCTGAAGGCTATTCCAGTATCGGAGTTTCAGCATTGCTATGAAGAGTGGAAGAACCGTCTCCTGCGCTGTGTGACTTCAAAAGGAAGTCATTTTGAGGGTGACAATATAAAACTGTAATTATATTTGGATAATAAAATTAAAAAATCAGTCTCATCGCTTAATTTACAGACCTCGTATACTATAGGTCATTGTGCTATTCTCTATAAGTGGCGTGAGCAGCGAGTACACGTGGCATGGGCTAGCGACTATAACTGGTACACAAGTGATAAATATGGCTATCACATCGCTATCGTAGCGATTATTTTTTTATACCGAAGTAGTCGCGCAGGCGCCGCGGCTGCTAGGAGGAACCCATAGAAATTTTGTTGATTAAGATTATTTTACATAAAAGGCGCAGAGGTGTCAGCAGAAAACAAACGACTTAAAAAAAACATGCGCGAATAGACAAGCATGTCATCACAAACATGCCATATAGAAGATCGCTAAACTACCAAATTACTGCGTTATCATAAGGTAGTTAGAACTTCTAGATCAGAAAAGATGTATGGCAGTTTTCTTCTCTCCAGCTTAGCACTTTCAATGCCGCCAGGTGCGTTCAGTCTTGTTTATGTTTGGTGCCACCAACGCGCCTAGCGCGTTTTGTATATTTACTCACTAAAGCGAGCAGTTCTTATTCTGGTCAAGGTAAACGTCAGGAATTTTCATGAAAGTGACAAGTTGAAATACTGTTTCCACTTCTGTCTATTATTTATTGTATATTGTGTTTTATCTTTGTATAAAACGCAAAAATTACAATAAAATGGGAATTTCATGAAAGTAACTTGTCTTAGTAATATAGGTTTCACTTTTGTTTATTATTTGTATTCTTGTGTTTTATTTAAATTTGCTTGCAAATGTTACATACCTTCTGTGTATTTCACATGTTATTGACATTGCAATGAAAAACTAAAATCACAATTCAAAGTGAAACGCGAGGCGCGTTGGCGGTATACAGCCATACTCGCATGCTATATGCTGCCAACCCGCATAGCGCGTTATTTTCATTTGTATGACGTTTTCTTCTTTATGGTGCATACATCTTTTAAGTTTTGTATTCCCAACTTACTATGTTGGCCTTGCTGTGGCTTTGATATAAAATGTTTTTTATTCACACCGGAGCAGAAGCGCAGGCAGAAGCCAAAATGCGAGGACACCTCGGCTGCCATGAGGATCCCAAAGAAACTTTGTCTGTTAGAGAAGAGTCATCGATCAGTTGGACAGTCCTCCTCTAGACAGCATCGAGCATGAATAATGTACTCGGCGCGGCAGCACACCAAACGTGTGGGCAATCTCGAGGCTAGCTCTCATCTGGGCCTTGTATAGAGTGACAGGAGGTCATGTGGAGAAAAGCACTTCTTAGCTCAAAACCAATAGCCTAGCTTTTTCCCAGCAGCTGCCGCTATTGACGAGATGTGTTCGTGCTAGATTAAGTCCTCGGTGATCTGCTCCGATCAGCCGAAATGAAATGGATGAAGGCTAGGCCGCCTTTTGTTCGTCAAGGAACAGTACTGTGTCTTGGAAGCATTAAACTGTACAAGATTGTTGCGTCCATGTGCTCCATCTGTCCCAATAGAACGTTTGATTAGAAAGGTCTAAGTCCACAACATATCCTGAAACCAGTACTTTTCATCGCTATCTCAAGTCTTATGTATAATGTGATCATATAAAAATCCTAATATCTCGAAAACGATCTTCTGGCAACAAAATATTTGATTTTCTTATGACTCATAATGTCGTCTAAGTGAAGGGCTGTTTACTCATAACGCGACTCCCTGGAAAAGATCTCTATCACACCATTTCGTTTTTTGAAGTCGAATTTTGAAACATTCTGCATGTAAAGTAGAAATGTAAGGAGATCGCATCGATTGCTACGGACACAGGTCCTAAAGTAGCTGTAAAATAACTATTTGGTTAACAAAAGTGATTGTAATTGTCCAAGTTCGTCAAAACCCAGCGCTTCGCTACGATAATGTTAGATAAAGTTGTAGTCACCGTTCTTGTCGGGTCAAAGTAAGACTACCAGTATCCCTTTATACAGGGTGTCTAATAAGTACCACGACAAACTTAAAGAGAAGGTGGGCTTTGGAGTGACCTCCCAAATAACAAAAACTTACCTATATAAAAGTGTCACCGTCTTTGAGATATTGAATTTTTTCTTAAATTTCAAAAAAACGAACCTTTTCATCTGTGGTCTTTAGCTGCATGTACAAATAAGGTTATACTTTGTTCATTTTTTCTATAAAATTTAGTTAAAAGATATTAAGGAACCATGATCAAATAAGGACTATTTTGGGATTTATAAAAATGTACTGGCCTATAACTGCATTATATTGTTGTGTTGTACTATTTAGCATGACATTGGTCGGCAACTTAAATTTAAATTCAATAATTACATTGTAGTGTGTGTCAGACACATACAAATATCACTTTTTTCTATTCCAAATAGTACGTGTGGCGCCGTTCTGAAATCTGTACTCAATGAGCAATCTTTCATTCAATAAAAGCAGTTATAGCCCAATACATTTTTGTTTCACCACAAATGGTCAAAGTTGAGCAAACAATATCAGAAGGTTATAAATCCCAAAACACTCATGTTACCTTGGTTTCTTGATATCTTTTAACAACATTGGATTTGTATATGATAAAGCAACTATCTAGAAGTATTTTATAAAAAAATTAACAAAGTATAACCTTATTTGTACATGCAGCTAAAGACCACAGATGGAAAGGTTCGTTTTTTTGAATTCAAGAAAAAATTCAATATCTCAATATATAGGTAAGTTTTTGTTATTTGGGAGGTCAGTCCAAACCCTACCTTCTCCTTAAGTTTGTCGTGGTACTTATTGGATACCCTGTATATCTCTATCTCCCTCATACATACACATGCAACCTGCCCCTGTGTGTGAACGTTTGTTCGGTAAGCTCAAAGACATACGTTTTTTAGTCCGTCTCGAAAACTTTGTCCTTACGTATGAGTGCTCTTCAATCATATTTGTCAGAGTGACAACTTACTTGACATCGGTGTTTTGCAATGCCTGGAAATACGAACAACGGAGAAGGCCGACAGCTCGTGCAAAATTTAGTATTTCCAGGAAGAAAATGAAAACAGCGGTCCCTGTTACCCACTTCATGCGTACTGTCGAGAGTAGCAGTTGCGCTGGAGCTTAGTCTGCGCAGTGTTCTGCCCATGGTATTGAGACTCGGAGTCTGTTTTCATTTCATACGGCGTCGATGTCGTAACCGCCAAGAACGGTATCTACCACTATACTAAGTTTACTCATCGCCACGTCTCAATCAAAACGTCGGTAAATTCATTTCATCTTTTATTGCTCAATGTGTAAACCCAGTTGAGTCAAAGTCACATTGATTCTTTCTAATGAATGCGACTATCGGATTTCGTGGTTTAGAGGCCCACATACAAACAGCATGTACTACTTCTCTATTTTTATTTCATATTACTATTTAATAACAATTCTTTCCGCTGATAAAGGGTGTCCCTACAGGTACTTGGGGGAATTTATGTTTAAATAAAACCATCAATATTTAGAAAACTACAATGTTTGTTTACATTATCAGAATGGGAGATTTGTTTTATAAATATGATATTCTTGAAATTCCTCCCCCACTCCCGCTCTCTCAAGTGATGATCATTCTTTGACTTAAATGTTCAGCACTTTTGATAAAATTCCGATTTCGTTTTACCAATAGCTTGAGGAACGTGTTGCTGAAGGCAATCAATCATTCGCGGTTTGTCTAAATTCTAAATAGACTTTATCCTTGAGGAATCCCCACAAAAACTGTCAAGCGTGGTTAGACTGAATTGATCTCGCTATCATTAACATTGCAAGAAATCACGCAGCCATCAGGAAAACGTGTCTGTGCAATTTCTAAGTTTTCCTTGCAATACGCCACATGATCTGTCTTGTTGAAGGAAATATTGTTAAAGTGCATATTATCCAAATTTTTGTGGTATCCCTCGCCGTGAATTTACTGTTCCATCATAGTAATATTCATGAAATAAAAAGTTTATTTTCCTAGTACGACCAATAATTAAATTTTTGTGTCTATAGATTATACAGTTGAATGTGCTTAATGCTCGGTAGTAATTACAAGGGCGCATTCCTGAACCAAATATAAGTAGAAATATTCATATAACAAGTTATTTGTTTAGGACCTAGAAGCACTTTTCTCCTCACAACCTCCTCACCCTGTACAAGGCCCAGATAAGACCTAGCCTGGAGTACTGCTCTCATGTTTGAAGTTCTGTCACCCCGGCTACATTGTTTATACTTGCTGTTCAGAACAGGGCTGTTCGACTGATTAATGCCACTTTTCTAACGGACAGTCTCGGGACTTTTCGCACGGACGGACGGTCGGCGATCATGCTCTCTTCACCGCTATGTCAACAGGGTAGCTCATCAGAGCTCTCCTCCATGATGCCGCCGCGCGTTGAGCCTGCCTCCCATTCCACCTCTATCGAACTTCGCACATCGATAACTGTCCGATACGAACGCTCCGTCGTTCCTATGTTGTGGAGATTGTGAAACAGTGTGTATGAGGAGATTTTTACAGTTCTGTTTATCCTAGGCATTTCAAAAATCGAATTAACAAGGCGTCTTTAAGTTTCTTTTAGAAGTCGTGGTGTCCCGATATTAAGGTTTCTGCTTACGCGACTGCTTCAGTATAAAACAAAATCAAACGTTGACACTCAGTGATCTTTCGGTAAGACGTATTTTACATATGGAACTCCACTTTCATCCCTAGAAATTGCCCAATGTGCAACAGTTACAGCCTGGAGATTACGCACAACCAATGAACTTCGCACGTGAGATGGAAGTTCTTTTGGAGAACCTCATTTTGTTCATGAGAGATGAAGCTCATTTTCATTCATCGTTATTGGACTAATGAAAATTCGCGACAGTTACATGAAAGACCGCGGCACACCCCAAAAAGTGACGGTTTGGTGCGCAGTATCGCAAACTTGCATCATCGGCCCTTACTTCTTCGAAGACGGTAATGGCAATGCTGTTACCGTGAACTCGGAGCGCCACGTTGAAATGATCACCAACTTCTTTTCAACTGAATTAAGTCAACGACGTGTTCCATTCCGACGTGTGTGGTTCCAACAGTATTGGGCGACCGTCCACACAGCCAGAGCAATGATGAACGTTATTCGACCTCTGTTCCGTGGTCGCCTTACTCGTATTTCCAGGTTTGGTGATATTCATTGGCCTCCTCGGTCCCCAGATTTATCCATCTGCGAATTTTTCCTATGTGGACACCTCAACGCTCGTGTATACGAGCACAGGCCCCGAACTCTATATGAGTTGAAAGAGGCGATTCGCAAGTCGCCCAAGTTGAGAGAACGTGTTGGAGAGAGTCTACGCGAACTATCAAGAACGCCTCCAGCAATGCATTGAATGTGATTTTCCACACTTAACTGTGACAAACGCTATTTTATTGTGAGCCCGAATCAAATAAATTTGTTTTTGAGTAAGAATTACAGATTTTGTGATTTATTAAAAACCGTCCGACCTTTGTGCCGGAGCCTGTACTACAAGAATCAACTGCGAGATTGAAAACAGCAAGCTGTCTAACTGTATCCCAGTTCGCATTGTTAGCCGGGTCACCACTGTGGCCGCTAGATGTCGCCGATGCTGGTGCTATAGTAGACACTCTTCAAACTAGTAATATAGTTTTCGTACATCCGACCACAGAAGCACACACACATGTCTGGATATACCTGTGTTGCGGTCTGAGCGATGAATGGTTGCAGTACCATTTGTTTTTTCTTATTATACAATCATGTTCGTAAATATTTTTTCCTCAGAAGGGCTAACTATGCCTAACATAATTCTTTTTGAACTGATGACAGTGTTACGTGGAAAGTGCAGTGTCAACCTACTAGACACCTTATAGATGAAAATTTGAATCAAAGTACCTGTATACCGACAATTTCGATTTCAATGTCTGCTGATAGATAATTATTGTATTTTTCATTCACAAAAAAATATCACTGGAGAATAAGAAATGGAAAAACACAACAAAAAAAATACGTCCGAATGTGGAAAATTGGGGGTTCTATTTCAATATGTCTACTTGACTTTGAAATGACCTTAAATGACCTACAAATTTATTTGAAACTTTTTTCTAGATTACGCAGTTTTCGAAATATTTAGGTAGAGATCTTTAAATTAATTATTCAACTTACAGTACTGAATGCTCAGCATGAACCACACATTTCTTGATCTTTAACTTCTAAGACAGCACCTTTCTGTCTCCAATCTACAGCCTCTGGAAAATCATCGTCGTCTTCATTGTGTCTCGAGAGAGGTTTACTGCTTTTGGGTTTGGGCATACGCTGCTTATGCAAAGTTAGCATTTACTTGAATTCTTCTTGTGTCATATCACCAAACTGGTTGATTTTCATTTTGAAGGTTTGGTTACCCTTTCAGTACTGTTCATTATGGTTTTCAATCATTCTTAGGTTTGATTTGAAGACTTCAAAGTGCCTCTTTTCTTCCAGAAGACTTCAGTATGTATTTCCATGTTGGAACTATAATCAACAAACGCTTTTAAAGACAGCTATGATCAAATAAGTATTTTTGTATACAACATAAGCAATACACATTCATTGATTTCCAAATTGTATCTACTACAAATAAAAGAAAAAATGCTTTTAAAAACAAGGCTTAATTTAGTTGTTCATAAAGTAAACTAGCAATTAAAATAAATCTTACTTTATTTGTACTATGAAATTTCAATCAATATAATATCATTATCGATATTTTGCGGCGATCGCCATAATATGGAATTGAGAATGACGTTACTTGCTTATCGTATTTCTCACATTGCTGAAACAACACATTGGCATTATTATATATATATTTATATATGCAGTTACACATAAGTAAGGAAAGTCACGATATTAATATTGAGGTGAAAACATTTAATGTATCACTGGGTTTAACTAATAATTTGTACGGTCGCTCCGATGGCATTTATATATTCGTCCATGCTCCTGAAGAGATGATATATCTCATCCTAAGCTGTCACTCTTCTTCCCGTCATATCCCACACATGTTCAATGGGTGGAAGGTCTGTAGATCTAGGAACAGGACCGACCAGAGACGGTAAACAAGTGAGGCGAGGCAGGGAGCAAAATTATCAATTTCATCAATTTCGACCTGGGTATCAGAAGAGCATTAGCTCTGATGTAGCCGAGCTCGCCCCCCCCCCCCCCCCCTCTGTTGTTGGGAAATGCATTAGCACTTAGAAACACTGATGGAGCCGAGCAAATTGTAGATAGCACCTCTTCTCCCCTGTCCGAGACGACAACTCCATAAGCGACCCCTCGACTGAAAGCCTGGATGCGCCTTTGTTCTCAATCAATGTGAAGGTTAGGGTGTATATTTCATCCTCAGGGCGCACCAAACTCTGAAGCCGGCCTTGTCTAGGAGACCAAGAAAGGAGTCTCACAAGAGCATTGTAGGCCTAGTAATATGTTGGAAAATAAGGTAGACATAATAGTTATGAGAAAATATAAAAAGTCTAAGTCGTGAACTTTTCAAATTGTAGGCTTTGAAAAAATCGGAAACATCTACACCCTTTGATGATCTTTTAGTTTCCATTACTGCAAATTGCAATTTTTTTCTTAGACGGGGTTACGGACAGTGTCATCCTACGTAGTGGTAGCAAGACAGATAGTAACATCACTTTTATTAACCCATGATTGTGGAGTGCCACCATGTCTGTGCACACCGTGCATGAATAAGACAACATGCACCTCATTTATGGGGAATGTAGATGCTATACTACTACTACTACTAATGCTAGTGAGAGGTACCCAAATGCTGCTCGTCATCCCGATCACCGATTTTTTGTGAATGAGCACCGTTTACTCTCAGAGAGACGATTTCCAAATCAGGCACATGGTGAAGGAAGAATTTCATTTCCTTACGAGGACGTCGTACTACAAGCAGTTGAAGAAGCCCGAGTATTTCAGTACGTTAAATAGAAGCAAGCACGGGTGAGCCCAAAGTACAGCCCATTGAATCTTGCGAAAGAACGAACTCCACCCGTACCACGTACAGCCTGTACAAGTTCTACAACCCCCGGATAATGTTCTAAGAGTTGAGTTTTGTCAAACAATGTTACAGAGACACCCGGAAGATCCGCCATTTTTAGAGGAAGTATTATGGACTGACGAGTCGGCATTTGAAAAAGATGGTTACATGAATCTACACAACTTACGCGAGTGGCATGTAGAAAATCCAGACTTGATGAGACAAGATCTGTCTTGATCTATCACAGTACCTTTTTAAAGTGACCGGTATTCTATTTTGAGCTGCCAGAGTTCTTATTTAGACTTTTTATAAAATCATTTACCAAATTTATTGGAAGACTAGCCACTAAGCATTTACAGAGACATGTAATACCAGCACGGTATATCTTGATGCGGAATACCCGAGCAGATGAATAGGGTGGTCTGGTCCAATTTCGGGGCCAGCCCCTTCACCTGACTTAAATTCACTCGATTTTTTTTACTGAGAAGCGGTGAAAGAAAAACTTTACTCAAAGCCAATCGAAAATTTAGCTGACCTAGGGGGAAAATAACGGCAGTAGCTAAATTTGTTAATAACGGAAGACTCGCCCGTCTGATAACCCGATGATTTTTGAAAGGCAGTTTAAACATTTATTGTGAATTTAATAAATACTTTCACGGATAAATAAAATGACGATACTATCCGTCTTGCAGTCACTACGTAGAATAACACTCTCCGTCTAAGAAAAAATTCAAATTTGTAGTAATGGGAATTAAAAGATTATCAGAGGGTGTAGATTTTTCAGATTTTTTTAAAGCCTTTTGAAAAGTACACGATTTTTTTATATTTTTCTATATACTATTACGACTTGACCTATCCCCGTTTCCGGCTTGACGTCGATTTCTGAAATGTCCTGTATAGCATCAGAGCGGCCCATTATTATCAGGCAAATCCAGCGATACTGCAAATGTTTTTGCTTCAATTTCATCTTCCATTTTGTCTAACTATATGTATATAAAATTTCATTCAGATAAAATCATTTTTACTGTAAGTTCTATTTTCTCTTTCACCGAGTATATTATATGCCCCATGCCAAATGAAATATCCCACTACCCACTACCCGGAACGACAATAAAAAATATGAAATCACAAACCCATCTGAAACGGCGCAGATGTAAATGATGCTAATAATACTTTTTCATTGAAAAACTCAGTGTCAGATGAATAGTCAGGACTTATCTCAAGTGGATATATTCGAGAGGGTTAGATACGCTAAACAGTAAGTATCCTGTTTTTTAATCATTGGAGAAACTGTACTTAACCATTCAATAACCCCACTTCAGTTGTTCATGGAATAAAACTAAATGAAGTGAAAAGCAGAAAATACTACATTGTATATCTGTTACCGGCATTCTGTATAATCCGGTATTCTATACAATACCTAGGTGATGTATAGAATACCTAAAACGTGTAGGTGATGCATGAAATATAATTTGTTTTATACTTTGCCTAGGTATTCTATACAATACCGAATGCGCAGCCGGTAATGTATGTAAAAGACGAGAACAAGGAAGATTTTGTGCACTTTAAAATGTCACAATAGTTCCTCATGTAAAAATAAATAATTTTTTCACGTATGTACTTAATTAAAATTTTGACTATGCAGTAAACCTACTTATTTTCAGAGGTTTGTTTTGTTTCTTAAGTTTTTTATACGTATTACGTACGTACTTGTAAGCAAAGAAAATTATTATGTTACTTATAGCCAGAATAATATTTAGTTCCACGTTAATTTTACTGTGATTTTTACTGTAGCAACAGAAAGGTGCTTTTTTGTACCCTTTTCATAAAGCTTATTTTTAACGAGCACTTTAAGTGTTAATTTTAATAAATTTGATTTTAAATAATATGACTTGTTTCATTTGCCGGACATTTTCTAGGTATGCCGGTGAACATTGTTAAATTTAGACCAAGATCTATTTATTTTACACATTTCCGGTGGAACAGCAGTTACTCTATACAATCCCTAGGAATTGTATTCATTACCTAGGTAAAGTTTGTAATGGATAATAATACTCATAATATTTCATACATTGCCTGGGAAACCCAGGTATTCTATATATTGCCTAGGTATTTTATAGAATACCTGAACTATACAGACTACCGGTAACATATCTACAATAACTTTACAACAGTTTAGTCCAAAGACCAACGCGAGTGGTCCAGTATTATGAGAGTTTGCTTTATTTTTTTGACATAAGCTTTTAAGAGTTCACTAAGGGGCTGAAGTAAAAACGATATCTAGAATAAACTATAGCTTATGTGTTGAATGTATGATTAGACTGAGAACAAGCAAGCCGGCATAAGAATCCCTAGTTTCGTATTTGTTTCAGCCGCTCAGTGCACAACCAATGGCTTCAAATTTACATGTTTACCAAATATACAGGGTGCGCCATCTTTTATGTCGGTATCGAAACCTCGAATGGCTTTGATATTTACCAACCAAGTGATTTAGTTATACGTGTTTCTGAAACGTCAATTTACTACAATTTTAACCATGAATCGCTTTAAATCGAAACAACCCGGCGAAATAGTCACAATGTACATTGAAAATCGTCGTTCAGTTGTCTTAACGCAACGTGCATATCGTCGAAAATATCGTGTCAAACAGGCACCGTCTGACAACACTATCCGTCGTTTGGTTTCGAATTTTCTTGAGTACGGGACAGTGGGAGATCGTCAACATACCGTTCATCAACGACCAAGACGTTCCAATGAATTGGTTGAAGCGGTCAGCGACAGCGTTGCCCAGAACCCAAAAGTGTCGTATCGTCACCGCGTTCAGCATTTTGGCATCAGTGGAACCACGTTGCGGCGCATTTTGATGGATGATTTGCATTTGTTTCCTTATAAGGTGCAATTAACACAATAAATATTGCCAACTGACAGTCCACGTCGCTTGGAATACGCCCAAACAGTCGCTTGCATGGTTGATGCTGAACCTGATTTTTGGAAGCAAATTGTGATGACCGACGAGGCCCATTTCACGCTCTCTGGCGGCGTTAATAAGCAAAACTGCGGCATTTGGGGGACGGAAAATCCACATGAGATCCACGAAATGCCGTTGCATGACCGGAAAGTGACTGTTTGGGCCGGCGTTTGCGCCAAAACCATCATTGGGCCATTTTTCTTCAACGAAAACGAAACAGATGATGGAAATCGATATCGCAAGCCCCAGACCACCGAAGAACTCAAGGCAAACATTCGTACCGCAATCGCCGCTATACCACCAGAGATGCTCGAAAAAGTAATAGAAAACGTAGCAAAACGGGCACATTTTGTTTTGGCCAATAAAGGTAGCCACTTGACAGATGTTGTGTTCAAAAACTAGTCCCAATAAATTGTAAAGGACCATATTTAATAAAAATAGCCGATATATAGAAATCAGTTTTTCGTTTTCAAAGTTATTTCATGTTTACATACCGATATAAAAGATGGCGCACCCTGTACATCAAATAATTCAGTAATTTTCAGTCAAAACCACTTAAAATATCATCCTATATGTATTGTACAGAATTTCTGTAATAATTTATTTCAAGAGGTACGTGTATCATATTGATAAATGTTATATTTATGATTTGATTTTGTTGATAAGTGCCTGTTTATTTTTCAGAGTGTAAAAACCTGGTTGGTGGTAAGAGCAGCTTCATAGTTGATACCCGCCAGGTAAAATAAAGGCCAATTATTATTATTATTATATGATTATTCATGAATCTGGATTATCGTAATCTTGATGAGTATGGACTAAACACTTGAACACATCACTGCACATCTTGACAGTACCCCACGAAATATAATAAAACAGTTTTTGCAGGTACTATTATATCTACAGGGAGAACCAAAATTTGTCTGACGACTTGAGTTCAATGTGTACGAGAGAGAAGCGCGAGAAGTGTGTATCAACACATGTTAGAAAGAGATAGACGCCCGCTGAAGAGAGAACATCATCACCACATTGCCTAGTGGATGCCTGCGTGTACGCAGATGAAAACTATTTCGATGCAGAACGACACTCCCCACTGAGCGCTAGATGGGTACTGACCAAAATCGCTCATCTATAATCATGGTTCGGTGTTGCCAAGCGAGCCAGTGATGCAATGATGCAGAATTTGTGGCGATCGACCTAAAATGAAGGGCCGTTAGGACCGATCCTGAATCGATCCCAAACAGATTCGTCACAATCCTAACATGTGTGCGTTCAAAATAAAACCATTATTTGGGCATAGAGAATAAACTAAGACATATTTTCAACATGCATCTTAATTCAGGGAACTGGTCTAACATATTGACAACGCGGCAGATTGCCGCGTCAGCGTTTCTAGGCAACGCGGTGATGACCTTCGCTATCCAGCCGGCTTCTATTTCTTTCTAACATATGTGTCTATACACACTTCTTTCTCGTACACATTAAACTCAAGCCGTCAGACAATTGTGGTTTTCAGTGTATAGGGTAGTTAGAACACAGTTGATTTTGAGGTATATAATGTTGACCGAGTGAAAAGGTAGGGTTAAAAATAACACCATTTTGACTGAATAACCCTTTTATTAAAAAAAAAAAACATATACATGACTTCTAGTTACTAGAAATAGTAAGAGAATGATAGAATGAACCAAGTGCTAGCAAAGATACATTAGTAGGTTGTATGAAAACATTCTCAAAATCATCCAAAGCTGTAGTACATTCTGAAATACAAATAAATAATCAAAACCTGTAATCGTATTTATCACTATAATAGTTACCTTCATAAGGAATTGTCCAATCAGAAAATAAGTCAGCTTCGGGACTGTTATACGTGTACAGTTTAATACAGCCTATTTCCTGTAGAATCTAAAAAATATCGTAAAATATTGTATTACTAATAACGGGTGACGCCAAATAAAAATGAGCGAATTTAATATCTTGAATTGTTTTAGTTGGATGCAGGGTTTTTATCTAAATAATAAAAGCTATTTCTCTTCATGGTGATATTGCCATATTAACGATATTGTTATGATTATGTAGAGGAACGGTTTTTATTTTTTTAAGCGAAAACCGTGCATTGAATTGGAAAAATCCAGCTATCAAATTTGCTTATAAATTATTGGAGATGTAAAAATAATTTCGATATTTCGATTTCACAGTGGCTCAGCATCAATGTCTACCGAAATAAGCAAGTGGAATTCCATACGAACGTCACTCTTGGAAATTGAAAAAAATTAATGCTGAATTTTATTTAAATATCTGAAGTGATATTTACAGATATACCTGTACATAATAAATGATTTATTTTTGTAAACTTTATCTCAAAAGTTAAGACATTCAGGACAAACGTTCATAAGAAGTTTTCTTCTTAATAGGGTCCAAAAAATCGCCCCCTTAAATATTGGCATTCAATTAGGAAACACCCTGCATATGTATATAACATGAAACTGAATGCATTTTCCGGTGGATCCAATAGAACCTACGACTCGAGAACAATTGTATTAAAAAATTATTTTGTTCTGTATTGTATCTTGTGTGTGGGTGTAAACTTAGAATAGTTCAAATATAGGCGAGTGAAATGGAAAACTTAGATGTAGCTTACAAACAAAAGCAGATTTAAATTATGCATAACGCGTGATTAAAAAAAATTTGTACGACACTGATGAGACAAGGACAACACATGAATATTCTTAATATACTACATAGAATTTTAAATGCCAAATTTCAGTAACTTAAGTTTTTATACAAATTATATATCAAACATTCAATTCAATTTTTCTTCAAATCAAGAGAAGCAATTTGTGTAAAATTAAATACCTTATCTAAAAATACAATATATATTTCAGGAAACCGAATGGCGCATAAAAGAATATTCTCTTTTCGGTAGAGGGTGAACATATTCAAATTTCTACGCCACTTGAGAAGTTAAAGCCGCAAAATCAATTGCTTCTATTATGCTCTTAGTACTGCATGTACGAAATTTTAATGTGATTCCCTTATCCACTCGACATATATTTTTTTCATGATTTTAGAACACCCTGTAAAGACACTTCTGGACCCGTGTTAATACAAACGTTTCTTCTTATTTTTGGGCTTACTTCCTACTCTACAAATAATAAATATTGCCTCTGTTTTTTCAATCACTCTGTATAGTAATCAATAGCCACATTTCCTCTTGATTTCACGGTAAAATGAACGGGGCGGAGGCATGCGTAGACGGATCCATCATCCCGTGTCAATCTAACAGAATTCGATACCGTGTCTTCTATTGCTTTTCCTTTCTATGTCAGTGGGCGAGGAAGTATTGCAATCGCGAAAATGACAGTCTACATCAAGCATCGGAAATGGAAGGACCTCTGAAGAAGCTTGCCACTCGTGCTAGCGAAACGTTAGGAAGAAATTCCAACCGACGACGGCCTTTAGACCCGAATCAGACAGCAGTTTTTCATCAATAAAATCAGACAACAATTATTTCTCAAACCAGTGGTATTTTCGTCTAAAATGACTATATAGAGCTTCAAAGACTTTATGAAAGAAAGAATAAGTTTCTTAAACTAAAAATACATACCTCGAGAATATAGAAGACTTCCACAGGCCGCAAGAACGGGAATTTGGCACATAGATTCCATAAAGTTATCCTTGGGTTATTTATAACATGTGAAAGTAATCTACACAACCACTGACTGAGCATCTGCTTATCTAATTGACCGGTGATTTTTGCCCAAGGAACGACCCTTACGGACTTTGTTGCACTTCCTCTGAAATACCCAAAAATTAATTTTACGATGAAAAAAAAACAATAAACCGTTAATTTTGACAGTAGAAGTTCTTAAAAGGGACCTACTCCAATTGTTTGGCGATCTCCTTCACTTGCTCCTCATCATCAGCATTTTGGATTTCTATGGGTATTTGGTAAGCATCAACCAGCCAGATATAACGATGAGTGTAGTGGACGAATCTTAGAGTACATATACCAACCCGTATCAATATACCAGCATCTATCAATCTCATTACATTTGTTACCAAGAATGACTTTTCTACGCACGGAAACGTCGCCTGGAATTAATTAGATGAAAGGCCAGGCTTTTTTGACTATGTATTAATTAATGTTTTTACCTGTAATTCAGGGCCAGTAGCTCCAAAGACACCCTTAGACAAAACGTACGCTACAATTTGGTTAGATATGTCCATGTCTTCCACACCTCCACATGCCATTTGTACAACTTCATCAACATCGGGAATCAAACCAACGTCTTTAAAAATCAGATCACTGAAATCAATTGTTATTACATACCTACTGAACAAACGCATGTCTCTGTCATAATCAAATTACGGTAATGAAAATATGAATGTTATACCTTTGAACTTTCTTCCATATGTTATGGTTTTTCGCATGGTCCTCTATAAATTTCAATGTGGGACTATCGTACAGCTGCTCAATATCGTCCAATATGAGATTTTCCAAAGAAGAAAACTGAGTTACGAAATGTTGTTTCAATTTATCAAGGTCGTCGTCGCTCATTTTACTTTCACTAAAATTGTCCCTATTCAGTAAATGGGCTAGATCAGTGATATAAGGTATTCTTCTCTCTTCATCAGGTGGTGTTACCTTCATTAGCTCTGCAATGATAACCAATGTTACTGCTATCGAAAATACACTTGTCCTGAATGTTCTAAGGAAAAGATGTTGTATTAACAATAACATACCTTCTTCAATTTCCTTCAATGAAGGAACGTAATCAAACTTGAAGATTTTATCACTCTTTTCGTATCGTTTCTCCCCTCCGACAGATATTTCTCGATCTGGATGTCTGCCTTCCTGATCCTGATCGTCTGTAGCTGGACTTTTCCTAGTAGGAATAAATTAAATGAATACCAGAGACTGATTTTTTTAAATGATGGTGATAATTCGATACTGTGTGCTGTTAATCACGTCCACGCAAAATTACGTGAAGCCAGCGAATTCGAACAGATTAACGGAGCCAAACGGCAGTATTTGTCGCCAAAATTAAGTAGTTTTAGTGTATACTTTTGGATAGATTTCCCTGCCAATGCCTACCAATACATCGCCATACCCCCTCTCAACTTTTTAGTATGCCCTTTTAGGAAAAAGAGTTATACAGGGTGGCCCATAAGTCCTTTGAGCTGGAAAAAAAGGAATAAAACCAAACTAGTTACATTATGAAGAATTATTATATTTTGTTATCATCTTTATTGAATGGGAATTATGTTTTAAAAATCACATCGTCTAAATGCAATCCATTACGATCACGGCACTCATATAAACGACGTCTAAAATTGTCGATGGCTGCGCGGCAAGTCAACACTGTAATGCTTGCCATTTCTCTTCGGATATTTTCTTTCAGGACATCAACTGATCGCGGAGTGATGTCGTACACTTTACTCTTGAGATAGCCCCATAAAAAGAAGTCCATTGGGGTCAAATCTGGACTACGTGGTGGCCAGGAAATGTCTCCTCTTCGAGAAATTACTTTGCTGGGAAACAGTTGACAGACGACGGGCATAGAAGTGTTGGAGGTGTGGGCAGTTGCTCCGTCCTGTTGAAACCAGGTCTGCGTATTATAGCCAGGAAAATTCTGCAACGCTGGTGTCAAAAACTCTTCTATCATTGCTACATACCGCTCCGAAGTAACAGTTAATGCGCGACCTCTGTCGTCCTCAAAAAAATAAGGGCCTACGATGCCATGCGCTGACATAGCAGCCCAAACTGTAACTTTAGGGCTGTGTAAGGTCTTCTGATGCTTACGCCTTGGATTTTCGGGGCTCCAATAACGGCAATTTTGTTTATTTACATGCCCGTTTAAATGGAAGTGAGCCTCGTCCGAGAACACATTATTGAGCGAAGAAAATCGATTCAACATTTCATTCGCAAAGTTTAGTCTCTGAATAGCGTCATTATCTTTTAATTCCTGCACTAACTGAATTTTGTAAGCGTGCAGACGTAAATCTTTCCTTAAAATCCGCTGTAAAGATGTCCTGGGTACGTTTAGTGCACTGGAACGCTTACGACTAGACTGGGTAGGATTTTGACTAACAGACTGTGCCACAATGTTGATGTTTTCTTCAATACGAGTTGTCCTTGGTCGACCCCACCGCTGTTTATCTAACGTCGAACCAGTCTCTTCGAACTTAGCAACCCAGTTCTTAATCGTTTGAGCTGCTGGACACTTTGTAAAATTGTGTAAATTGTGGTATTCTCGATATTTACGCCGCGCAATGGTTGCCGAAACATTATTTTGATAAAACGCGCGCACACAAAAAGCACGATCCGCTACAGTGAAACACTCCATGGCGACTGAATTCCCAGACACTGAAGATACTGCCCCCACCTCGCCCGCGCCGCTCACGCTCACCCGTTAAATTTTATTCAAATTTGAAATTTCAAAAGACTTATGGACCACCCTGTATATAAAAGTTGTAGGGTCTAATGTGAAGTTTAACAAACATTTTATAAAGCGCTATCGAATGAAACTGTATTTTTTTTAAATGAAACAACCTATATATTATTAGTTAAAAATATCTTCACTTTTTTTATGATTTCAAATATCAATGGTTTGTTATTCTTATTAACATTACTTTATTCAAAAACTTAAATCTTATGTGTCATTTAATCATATGTCTTGGATCCTATGCTAGATTACATGCGCGGCTAGCTGCAAACTGATTTGAACTCAGATACACAGGAATGAGTGACATACAAAATTTCAATTTTTGACCAAATCAATGAAACCGCATATTATTGGAATCGGAAAAAAGCGTCATCATGTTCAATAAAATTGTTCCATTTGAGAAAATAACGTTATTTGATAGCTCAAGATATATATATGCATTTCCTACTTTTTGTTATATACCTTTCTCCGCATGATCATTTTCTCTTTGTAGATCCTTTGAGCTTGAATTACCACAGCAAGTGGCTACAACCGGCCGCGTGGTTGTGGTTAGATGTCTCCTTGAAAATTCGAGGTCTTCTAGCCTTTTTATACAACAATGCGTAGGTTGGCTCTTGTTGTGGACTTCGTGTGTCGTTTTTTTCCCTCTCCATCTTCGTTTCCTCAGGTTACACCCGTATCCGGATGTGTGGGCATGAGTATCTACTTTTGTAGTTTCATATGTGCATTCATTTCGGGCCCGATGAAGCCAACCAGCTGAAATATGTATCGCTCGGGTTACCTATCCTATTTTCTGATCGAATCCACTTTCCTCCTTTTTGCGGATTTTGCCCATTATTTTCCTACTTTTTGTTATATACCTTTCTCCGCATGATCATTTTCTCTTTGTAGATCCTTTGGGCTTGAAGTACCACATCAAGTGGCTATAACCGGCCGCGTGATTGTGGTTAGATGTCTCCTTGAAAATTCGAGGTCTTTTGGCCAGTTTATACTACAATGTGTAGGTTGGCACTTGTTGTGGACTCCGTGTGTCATTTTTTTCCCTCTCCATCTTCGTTTCCTCAGGTTACATCCGTATCCGGATGTACGGGTATGTGTATCTGTGTATCCTATTTTCTGCTCGAATCCACTTTCCTTCTTTTTGCGGATTTTGCCCATTTTTTTATCATATATATATATATATATATATATACAGGGTGACTTTGAAGTTGAATCATTAATTTTCAGATAATGATTGTAGAAGATAAACCAAAATATGTGTGTAAAAATAAAAAAAAAATTAAAAAAAAATTTACCTTGTTTTATAAAGTATCCTCCCGACAAGTATTTCAGTGCGGACCTGTATTTGATCGTGAGGTCTTGGAGCACCGGCATGCCGTCACCTGATTCACGAGCCTGTTGTACTACATTAACAAAGGCACGAGGGGTTGGTTGCACTCGATTGGGAAACCGATCCGCATAAACATGTGCCATTTTTTATTTCGTTTGAGCCACGCAACAGACACCACTATTCACTGACGCGTTACCGACTGACACTGACTGTATACAAATGAATAAAATAATTGTAAAAACATCGTTCCAAATTCTTTCGCTTTTTTGTTTCCGATGCGATGAACTGATAAGGGGGATTATATCCGTTGTCGCCAAACACGAGCACATAATATTATTATTGAGACAGGGCGGTACTCAAACTTCCAAAGGGCTATAACTTTGTTACTTTAATTTTACCAGAAAAATGGTAAAGGAAAAAAATATTTCTTTTGATCAGATCTACTCACTGTTAAAATAAATGACTCAACTTCTAAGTCACCCTGTATATATATATATATATATATATATATATATATATATATATATATATTGCACACAAGACTTTATATTAGACACTACAACTTTTGTATAAAACGTCTTTTTGTCTAAACGGTCAAAAAAATTGGTGGATCGGTCAATTTATAGCGGGACACCCTGTACATTCAGATATACTTTCTGTGTTGGGATGTGATTCGCTTAGTTATTTTTAATAAACAGGGATAAGTATCCATTTACACTAGTTATGTCGGGAGGTTCGACACGACAGTTTTTAAAAGAACTTTTTACTACTGGACAAAATAAATTTATTGCCGTTTAATTACAATGGCAAATGAGTAAAAGCTGAATACAATAGATGCGACATATTTATTTCCTCGGATGAAAATGCTGACTCTGGATATTCTTGTCGCGTCGCGTCTCCAAAACTTTGGATTTACCAATGTTATGTTAGATATACAGTTCCGATAACAAACATCAGATTGGCACTGAGCATCCAAAGAAACAAGAAGTGGCATGAAATAAATCACATTTACCTAGCAAATGTTTATAATATTTATCTCTATGTTGAAGTACATGCCCTTTCGCAACGCTGAATATAATATTTTAACACTTATCGATGAAAGGATCTGCTTTTATTCAGCTTAAACTGCTTTGACAATCCACAAAAACCTTCACCATTTCATATAGTTTCACAGAAAAATTCGAATTTAATGCGAAATGTCAACAACTGACAAACTAGCTGCTAAAGTCTGATTGCCTTCTGGTATGCATGACTACTGATTACGTAATTTTGGATCAGATGAAACGCATGGTAGCTTCTTCTACATATTTAGAATTCGTAGGCTACAGCCGATCATTACTAAGAAATAGCTTATGCACGGTTTAAGATTAGTTACGCTAAAAATACATTACAAAACATTAGTATGCTTGCTAACCTTTCCGATTCTCCTTCATCAACAAAAAACTCTGGGCTAGGACTTCTACGCTCTACCTTCATACAATCACTGACCCAAACCTTCAGCCTATCGATCGTATCTATGTCTCCGTCCAGTGACGTTTCTGGAACATCCATATCATCTTCTATGATTGTTATGGTTTTTGACTGAGACTTAGCGTATTGAGTCTGACTGAATTGATAATCGCTGTCTCTGAAAAATTGATATAACAGTATTTTAATATTTATCAAGTAGAAACGTGTTTCGAATTATGGATGTTGCAGGCATTCTCATCCACATCCGCAATTGCGGAGAATCCGCATTAATTTGAACATCAACTTCCGCATTCATTAATGTGAATGTTCATGCGGATGTAGATGTAGAGCAGGTCGCCAATTGGTAGTGCTACAGCTGCACTCGAAATGGAATGCTGTCTTAAGGAGCAAAGACGGTTCAAAATAATAATAATAATAATTTATTCACATCAATTACAAATTGTGAACAAATTACATATATATGGTAGTTACTTGAATGGTAGCAAATAAAACATACATAGTTTCCAAATTACAAATTCTAAAAAATAAAGCTTTGAGAATTATTTTAAATACAAACAAATACGCTAGGTCTAAGTCTATGTTAGAAGAACTAGAGTGGTTGAATACAAAAAATTTCTTATGTTATTTAGTTCTCATTTTCATATTCAAATTAAAAGCTCATGGAGGCAGTATAGATTTTCATCTGCAAAATTATAATAGTAACATAACTAGCAATTCTGTATTTCAAAAGGGAGTATTTGAATTTATTAAATAATGATATTAAACGTTCGACATGATAAAAAAGATATGTTCGAATTTAAAAATGTTTAAAGTGAAATTAAAAAATCACTTTGAGAATAGAATATGCTTAATCTATGAACCTATTTGGGAGACAGTGACGAACAGGTTTTCAAAGTAGCTAAAAATCGAGACCAACTCGTCATTGTAATTGCCAACATCAGGAGGCCTGATGTGACACGGAAAGAAGATGCGAAATAAGCTTGAATCTGAAAAGACGCAACAACGATTTTTTTTTGCCTCCGCGTGCTTGTCCTTATTTCTTAGGGAGTGATGATATATTACACTGCAAGATATGCTTTCTTATTCTGGTAGTAAAACATACAAAGGAAATCAACACAAGCTGTAATACAATTGTATACTCCGCCGATGACAACTGTCGTGCAGATATTTTCAGAGAACTCGAAGTACATGAAATTTGGATTATCCAGCATGACTATAAAAAATTATTTCAATTTGCATCTAGTATGTGGATTTTTAAAACTAAGGTTCCGCATCCGCGGATGTCACAAATCTGCATCCGCGGATGACACAAATCTGCATCCACATTGTCCTTATCTTCAAGTGTAAGTATAACCAGCAGTTACATGGTGCCAGAATCAACGTCATAAATATTTGTGAAAATTAATCATTTTGCTCGGATTTGTTAATAATTATTCCTGGGATACCATTCAATGAATTTGAAATTCCAGTAATGAAGTGATCCTTACGTGTGAGTGCTCTGCTGATCAATCTCATCTTCATCAGGGTCAGGCTCTGCCTTTTCTTGCACCATTCGCTTAATTTTCCACTGGTATCTGACAGCTATCTCATTCACCACGTCACTGTGGTCCTCAATATCGGGATTCAATATCACCGTGCTCTCAGGAATGTTAAATTTGAATCGTAATCTATCCCATACTGTAAAGAACTCGTTGAAACCTAACAAGCGACCGTAATCAATACGACTTGCCAGCTTTGGAGTCCAGTCTATTATTCGCTTTTCGTTAGGCACCTTTAAAAGTTGGAGAGCCTGAAAGAAATGCATTAAATTATTATACCCTGGACATGAGCGCCCATATAGCAGAAACAGTATCTTGTATGGGATGTTTTGAAGAGGGAAAAAACTCACACGCCACTTCTTACCCAAGGATTGGGTACCTTATTGAGAATATTTCACTTTAAAGCACAAGCTAGGGGGGCATATGCCCCCCTAGCCCCCTCCCCCAATGGGCGCCCATGACCCTGGACATGAAATTCCGCATATACGGGGTGTTCTCAAAGTTGCGATTTTTCTTCGCAAGGTGTACGTGTATCTTGTAAAAATAAGCAAATTTTCTTTGTAACACATAAACCAAGACTCAAGATAACCGACATGTATGTTTCAAAAAATAGGCTGAATAGGATCTGTTGGCTTTTCATCCCTGCGACCATAACCAACCGTATACAAAGCTGTTTCTCGCTTTTTGACAATCATCAGAATGCTAAAGGTATAGTCATTTGGAGACAGATTACCGAAAGTAAACAAGCAAATATGGACCTACTGATAAACTCAGTATTGTGTGGGTCGTAGGCCGGTTCTCTCATCCAGCTGATGATGACAAGAGAAGACGCGCATCAGTATTTGGTCGGTCGTGCAACTAAACGGCGCTATTATTTACAAATGAGATGTGAAAAAACCGGACATGGCACAATCTTATAGCAATAACGAAATTGCTGATATGGTGTTATTTACATGGAACAATGATTGCTCCGAGACACGCACTCTTTCAAAAACTTTTCAGGATTATCATGCACCGCGCCTCTGAGAATACATTTCAAAAATGTTCTTAATTATACTACTAAGCTGGATATCAAGGAAACCTACAAAAAAAAAATGATTGAAAATGTAATCAAGAGGGCTCAGGTTTGCGCGGCTTCAAGAGGCGGACATTTGTCTGATATTATTTTTCATACATAATTTCTAAGTTTCAATAAAAGAAGATTTTATTTCATTTCACAAATATTCAAGATACAAACCAGTCAGTTACATATCGGAGCAACTCGTCTAGCTTCGCGTGCATTTGTAAAGGGAGGGTTCAATCCCACTTCATATCTCGCCACTAAGTGGGTATAAACTAGCCTTTGTTTTATTTTTCGCACAAAGTAGTCAGTATTACCATTTCCCTGGTGCTTCAGTATAATATGTATACACCAAAGAACAATTATTACAGTAAGCTAAATATACATTTACATAAAAGATACTGCCAGATTGTATATTGATATTTTTAAACAGATATGTAGTGTCAAATAACTAAATATGAAAATCGTTTTTTTTTACTTGAGTGAGAGCAAAAAGTTTCTTACCTGGTAGGCATCATTCGCAGTTATAGGGTCATAAGTCGTGCGGAGTAAAAAAAAGAATTTATTGGAAAGTTTATATGGAATCTGCCAGACAATCTGGGCGTTAATTTTCTTCCTATGTTTCCTAGCGGAGATTATTTGAGATTTACTCAACTCATCTACTGCTTCACGAATCAACTCGTCCGGAAAACACTCATACACTTTGTACAGCAAAACTGAAAGTGACAAAGTCGGTATACGAGGTTGCGATACGTTTAGCCCATGAAGCTCTAAAAAAATGTATCTGATAATGTGAGTTTTACCTGGGCTTGTAGCGCATAACAGTGAAGAGAGCACCACACATTTGATAGAGTTCCTCGAGATATCATTTTCGGTGTTTGCCTCCTTAAAGATGATTGGCGATTTTTCTTCCAAACTCTTTTCGGTATTAGCCAGATTGTTTGGGTGTAAATGGTTAATATTTAGCGTGTTTCCTAAAAAAGAAAAAAAATATACCAACTTATCGTGTTTTTTATTGATTTTCATTCAAAACTTTGAAAACCCCAACATTTTGTACCCTGTCTTTGAGATTGTCTACAAACTTAACATGTAATACACTCGAAAAAGATAAAAAATGTCTGTAACGTAGAATTTTAAAACACATTCCAATCAAGTATAGCAGTTTAGTTAAGTCAGCTTTATTTAGTAAACGGCACACCAGAAGAGTCGAATTGATGCATTTATGGCTTTGATCGCTTGGATTTTCGTGGACTGATGAAAAAATAGTAGTAAGTAAGTAGCAGAAAGCTTATCGAGAATGGCTTTTGACTATTTTTTTCTTAGTTCAGTATGTTGTGGATTTCAACACATAGATCGAAACTGTCCAGTTTTTTCACGTAGTTTTTGAGATATAGGGCCTCCAAGTTGACCCTATTACAGAAACATATTGTACAGAAACATTGCAAATATGTCGTATGTACAAGGTGATACAAACTTGTTAGGATGGAGTATTGCTCCGAGAAACAAACCTTTTTCAAAAACTGTTCAGGATTATCCTGCACCATCCCTGTAGGAATACACTTCAGCTACATTCAGGATTATACAGGATGTTTTACTAGATTTCGACTCACATCCTACATAATTAAGTTGCTTTTTTTGATAGTTACCTATAGTTTTAGGGCTATCTGGATAGATCTACTGGATCTCTTTTGAGTTTCGACGAGTAGTTTTTAAGATAATAATAAAGTATTTTGTCTTCAGTAGCAACATATTTTACCCATTACTTGAATTATTCGAGTCAATTAGTTGTACATAGTTCGCAAAAACACGTAATTCACTGTTGCTTAAAATGTTCAAATAAGATTGTGTTTTCACATTTTCAAATCAAATCCCATTATAAGATACGAGATACGATTTGACGTAGTTCCACTTTGTTTTAGATAAAATATATGACCATTAAAAAAACGATAAAACGTCAAACTGTTTAGGTCTATCCAGATATGCAATAGAAATATCGAACTGTCCCAAAGGGACAGTGCAGAAAAATCCTGAATGTTTTTTGGAGGAGTGTGTGTCTCGAGGCAATATTCCATTCATGCAAGTTTGGTCCATCCTGAACATGTGATCAAATTGCAATATAGATAAAAACGTAAATAAATGTCAAATAACTATTACATATTGTCTACCGAACCCATAGGTATGTGATAGGGTACGGACTGACCAGCTTGGAGGCACTATACCTCGGAAACTAACTAGAAAAACTTTGAGCTCACAGACACTTTTGGCTTTTACTACATTTAAAAATAAAAAATAGCCAGAAGCCATTCCCCATAAACATTCTGAGGAGTCTTTTCAAGATATATTCTTATTAGATTTTAGTGCTTCTCACAACAACTTGCAGAAAGTTGAAGGAATAAGTGGACTGTTAAGTAAAATGTGGAACATTTTGTTATTTTACTTTTTCAGAATTACTACTTGAATGGTCATGCACAATATCCGATTTGTCTCACCATGAATACAGCTGAAAACCTCGCTTTGGTGTTGAAACATGTAGGCCACGAGAGTAATATAAACGATTCGTATGTGATTGTCAGTTGGCCTGCTGTCCTTTTCATTACCTAAAGATTGTACAAAAGGCATCACATACTTCTTGATTTCAGGAATATCTACCAAATTGCGAATATTTTCTGGATTAAGTTGAGGTTTTATATAAACCCTTACACGACGTACAATCACCCTAAAAATAAAAACGACACCAATGTAACGGTGTTAAGAGTCGGAGCATGAAAAATGAATAAGTATATCTTTTCAATGGCATCACGCAGAAATTATCAACATCGGGAAAGTGAATATAATTTAAAGATTTTATCTATAACCCAGTTTTGATATAACCAATCAAAATAAATTGCTCCTATAGTTAGTGCCGCATCTGTATCATCTCTGATTGTGCACTAGCTAGTCGCTAGCCTACGCCAAGCGTAGTAGCTGTGAACACCACCTATGGAGGAAAGGTTCAATGACGCAGTATAAAGCTTACAGCTTAGTCCATAGAAGCTATGGTCTCTGCTCTGAAGCAGATGTTACATCAGACCAGAGTCACAGCACGAGTATCCGTTACAGTAGAATAACAGCTAATTATCTGGTGATATTTTAAAATTCTGCATATTGACAAGTGACACACAATTCTGACATCTCCATCAACACTAGGTGGACAGAGCCGTATTTTGTTGTAGTTTTTTGTATACTACGGATTCATTTTGTACTTGCTAACAAGTATTTAATTTAGAAAAGTTCTTTCGCATACAAAAAATGAATACAGTCATTAGTTTCACCACATTTACACCCGATTCATTATTGCCAACGTTAGAGACTAATACAAAGATGTAATTTGCTGATCAGTTGTTCACCTCAGTAGACGTCAACACGTAATGTATCCCTGTGAAATAGTATGTATGTATGTATGTTGACGTTTATGCAACCCACATAGCTACTACAAGTGAAATGAAGTGAATGATAAATAGTCCTAAAGTGACAAATATGACGATCAGATTGATATCCCCGTCATTTTGCAGTTACGTAATAAGGGTATCAGTACTAACGAAAACATAGAATTTAGGCTCTAGCTGTCAAAGGAACAGGGAGAGCCGGGGTTTTCAAGCGTCATTCAGTTTTGGTGCCAAAATCGTGAGGGGGTTAATTCAAACTCCATATCAGTCCTTCGACCTACATATATAGTTTCTTTGATGTAAAAAATGGCATTGTATTTCAGTTATTTATTATAAGAAAGAATATTCTTAGCCATGAATCAACAATACTATTGACTAGTACCCGTGGCCTTGTGACCCCCGCAAAATAGGAGATAGAACGTGAAGGAGAATATGGAATTTAAGCATAATTCAAAATCATATTTTTAATGAATTTATTCAAACTTAGTCCCGAAAGTGACGAAACAATCAGGACAAAGTTTTGCGGTTACGGACACAGCGTTGGCGCTTCAAAAGTCGGATCAACATTAGGGGCAGAAAAAATGAGAGAGATGAATCAGGGAGACAATTACAGGATTTAGATTAGCTATATTTAAGTCAGATGACCACACTGGAATATGTACCTGGTAGTTTTGTTCCTACTATCTCGACACATTCGATGAATGACATCCCTTACAGTGGAGTATGATACCATGGGAAGATCAGTGAGGCTGTTCAAACTTAACAACATATCGGCTGCTTTGCATAACATGAGCAGCCGGTCTTCCTCCTTAGTGAATGTAACTTTTTTTTTGAACCCGATCCTTTTCGTTATCATCCTATCTACAAGAAAAAATACGTGGATTACTGGTTGTTCGTAATTATATGAACTGACTTAAGTAGTTCAGCCAGTGGCCAATTTAACCTTCTGTCGTCATAGCATATATAACTCATAACAATGCAACTCCAAGAAATTTATATGTATTGATTTTTTTGCAAACTTCTATGACCTATGTGGCATCGTACTGTGCGATTGACACTGTCCTGTCCGTCCACGGGTTGCACATTTTAAATAGTCCATTTTACTTTTCGGCAAGATGAAACCCTTCAAGGGAGAAATTTTCAATTTTTTTAATATGGATCAAAAGGTGAGTAGTAGACCACACAAAATATATTGGAAAAGGGTCTACAGTGGAAATCATTATGATGCCATGATAAAAGGTCGCCATGGGCACACAACTTTCTAATGGGCAGTTTCAGAGATATCAAGGACCCAAGGTCAGGAATATAAATATCCTGTAATATATTTCCCTCACAATCCTCTGTATGTTTTAGCAGCGATTACTTTTCTCAATCTGTCAAACTACTCAAATGCTATTTGACTTGCAATCAGGTCGTATTTGTGCATACGATTACTTCAGGCGTCAGAACTTGTGAATTTGGGCGTTACATAGATAAATGATAAGAGATCGCAATGGGAACTAATCTGGAAAGTTAGAAGTAGATGGTGCTAGTTAGGTTGGGGGCAATGTCTAATGTTATACACAGGCAAAGATGTCACTTGCGGATCAGCTATTCACGTCAATAGATATCAAAACGTGACGTGACAAATAGGTTACCTTTCCATCAAATCTGACTATTTCCCGTCTACTTTTGACAGTTTGATCTCCCACGACACAAGTAGCGCTAGCCAATGTGAGAAAAGTATTCACTTTGTTGTCCAGTGAGGAGGAGACGTGGGAAAAACAACTTCTTGGTCCAAAACAAATAACCCAAGCAGCTGTCGCGATTGACGAAATCACAGTGCGAGGAGTGGCCTGGAATGTTTGCGAACTTGCTCGACTGTCTTGTCTACGCCGCTGTGCCTGTTGTTTTACGTATTTTCTTAGATATGGGATGTCAAGATCTCTGTGAATGGCCTTATGTGACAGTACCATGGGGCGTTCGTGATTATGCGTAGGGTTGTTTTGCAGGACTTGCAGTCTCTGCCTGTGCGTCTTGGCTTATGACCATTTTATACAACCGAATCTTGTTGATCAAACTTAATTTTCAATTTTTGCACAACAAAGAATAAAGCTGCCGAAACGTAACTTGGAAATTAGTTTTCAAACTCCCAGTATATATGTGTCATTTGAGTGGTTTGACGGGCCGAGAAAAGTCATCTCTGCTACAGCGTATAGAGAGTTGTAAGAAAGGTACGTTACTGGGTATTCATACTTCTCAAATTTGGTCCTCGATATGTCTAAAACTGTCCATTAGAAAACTTTGTACACAAGAAGACATCAGGATATCATAATTTACAGCATACTACAAATTATGCCAATTCTACTGTAGACCCTTCTGCCGTAAGTTTTGTGCAGTTCTATTTAGACAAATTGCAAGAAATCGGTATTATTTCAGCCCAGTGCGTGAAGCGGATATTACGCCCGAGATACATACAAAATATTATCCGCGACCCGCTGCAATCAAACAAGAATTAAGTTTAAGAATAAATACTATTATATGCCTGATAGTTGCGTCGTTACCTATACGCCCAGAGAACCTATTCATAAACTACAGATTACCGCCTGGTCGTTTGAGATGTAATAATAATTGCAGATGCATAACCATTCGCTTATACAGGGAAAAAAACAAATTTACTTGACGGGTCAAATTCAATGTGTATCAGAGCGAAGTGCGAGAAGTGTGTATCAGCATGTTATTCAGCCGGCTTCTATCTCTTTCTAAATTTGATTCTCAGTGTATAATATGTATCTCGACTGATCATCGGCAGATGTTGAAAAAAAGTACTGGGTACGGATTTCAATTCTCAAAAACGCTTAGCGCGTTCAAAGGGCTCGGCCCTTATTTCCTTTTATTTGCTTATGACTAATAATGATAAATGTCGTTTTTACTTTCGACCTTGATTAGGCAAAATTTACGACTTGGATGGCGAGGGTTATCCGATTTTCGCTGCGGCCAGTGGTTCTATCCGCAAGTGGCAATAGAAAAATGTTGCACTGGCCGGCTGAATTTTTTTGCCAGCACAAACGTAGATCGTTCGCAACGATGCGCTATGGTACCACGATGAATAGGCATGTTCGGAGAATAGTAGACAAAGCTTTCGATGTAAAGAGTATTTGGTACTTGTATTGCTAACATACAGATTTAATTTTCAAGATGAGTTGATGATCAGCTTTAACTACTCTTTGGCCAGACTGTGACCTCAAATGGTAAGGTTACACATCAGAGACGCACTAAGCGTTTACAAAAGTTACATGGTATAACTAACTGTTTAAAAACGTTTCTTTCAAAAGAAATGCCAGACAATGACATGATAATCTACCATGGTTGAAAACGACTTGTTACATTTAAAATGCCAGGCAAAAATACATACGTACCTATATGATCAAAACCTTTTTGCTTCTTCGTGATACACGGTCGAGGCTTTATCACCCTAGTGATTTGTTTAACTCTTTTACTTGTCCTGAATGTACCGATCTCTATTTCTTTGTTGTGCTTCGGATTATCAGATATTTTCGGAGATGGTCGTTCATTATGAAGGTATACCTTACGAGTTTTTTTATCCATTTGGTGAAAAGGTACAAGAACCGTGGAGTCGCGCTGGTAACAGAAATTACAAGTCAAAATCATGTAACCTATGCAGTGTCCGTTTATGCGCATACATTGCCTACGCATGTATACAATGCGTAAACAATATAGAGAATACGTATTCATTGTATACAATGGCGTAGACAATGTATAGAGTAGAATCAGTGAGGTTAGACGATAGGTTAGGTGTACTCCATGATATTATTACCAGCAGTCTATCTCTTTCGCATTCTTCAATTTTCCACAGAACAAACAGGTTTGAGAAGACTGAGTTCTGAGCTGTAATCAGCAACACAAATTGAATTTTGAATATGCTCGAAGCGTTTTGTGGAAAGAAAACATTGAAGTCACTAAAGCTCGTTAATGACTGGTTTGACATAATTCGAAAACACCTCAAAGTGATTCCAGGGACTGTATAAAAACATATGGTTTAGATTTGTTTGAGCAAAATAAAATTTTGGATGGAATAGAGAAAACCATGCAAAAACATAGTTAGCTCTGACACCTTGTTACCAATTCAGCAAGGTATAATAATATTAATTTATTTAAAGCATCTTGTTATTACTATGAAAGAAGATTTAAAGATAAAATATTTATTATGATATAATTTGAATCCGGATCCCTTAGAAGGTCTTTTTTCCACTATACAAGCAATTGGTTTAAACATAGGTTAAGATATTATATTATAAGGTGAAATGATGAGATTATTCCCAGATCAACTACTGCTGGAATATGAAAAAAATTAAACATTGCTGTTGCAAGCGTAAATTGTATTTCTGATCTTGATGTATTCGAAATGTTTGAGGCCTCAAATTTGCCCAATGATATTGAACTTGTCGATCAAATTCATTCTCATGCTGAAAAGATAATTGACCATGTTCAAGAACTAGAGTGGGATGGTTTAGAAAATTAAGGAATAATATGAAAGTGAGAAGGTCGTTTGCAAAATGTGACTCGATAGTTGAAATCATCCCCATGGAGGTGTTGGTCTACCGTCAAATGGTACGGATAAGACTTATAGAATCGTATATTATAGTTAAAATCAAATTAAGCAATGAAGCACAACTTAGGTCCGCGCTAAATTCATTGCTTACCTTCTCGACTTTTTCCTTATCCATTTGAATGAATGCTTCACGCTTTTTTTTATTTCCTGTATTCCAATACCAATTTCTAATGATATGACACCAAAGGGATGAATCCAAACCTGCCGCTCCTCTTCTATCTCCTGGTATTTCTCCATTATCGTACCTATACAAAGTATCTTGCTATCAAAAAATATCCAACAAAAAAATGGTTTTGGAATGAAATTTGATAGTTTTAATGCTGTTTTTTGTTAGATATACTTACTGGATTGTCTCGTGCGGCATTTTGAATTCCAATGTTTTTTTGAGAGCATGATTAGCACTTAGATCAGTGTATGTGATTAATTGCCCAGGTACCCTAGCATTTAACTTGGTACTCATACCTAGAAAAATGAAAAAGAAAACGAATAAGTTTCGATGATGGAACCCGCTGAAGCCAAGATGAAGTTTAGATTTTTCATTGCAAATTTAGCCAGTATACTACGTGATAATTTTTTTAAGTAACCTTACTCATCTGGTATATAGGTATGAAGATTATGTTTTTTGATATTCTCAACAAAATGTATAACTATACTGATGTGAATCAAGCTATGCCTGTTAAATGTACGTAAATATTTTCATCTGTACTTACTTATACAATGAAGCTTTGTCCAATAACTCTCAATGTCCGTCAAATCATTGAAGTGGAAATTTAATTGCGGATATTCTTTATTTGTTACTTTGTTATATGCACTCTCACTAGACGATGTATCAAGTAGGCTAGCAGCTCTATTAATATATATAAATACCTGTAAATAATTTGGCTGATAAATGATAAAGACGACTATGATGAAAATTTTCATATCTGGATTCCTCAGATCAAAAGCAAGAAGAGATTTACTACAATTTTTGATATTTTGGGATTCCCCAGCACTTGCATAAGAATACAGGTCCAGATCTAATGGGAGGATAGGGCTGAGCCGGGGCGTGGCGCTTAACCGGGTGGTAGTTTCATGGGAGCGAAACATTCTTGAGTAAATAGCGTCAAGTAGGTTGTCTCTGCACTTCCTACGCAACGCCGTCATCAGGGGGTAGGTTTGTATAGCTCTTGGTCATGTAACACCGTACACGATGATGGAATGCAGATTGACAGATGAAATTTTAATCTTGAATACTGCGAGACTTAATTTTTAGAACGCTTGAATTATTACAGAGCCATGACACATGATGACAGCCGACTAATTTTTAACTACGCCTTTGCGAGTATTGTATTTATTATAGTAAACGCGATGGAGAATATATTTTGCCAAATTTGAGCATTTTTTGATATCCAAATAAAGTAAAAACAATGAACCATGGGAACTTCAAGTGACAACACTCTTATTACCAAGGTTTTGAGGACGGGAAGAAAAGTGCACGTTTCACACCCCATAAGGATTACTTAGTTCTATTTCCGAACACTTGCAACAGGTACGTCAAACAATTATGAACCCCAAAATTGTTTCAAAGTAGTACATGTACACCACCTCCTACCACCCTTTAATTTTATATCCCCATGACTTGGAAAATGATCAGGATCCTCTGAAAAGTCAAAAAACTGTTTGAGCAATTTTTTTTGTTTCTGGTCTTTTTCTCCGCCGCCACTGGACCGATTTTCAAAAACTACAAAGCTTTTTAGTCGCAGGCAAAGTAGTAACTTTGCTTAACAATTTAATCTAAATATGAGCAGTACTTTCTAAGTTATAGGCAGGCCAAGGATTAGCGGACAGACAGATAGACAGACAGAGCGACGCAAATGAGTGACATGATTTTTCGTGATGTACAACCTGCAAAAAACAAAAGTTCGACAATTCTGGACTACCAGACATGGTAAAAAATCGCTTTAAAGTAAAGTAATCTCACCCCATCGGGGTGTTGTAAAGCAACGTTTAAACTTTAATTTAGATACTTGGCGACCTCAAAAATTATGATTTTTAACTGAGTTTTTAACCATTGTATATACCCATTTTTAGGGCTTTTCAGACATTAAATCACTTGTAATTCGAAAATTCGGAATAATGCTGAAAACAATTTATTATTCCGGGAAAAAAATTGTAAGTCATTAAAAAAAAATTGTTTAAGCAAATTTGATTTGGGTACCTTGAAAGGTATTTTGAGCATAGTTTATTTTAAAGGGATTTAGCCCTTGTTTTTCAGGCCAAAATTGGCGAACTTTTTGTTTTTAGACTGTAGATGTCATAACGTGGCAACATTGTAAGTTGATCATCACAGTGTTTGTTTATAGAGCCTATAAATGTGGAATAGAGTGAATGTAATTTTCTGAAAGTGCATCATCGTCATAGTTAACATCTAGTGTGTGACTGGGACTGTTTGCAGTCTGTTATTCGGTGTTTTCTTGTGCTATACCTGGCACTGCACCTGCAGGGTCGTACCATCTCGACGTTGCCGTCTTTTGCTGGAATTCTTCAAACATGAGTACCTTCAAGTGCCCTAACTGTTTGATGAATACGTCCCGTCAGGGATCGTCAATATCGTGTGATGGTTGTAATAAGGATGTACACCTCACTTGTGTAGGTCTCAGTGCTGATGAGGTAAGGGTTACTCGTAGTAAGTCCAAGTCAGTCAAATTTTTATGCAACAACTGTAGTAAGTTTATGGGCGAACTAGGTGATTTGAAGAGCTTATTGGAGACCCTTAAGAACGATTTCGCTACGAAAATGTCTGCTTTGGAGAATAAAATTAGTGAGCTTAAGGCTACCAATAGTTCAAACTCATCTGATTCCTCTGTGCTTGAGGAGGTTGTTCAGGAAGTTCATGAAAGAGAAAAGCGTAAAAAGAATTTGATGATATTTGGCTTGCCGGAACCGACAGGTACTGATGGAAAGGAAAGACTGGCTTCTGATCAAGCTGTTGTTAAAGATTTGCTTGGGGCTGTCGATGGTAATTTTACTAATCTGGGCGTTAAGGTTCTGCGCATTGGAAAATTTAGACAAGGCTCGACCAGGCCAGTAAAGGCAATCTTTCACTCAGAGGAGATGGTTCATACTATAATCAAGAAGACTAATATCTTGAAAAACAATGAAAAATATAAAAATACATCGGTTGCTTTTGATAAAACTCCAAAACAGATAACATATGGAGCTCTATCGCTACTTAAAGAGCAAACTGAATGAAAGGATCGCGCAAGGTGAAAGTAACCTCAGAATTAAATATTTCAATGGGGTTCCGAAGATTGTTACTTTAAACGCATAACTAAACCCAATAATAGACCAAATTGTCATGAGAGACTTAAGCTAAGGTGTTCCTACCAGAACGTTCGTGGTCTCAATTCTAAGACGGTGTCATTCTTCAATGCAGTCAGTGACTACGAATTTGATTTAATTTGCTTGACTGAGACGTGGCTGTCTGTGAATGTGAGTGATAGTGAATTATTTCCGGCTGAATACTGTGTGTTCAGATGTGATCGTGACTTTATTCGATCTGGCCTAGTTTCCGGCGGAGGAGTCCTGATAGCCATAAAACGCGATTTCCATGCAATTAGAATTGACGCTAGTGCTTTGAGTCGAAACTTTCCGTCGATTGATACTGTATGTATTAGGCTTATTATTAACCATGAGCATTTTGTTATCTTTTCTATTTATATTCCGCCTTCAATTAATTTGGACATGTTTAGTCAGTACCTTGAAGCTTTGGAAGTATTTAACAATGCATTCAGTAATTGTAAAATAATTGTTGCTGGTGACTTTAATGTCGCATCATTCAACAGTGACGTTAATGATCAGAAGTCTCAATTAATGAGCAACTTTATTTCGTTTTTAGATTTAACTAACTTTAATAATATTCCAAATATAAATGGTCGAATTCTGGATTTAATTTTAGGAAATATCGAAATAGAAGTCCTCAGAGATAATACACCTTCTGTTAAAGAGGACGTTCATCATCCTGCACTGATCATGGAATTCATTACATCCGGATCTCCAACGAAATTCCCATTTGCTAATTCTCCACGGTTTAACTTTCGCAAAGCTAACTTTCCTGAAATGTACACAGCCTTGCAAGATGTTAATTGGACGGAGGTGATCAGTGCAGTTAATGTTGATGTCGCTTGTACCGCCTTGTATTCAGTTATCAATAACATCTTTGAGGTCCATGTCCCTAAATGTAAAAATAAAATGTTTTCGTATCCCCCATGGTTCACACGTGAAATTATACTTAATATCAAGAAGAAGGACATAGCAAGAAGGAACTGGAAACGTGACGGTACTAAGTTTTCTTATGATCAGTTCAGTAATTTTAGGAAGCTCATTAAGAACCAGATCAGTGTTGCCTACTCCGCTTACGTCCAATCGGCTGAGGATGCCATTGTCAATGATCCTAGCAAATTCTGGTCATTTGCCCAGATCAAAAAACAGCAATCTAGAATCCCCCCCAGGATGACGTTTAACGGCAATGTCTGCGATACGCCTCAGGATATAGTGGACAGTTTTGCTACCTTCTTTTCAACAGTTTTTATCCCGTCTGGTGTACTAGGGTCATCTCCTCCAACAAATAATTCTACCGATATCATTTCTTTAAAAAATATAAGTGAAGAAAACGTAATTAGGGCTTCGAAAAGATTAAAGAACAAAATGACGTCTGGATGTGATGGTATTCCAAGTTTTTTCGTTAAAGATTGCATTCATATACTAGCGAAACCGCTGGCTTCCATATTCAACCTAATTCTAAAATCAGAGACATATCCAAATATCTGGAAGACCTCTAAAATATGTCCTATTCACAAAAGTGGAGATATCTCTGATATTTCCAACTATCGCCAAATAGCAATCCTGTGCAATTTCAGCAAGTTGTTTGAGATCATCGCTTATGAAACGGTTTACTGCTCGGTCAGGGGTGCAGTCTCTATTAATCAGCATGGGTTTATGAAAGGCAGATCTACAGTCACCAACTTGGCTCTGATTACTCAATACATTTCTGAAGTATTGGACGGTCAGGGACAAGTTGATGTCATCTACACAGATATTCAGAAGGCTTTTGATCAAGTTGATCATTATGCACTTCTGGATAAGCTTAAAACAGTGGGTATGTCTGATGCAATGCTGTCGCTCATGAATTCATATTTGAGGGATAGAAGGTTATTTGTCGAATATGGTGGTCATAGGTCGAGTTACTATCGGGCCACGTCTGGGGTACCTCAAGGGTCAAATCTAGGTCCATTATTGTTTTTAATATTTATTAATGACTTGTCTTTTGAACTGAAGTGTTTCCATTTGTTTTTCGCTGATGACCTCAAAATCTGCACTTCAGTCAAGACAGTCGAGGATTGCGTCATGTTGCAAGATGACTTAGCTCTAATTTCGTCATGGTGTTCACGAAACTGTCTCAGTCTGAATGTTTCGAAATGTAAAGTTATGACTTATACAAGAAAAGTGAACTATTTAATTTATGATAATTATAACATCAATGGTCAGGTTATAGACAGATGCACCTCTTATAGAGACCTTGGAGTCATATTTGATACCAAGCTAACGTTTACTGAGCACATACTCAATATCTCGTCGGCTGCCACTCGACTACTTGGTTTCTGTATCAGAAACTGGAAGGGTTTCTCCAATGTTGATACATTAATGATTTTATTTTTTACTTTTGTCAGGAGCAAGTTGGAGTATGCGACTCTGATCTGGTCTCCTATATACCAAAATTCTGTTGTGGTCCTTGAGGCCATTCAACGTAAAGCTTTAAAGTATTTTCACCTTAAATGCACAGGTTCTTATCCAGAAAGAGGTTGTGACCATAGTGCCCTATTAGAGTCTTTCAATCTGGATTCACTATCAACAAGACGAAACATATTTGCTTTGTCGTTTTTGTATGGCCTCATTCACAACAAAATTGACTGTCAAAATTTACTTGAAAAAATATGTTTCCGCGTTCCAAGGCTAGGGAGTCGACAACAAATGGCATTCTATTGTCAAGCTGGCCGTACAAATGTTATGACAAAATCGCCAATTAATTTCATGTGCTGCGTCATGAACAGTGTTACTGAATCGTGTGATATTTACAGTGACAGTTGTGCAACGATTATCAACTGTTATAGATCATCCAATCTTATTTAGAATGTGTGATACTATAGATTTAACTCCAAGAACCATGTCTCTTTAATTGCTATTTTTTTCAGCGTTTCCTGTAATTGGGTTTCACCTGTTGGAAATAAATAAATAAATAAATAAATATAACATCAACAAAATATAATCTCATTTTCAATACAAGAGTTCGAAATATGGAACTAATGAAGCAGTCTAATTGTACGCTCATTTAGTTTTTGAAAACATTCTAAGTAATTTATGAACACATATTAACAAACTCTAGATTTTTGAGCGCGTGCGTTGTGTGCGTGATCTTCCTGCGTTTAGCAACGAGCACTGTTTGTTTACGTGGTAGATTACACGTTTATTGCAATAATTTATTTATGAAATAAAACATATTTTACACGTATCGTAGTGAAAATAAACGATATGCAAGTGAATTATTGTCATTTTTCTGACCTCATTGTATTTTATCAATTTTGACAGTCCTTCTCAAACATTTGAAAAATGAGCGCAACAGCCGTATTCAAGGGGGGGGGGATTTGGAACTCAAGCACTCCGATCCCCCAGAACCTCACTGCGTAATACGTTTTCCCTGATATAGCATTTTGTGGGCCAGGGCCCCTGGGCGAAGCAATATTGACCACTATTAGCAAGTTTTGACGTTGTATTCTTAAGAGCACCGATTCAGACGACCCCGCGCTTTTCACTTCGCGCCGATACCCCTTCACACGGATATCTTCCTGAAAATGAATTCTGAGCCCCCCAGAACTTTTTTATGGATACGCCAGTGGGCGCCACTATCAAGTTTCTGCCCTGGCTCGAAAAAAGCGTAGATCCGGGGATGCAAGAGTAGGCACTTTACTTTTATAAGAAAGGATAATAAATACAAGCATAAAATTGTAAAACATGTTTTCAACGTGTGTACCTGTTCTCTGTCCTTAGATTTCTGTGGTCCAAACTGAATGAGGCCACAAAATGCAAGTCTTGTCACTACATCGTATATGGAAGAAGAATATTTTCCTCTGAAAAGGATAGCATTTCTTGCTACAGTTGGCAGGTCTTTTACTAAGTAGAATCTGTAAAAATGAAGTGGTTAAAAGGAATGAATACAATTTGTCCACTGCGAAATGAGATCTAGCAACAACAAGAAATAAAATTCGGTAAGATAGTAAAACGTAAGGTTTGATGAAAACCATGGAATAATTGAATTGATTTGAGATTTGACCTTGCCTGTCGTTTCTATCTCTCAGTGACTATAGTTCTTTTAATGGTTTTTGGTGGGTACGTAACACTGTCATACGAAATAAGAAACAGATTGACTAATTGTGCCATGTGCGAGCTTAACTTCCCTAAATGAAACTGCACTGTGTAAGTCGATACTTAACACAGCTGCTACTCGCTTTTACACACATGAATTGGATGACCGAGGATTTCGATTTTTCGTTCACCCTCTGAAAATACTGTCGACATCGTAGGTGTATCTTCATGCATCGCTATGTTTTATAGTGAAGATGTATAAAAGGTAAGTTGAAATCGCGCAAGCAAGTTGTCATAATGACAGTGGCAAAAATAAATAAGGAAGATTCATGAATTGAGAAAATTTAAAAGGCGGTGAGACACAACTAAAAAACGTACGTCTGTGAGCTACAACAAACAAACGTTCGTGCACAGAGGCTAATTAAATATGTATGTGTGAGGGAAACGAATACATGAAATTGACCCGCCAAAAACCATGAAAAGATCTATAATGCTTTACCTTTTGATTGGGTGATTAATAATATCGAGCAACTGAGGGCATTCGATGGTACAACTGTGCATCTTAAGAAACAGGCACACGGGAAGCCTCATGATGACGTCCAACAGTAAAACCCAACCAGTGGGCCAACCCTTGTGGTCAGGCAGAGGTCCAATGAATGTTCGCCAGCTCAACTCATTACAATAGATTGGGGGCATTTGGTTTAACTCTTCTTCAGTTAGCTCAATGCAGTACGTCTTGAATAACTCCTTCACCTGATCGAATACATTGAAAAATATTAAAAAACTTTATACTTTTAGGTATACAAAAATTAGACGATGAAGAGCATTTTGTATGAATTCTGTTGGCCTACAAATTGCATTTCTAAAACATTCTAAGGCATGAAAATGGCCGTTTTTAAAATTTCTCTTTATTATACAACAGTATCTTTTCTTGGATACAGTTGCACTTGAAGTACAATTGTACCACAAGTAAAATTGTACTTAAACAGTTGGGACCAAGACACCCTACAATAAAGAGGAATTTTAATGATATATGAGGTTCGATTCGGCCAAACATGTGGAATTATCAGCTTGAAAATCAGGTAAGTTTCAGATGTTGCATTATGTTTGCAAGTGTATGGCAGTGTAGTCATTAAAAAAAATCAAACTCAATGTATAATCAGAAAGTATCCCTACATATTTGTTTTGGTTTTTACAGTCCCTATGTGTTTGAATGTAATCATTTTATTTCATAATAGTTTCTTTAGATTGATTACTTGTTTTTTGACAGTAATTTCATAAACATAAAAAACAGGAGCTAATACAAATTGCATAATTATATTTTTATTTTGATTTGCGGTGTTTTACACACCTGTTCTTGAGTTAGCGGTTCCTGTAAAGCCTCATGAGTGTAGCTAAGATAATATAAAAGTTCATGCAATATTCTCATTCGGATGAATTTTGGCTTGACTCCATACTGTCTTGCAACTTTCTGGCTGAACTTAATTTTCACATCTCTATTTTTCTTGAACCTAAAACAAAGTGAGTACTATACTGAAGACTTGTATTCAGTTTCCTAGAAATATATCTTATAAGCAAAATGATATTTAGAAATATATTCATGTTCAGTAGTTCAGTGAAGTTCCGAATTCTAGCTTTTTTCAAGGGCTGTGACAATTGTCGGAAGGTATTCACATCAATCAAGTCTCCTATAAACATTTATTTGTTTACCTTTTCAGGTCATTCCACTCAGTAATGCTCTTGACAACGTCGCCTTGCCTGAAAGGCGCATCAAGGATGGGCTCCTCAAGGTTAGGTTCCTCCTTGCACTTAATGTTAATTTTTACGTTTCTCTTCCCCCCAGCTACGAAGTACTTAAATTTCACCTGACTGATCAGTTGCCTCAGTAACTAAAAATTAGCAATTCGACAAGTATCTACAGTTAGCGGACAAAAGTTTGGAAACATTCATATTATTTTATGACCAAAAATGAGTCGACAAAAGTATGGAAATATATTTTTTATTACAAAATTAAATACAATAACTCTACAAAAAGATTTAAAAAATACTATTTAGCTAATATTTGGTAGCATGGTATTTAACATTCAACGCTGTCTGACATCTGCTGCTCATAGAAGACACCACTTTTTTACAGACGTCTGTTGGGATATTTTGCCAAATATTTGCATAATCAAATAAATCGTTCCTATTTTTAAGAGTTTTTCTTGTCAGTTGACTTTTAACATGCTCCCAAAGATGAAAGTCATGTAAGAACATTAACCAAAAAGCAAAAAATCCACCAAGCGTCTCTCCACTGTTCTGACAGAAAGATTCTCGGCACCCGCTTCTACGATTCTTTTGAAAATCTGTGTGGCTGGCATTCGAGGATCTTCATGGGACAAACGTTTGATGTAGCGATCCAAAACATAGTCGTTTTTTTTTCGTCTTTCGCACCTGTGCCGCGTTGCTGTTGATCCGTATTGTTGATATTCACTAATAATTTTCGAAATCGTCCCTTTGTTCATTTTTAATCTTTGAGAAATGCCAACATTTCTGAAACCAATTCTAGATAATTCAATTACTTTGTCTCTTAAATCTTTTGGAAATTCTTTAATTTTTGCCATTCTCACTGGTGCTAATATTTACCGCACGCAATATCATCAGAGTATCGCAGAACGAACAAATACGGCAAAACTGAAATGTTTCCATACTTTTGTCGTTCCAAAACTGTGCTATTTAAAAAAACACTTGTTTTCATTTTCAGAGAATTTGAATATTGATAAGATAAACCTTGTATTAGTATGGGAGACAAAGGTAGGTAGACTTTAATATTTATATTATCTGTTCCTTCACAATTTTAATTTAGGTATATGAAATAGTTCATAATAATATTAATATTTGTTTCCAAACTTATGTCCGCTACTGTATATTATCAATTCAAAGTATGTGTCAATAGCTGGTTTAAGCATGTTTAGAAATGTGCCAAATATAATTGTCAACAAAAGCAGTGCCCATTTACCCAAATAATTTTCTAACATATTTTTTTATAAAAGATAGGGGCTAACTTAAGAGGGACATGAGAGACCTATAGTACAAAAGTAATCTTCCAAGGATTGTCCACATAGTTTAAGGACGCTTGAGTCAGTTTGATCATTAGCTAATTTTGAACACCATTGTGGGTTGGACCGTACTTTGAAGTCCCATTGTCTAAAATAAATTTGAGCAACTGAGTTCACAAATCAAAACCCCGAAACTCTATTTCGTCAAAAGAAGTACGAAACGATTTTTTTTGAAACATCAACCTTCTCTGCAAACTTCAATGTATTCTTAACCGAAAAGAACTTACAGAATCAGTTGGGCCCACGCTAGGATGGCAGGCATACAGCTGGGTGCGTTTAGCATTTGAAGATTGAATCGTTAGTCGATAGATCTTTATGTAACCCTCCGTGACCAGTCTTTTCAAGAGTCTTTGCAAAGACTTTCGATCGACGCGGTACGTGCCACCTACAAATCAAAATATCTAGAAGCTTGATATCCTTATAGTTATTTTGTTCAAAAATTATGCAATAATATGGTATGAATTAAATGGTTCTGTAGTTCTATTTGCAATTACTATTAATGCTAATCATCAATGATGATAATTTTATTAACGCCCCTAAAAATGATGCGCTGGAACAAGATAGATGCATCTATTCACCATTGAATATTTAGCTTACCTGCTTTAACTTCAATATCCTCTATATGTTTGACCGTGTTGTTAATCATGTCATCTACTACCTTGACTTTGTTCACAAAATCTAACAGAATTTGGAGTCTCGCCATTACTTTATCTGAGAGATGCTCACTTTCAGGAAAAGACAGGATTGATTCATACCTGAGAACAAATACCTCAAATAAAATAATTTAATCAAGAAATCGTCGGTGATATTGCAGTACCACGTAACCAACAACGTAAGTACAAACAAATTAATGATTCGCGAGTACTAGACATATTTCACAAATACTAGATTTTCCCGTACATTTGGCCATAAAACTTATATTTTCACAACACGCTCGCCGATCGATGGGTATCTGTATCTTATAGACGGTTGTGGTTGCCGTGATGACAGGCAGCAAAGTTAGCCGTGGCAACGTTCATGGGCACCTGCAGGAATTTTTCTCAGGGAGGTCGATCATAGGCAAGAGTTAATTTTTTGTGAGAGTGTAAGTTCCTAAAACTTTTTAAAGGATAGAAGTATATCTGCCCCAGAAACAATTTTAATGTTCTCGGGGTGCCGGGTTGGCATCAAATCCTAAAGATCCACAAAATTATACACAAAATCATGCTAAGTAAGCAAATTTTGAGGTCCAACCAGATTCTCAGGGAGGAATTCGGCACCCCATCAGAATTGACCATCTGATCGGTACTGTCGGTAGGTCAAGGGAGAAATCTTTGAATCACAATGTCGTCAACTGAGTGAGGATTTGGGGTCTTGGTATAGGACTTTTTGACTGACTTCATCCATTTAATTTTATTTGTGATACATTTTCGTAGCTAACTTTTTTCTCACAAGAGTTCGAGGTTGTAATTTTATGCAGTTATTTTACACATCAAAGGTTTCCCCTTACATTTACGCTTAAAACAGAGAAATATTTACGCCGAAGTTCGTGCACGACTAACTAACACCATCCGTCACAGACTCTACCACAGCTAATCTGCGAAGTTCGAGGTGCTTGGAATGAGGTGCCACAACCATAAATCGATCATCTCATTTTGTCGATGCCTAGACGTATACAGGAGTGTATTCTGCTGCAGGGTCGCCCAACCCATTATTAATTTTTTTCTTATTGTCATTATTGTCAATAAAATTTCGTGAGAATGGTATCGTTTCATTCTTGATGTAAGACTACCTCATTGCCAAAAATCGAATTGAACAAATAATTTTTTTTTGTGGCTAGCTCAAAGGGACTAACTTGTGCCCAACGTAAATATTTGTGAACTTATGACTGGGACGTGCAAAGTCAACCCACTTGGCGTCATTTTTTTACTCCCCTAAAAAACTTAATGCTACCAAACTGCGTGCTTTTACCACTATTGGTTACACAGTATTGGAGTATAACTGATGCAATGAAGACGTTTCCATTAATATATAATTCACTATATCTTCAGAAGATGAAATACTTCATAACAATGAGAGCAAGTAGGAGAATCTGGTATCTTCTAGTATCGGTTTCTAACTATGTAACCTGAAGGAGAACATAGCAATCTTGTCGATACTATAAAGAACCATATTACTCCTTTTCGAGCAGTTGTCTCTCCAGTACTTACTGGCTCTTCTTTGATTCGTTAAAATACTGTCCTACTTTCATCACACTTCTGAACTAGGTTTTAAAAATAGCATCGTTTCTAATCCGAGTTGTGTGAAATTATCGCAGTTTATCAGTGTGTTCCAACAAAACTTATACAAAATTATTACTGTAACATTTCAATGACATTTCACTGGATCAGTAATGTTTAGTACAGCTCAGAACTCTTACTGGATCATAAACTCCTCAAGAAGAACAGGTAGGTGAAATTTAAAATCATAGTTATTATACATGCCACCATTATCTCGAATTTAGTGCCTCTGCAGTATTTTTTAAGAAACCTATTGACTAAAAGTCGCCATTAAATCAGCAGATTAAGGAATATACTTGAAGCCTCACCTGTACTCCTCTGGCCGTGTTGACTGCTCCATAATTTCCTCCAGCTCACCTTCTTCATTCCTCCAGATTATTTCAGGATTGCTACCCATATAATTGAGCTTCTCATTTACTGCTTTTTCCGTGGATGTATTTACTATAGTAGTGGAGGCCTTCCTCTTATGTCTCTGCATCTCAAATGATTCCTCTGACAACTCAATTTCTTCAAACAACAATTTTAGTAAGATTAGCTTTGTGATGAAATCAGTCTCGAACTTTTTATCATTGTCAATATAAACTTGATGCAATTTTTCTGTATCAGGGTGTAGTTGTGGGCTTAATTCCCTCAGCCAGTCATTGATAGGAATCAGTTTTCCTCTTGAAATGTATTTAAGTCTGATCAAATAGTTTCTACAACCATGTTGGAAAAAGTTTAGGTCTTCTATGTTAGCAATACTGTCCATCAGGGTTACAGACGTTATTAAAAAGACACACCTGGGAATAAAGTTACTCTCAATTTCTAGGTATTTCCTAAAATAACATCCAATTCCACTAGCTGGCATTTCAGATACTGTAAGGACATAGTCTTCACAGCCTTGTTTTTGTATAGCAGCTCTTTGTTTCTCAATCATTCTTGCTTTTATACTTGAAATTTCTTCTAATTTAGGTTTTATGTCTATTTTGTCCAGAGATTCATTCTGAACTTCAAAACATTTTGCAAAATAAACTGTGTATCTTTGCCGACCGCCATCAGTCATCTTTTTGGTGATTACATCTCTAGCAAGCAATTTTCGAAGTGCCATCCGAGTGCTATAGAAGCTTGTGCACATCAACTTCAGTATTTCCATGTGTGTTATGCCTTTGTTGCCACTCTGGACAATGTGAGTGTACACTTCGTGGCACATATTCATGTTCATGAATTTGTCTCCTGTTGCACCTAATTCCTGTGCTTCATCATCATCATCGTCATCTTCTACCTCATCCCACATTAAATTGTTCCAGCATGCGATGACATTTATGTTAGGATCAATCAATTCACAAACTCTTAGCATTTTTTCTCCACGCTTGGACTTTCTCATATACTCATTTCGGCTAGCATTAGGGTATACAGCTCTATATGGAAGTGAAATGTCAGGTCTAACAAATCTTTTGAATTCAGCAGATTTGAATACCTTCCTAAGTGTTCTATAGTTCTTTTTAAATATATCACTTATACGCTTTGTCTCGCATCTATAACCAGGCATGTTTTTCAGTATATTCACAACTTTATCTGTCAGGATCAAGTTTTTATATTTTATCTTGCAATGAAATCTGCTCAATGTCAATAAGCTACCAACTGAATTCTGATCATCTATAACTGATTTAAAATAAAAATGTTGCTTTGTTATGAAACTATTTTCTAACAAACGCTTTTGATAATGATGCAAAGATTTGTTTTCAATACTCAGAGCTTGAGCTATGTTAGTAAAACCTGCTGTGAGTTCACCATAATATCGGGCTCTTCCAATCCTTTCTAACACACCATATTCTAGAGGCATTAACTGTATCACTGGATCAGTTGTTTCAAAGAGTAAGGCTGAAGTTCTTAAGCATTGATCTGCCACAATCACAACTTGTGAGCCAAACTTTTTCAAAACATCTTGCAGGGTCATATGTTTAACCTCCTCTGTAATGTTCACTCTGGTATCAAATGTGCTGCATGAGCCCTGAACATTTTCTGCAGTAACATAATGGTATGGGTATATATCAGGTGTAGTTGGGACCACATCACACACACTACCAAGTTCTGGATCAATATAGTTATAACGATTGAATATAATCAGTGGCTTTCTAGGTTCTGCTAATTTGAAAAACTGTATATTATCATTATCAAGAATGATCTGCCAAATATATTCTTCAATATTAGTATTTCTGTAAAACGGTTTTTGCAGACAAATTGAAAGTCTTTTCCAGCAAGCCTGAATGGTTATACCATCCAGGCCCTCAAGAGCAATTTCATCAATAATATGAAAATACAAATCCTTGAAACAACAGAAGTAGGCATTTGTTAATTCATCCTCAAGGAACAAGTCATATACTTCCTCTGTTTTTATTTTAAGGCAAACATCACCATTGCTTGCAAGCACAGTATAAACCTCCTCATGTAATGTTACCTTCTCTTGGTCATCTTTACCACCGGAGGGAGAAACGCTCTTGGCATGTATTGGTTTTGAGGACAGTCGTCTTGGAACTTTCACAGGAGGGTCATCATTTGTGTCTCCCGGCTTCAGCCTCCTTTTTTTGGGTTTCACGATTTGTTTTACTTCTATAACTTTTCCCATTTTTCGTCGATTCCAGAAACGTGATTAGTTGAGACAAAATGAGTAATTAACAGATTTGAGAATATTCAAACATTAGTTGGTTCATGCTGCAAGTAGAAATATTTTTGGAAATTGTTTTTTAAGGATGAGGTTATGTTTTTGACAACAACATATTTTGACAGGTTGGGAATATAATAATCAAATCCAAGCGAATAACCAAAATTTCTGTGTTATGTGCCGCGATTATAATATGGTTCAAGATGACACACGGGTTGATGACGTCAATTACACGAATCGCTTGAACGCGTTGGTTTTAACCGCGGTTTTGTTGCAAGTTGTTTATTTTAGAAAAGCGCGTATAGTCAACGCCAAACAAAGTGGCGTGCACGTCATCACGATAAAAATTCCCCGACCTAATGCCTAGGTTTCTATCACAAACAATTGCTCTATTGCAGTTTCATATTAATGTGATATATAAATTGTAAAATGGTCATTACTCTCTTATTATGGTTAATAGTCATATAAACATTGTTATTAAAATATCACAAGTTGCTTTCTGATAAATTTAGACGCATTATGCGAAATAAAATGTTTTGCAAACGCTCCAATCACTTATCGACATGTAAACGCACTAAACCGATTTCACAGCGTTGACACATTGTCACCTTGAAACTTATTTAAACTGGGAACTGACATTTGTATTAATTTTGACACTGAATCAATTTGTGGCATTTCAGATCTTTATAAATCCTTTGGCCCCGCATACTGTAAATCAACAACTGTTTGTTTCAAAACAAAATTATTCATTTTACGAGTAGACAAAGGCAATTTTGGTATATAAAGATGCCCAAACAGTTAAATAGTCGGTGTAAGGAACTCGTGGCCTCGTTAATGCACTACTTTGAGCAAGAAAGGGACAACAACGGGCCTTTGTTGCCTTTAAATGCTGTTCAAGAGGTAGGTTACTAATAATTATATGTAATGTATATTAATAATAGTGAAATTTTATTTCATTTTTTGTAGCGTGTTGCTGCTGCTTTAAAAATTAGTTTAAGGACAGTTAGTCGTATTTCCGAGGGTGTGAAAAGTGATGCAAATTTAGAATCGCCCAAGAAAAAGCGGAGTTATATTAAACGTGTAACCAACACAGCGACATTGGATACAAGTGCCATTCGAGAAGTGATCTATAATATGTATCACAAAAGTAAGATCTTATTATAATAACTTATCAGAAATTTGCATTAATTTGTTAACTAAATTATAATGTCATATTACACATGGTTTCAGAAGAACAAGTTACGATACAAACTTTATGGTCTCGATGGATAACGCCCCTTATCACAGCATGATATTGAACAAAGTGCCCAACAATGCATGGACAAAAAAAAATATCCAAGACTGGTTGACAAATCAAAACATACCATTTTTAAACACAATGTTTAAAACAGAGCTATTGAGTATTGTTGCTCGGTACATAATGCTTCTTAATTATATATATTTTGGTCGACAGTTTATATTTCTTTTGTTTATTCCTATTCTTAAAATAACTGCTTTTTTAGAAACAAACCACCTAAAATATACGTGATTGATGAATTGGCGGAACAACATGGGCACAAAGTTCTTCGTCTGCCTCCTTACCATTGTATATTTAACCCTATTGAGTTAATTTGGGGCATAGCAAAAGGTTACTATAACAGACATATTGGTAGAGATGGTAACAGTGAAAAAGACTGTTTGGATATGTGGAACGAGGCTCTACAAACGGTTACCCCAGACATGTGGAAAAATAGTGTTCGACATACTGAGCAAGAAATTTTTAAATGGTATGAAAGAGAACGAATTTTTGATCGACCAGATATCGAACCTTTAATAATCAACTTTGAGAGTGATGAAGATTCAGATTCAGACAGCGCTGAAGAAAGAAACTCCGACTAACTTTATTGTACAGAAAAAGCTTACACCAGTAGCTTACCTAATTTTAGAATGCATTTTTCTGTATGAATTCTGTAATAAATACCATGCATAAAATTTGGAGGACCCCATTTGGATTTTTATTCAGTACCTTTAAGCTATCAATTAAATATGGTAGTTTCATAGTGTCATCTGATCAATAATTGTCATACTTAATGATTATGCAAGTACAGATCTATAATTTTATTATACTATTATTTTTGTTCTCATTTGAGGTTAATATTGCTTATAAACCTAGATATGTAAATAATAAATTTTATTATTTTACAAAAAGTTTGGCAACAATGTCAATTTTTCAACACACCCACCTTGATGACGTGCACGCCACTTTGTTTGGCGTTGACTATATATAATCTCTGATTATTTTTATTATCACTTAATAATCGGTGCTTTTTCGTCTACAACTGTATATGGAAAGTTTAAATAAGAAACCTTTCATAATATTCATGGGAGAAATGTTTTTTCAGATTTTTTTTTAATGATGGAACCATGGCTTTGTAGCTATGATAACTTTCAATTCTCTAAATTTTTCCGCATGTCAAAGAAAACATTTATTGATTCAGCAGAAATGATGAAAAAAGAAATTAGCAAAACCGTATACAGGTGGATATCATCTAGTGAGTTTATATGGCCATATTTTAATATTCTTGTGGTATATGGCTACACAGGATACTTTGTTAAGCATAGGAACTACATTTAAAGTGTCCCCAACAACCGTAATGAGTATAACTAATAAGGTGCCCCACTTTATGGTAAAACTGAAGTCGGCCTGTATCAATTTTCTCAAAAATGAAGCTGAAGTACAATAACAATATCCAACACCCGGCAAAATTCTAACTTGTCACATTTCAAATAATAACCAGAAATATAAAACTACTCTTGAGTTGGGTAAATACCACAATTTTGCGGTGATAACTATGACATATTCTGATTCGTGACGTCACGGATCTTATAACCAAACTGATAACTACACTCGCTTGAACGGATCGGTAAATACCAACCCAATATGGTAAATACCATTTCCATTTGGTTATCCGCTTGAATTTGATTAATTATAGTCTAGTCAACAAAAGTGTCAGAATGAACATTTTGTTTTAATTTTGGGCGATTCCTATATTACTTAAGTGGACGGTTTCTCTTTTGACACTTTATACTCCAATCGCCCCTCGAGTAGGGAACAGTTGCTATTGTCGCATTTCTGATTTTACGGATCAAATCAATATTCTGCATTGTTTTCTTTTGTATCAGAATCCCCTACAGAGTCCAGAAAATGAGATAAACACTTGAATCAAATCCAAGCGGATAACCAAAATTTCCGTATTATGTACCGCGGTTATAATATGGTTCAAGATGACACACGGGATGGTGACGTCAGTTACTCGAATCGCTTGAACGCGTTGGTTTTAACCGCGGTTTGTTGCAAGTTGTTTATTTTAGAAAAGCGCGTATATAATTTCTGTTTATTTTTATTATCACTTAATAATCGGTGCTTTTTCGTCTACAGCTGTATATGGAAAGTTTAAATAAGAAACCTTTCATAATATTCATGGGAGAAATATTTTTTTCAGATTTTTTTTTAATGATGGAACTATGGCTTTGTAGTTATGATAACTTTCAATTCTCTAAATTTTTCCGCATGTCAAAGAAAACATTTATTGATTCAGCAGAAATGATGAAAAAAGAAATTAGCAAAACCGTATACAGGTGGATATCATCTAGTGAGTTTATATGGCCATATTTTAATATTCTTGTGGTATATGGCTACACAGGATACTTTGTTAAGCATAGGAACTATATTTAAAGTGTCCCCAACAACCGTAATGAGTATAACTAATAAGGTGTTCCACTTTATGGTAAAACTGAAGTCAGCCTGTATCATTTTTCTCAAAAATGAAGCTGAAGTACAATAACAATATCCAATACCCGGCAAAATTCTAACTTGTCACATTTCAAATAATAAGCAGAAATATAAAACTACTTTTGAGTTGGGTAAATACCACAATTTTGCGGTGATAACTATGACATATAACAGCTGATTCGTGACGTCACGGATCTTATAACCAATCTGATAACTACACTCGCTTGAACGGATCGGTAAATACCAACCCAAAATGGTAAATACCATTTCCATTTGGTTATCCGCTTGAATTTGATTTTGGATCAGTGTTACGTTTGTCACACAGTGGCGGATTTAGGGGGGGCGCCTCACTTGCTTTTGTAATCTAACACCATTTTGTGTTACTTTCTGACACATCATGGCGACAGAGGCGTACTAACTATAAGTTATAGCTATGGGATCTGAGCATTGCGACTTTTTGGTATCCTTTGGTATTCCAAACGCGTCCCTCTTTGACATCACTTACGTTTACAGCACAATTCTTACGATTTATGCGTATATGATACGTATATACGAGTATTGTGACAAATCTGAGTAATATATCAGCTAAACAGATTGCACTCAAAAAGTGATTCATGTTGTTTGTTGCTCAATAGTAATTTGAAGTGTAAAGCTTGACTGATTTTGTCGGGGTTGGTGTTGCAGCGAAGCACTATGTTAGATGAACGCCTAAATTGAAAATAGATATTTATGAGACTTGTTTAGCGGTGCGCCTGTGGCCTGTCCAGAAACTGCGTCGATCGATGCTCAAAGTCACTACCACTCGTCGCGCATCTCTTCCCGCGTATGTGTCTATTTATGTTGCTATATTGAATTCGTTTAAATCACAGAACTTCTGCACTACATGTGAATATGTACAGTCATGTGTTCCTGTACTTTTGTTTCGTACAAACATACATTATCAAAATAATCACGATCTAACAGATATAGTTTTTTCCAAAGATTTCCAACATGTTTACATGCGATCAACACCTATTCGAAAACAAAAAAAACTACGACTATGCCGTGAATCTATGTTCGACAACGAAAGTCTGAAGAATAAATAACATCTATAATATGGAATTTCAAAGGGTAATTGACTATACCTATTGATATTTTTATCACTTGCTGATATAATAGAAGTTCTTGATTTCTTCTGCACCAATTACTTGATTTGTTTTACAATAACTAATGCCCCATGGTATGTATCAAACGATACCATCCATAGAGATCTTGACATCCCCTACCTTAGGCATTTCAGCATAGGTATGGCACAACGGCGCAACCAACAAGCGGAATCGCACAGGAACCTTTTATTGCGTGAAGCAGTGGATTACACAGTCGAGGAGATACGCAAACATTCCAGGCCGCGGCTCGCACTGTGAACAAAAATTAAATTCATGTTTAGACATTTAAAAATTATAGTTTTTAAAAACCAAAGACCCAAAATTCAGTTCGTGACAAGTCTAAAAATTTATTTAGTAGAATGTAACAGTTCTTAGATCTAGATCAAATATTTACTTAAAACAATTCTTTTTCTTTCTCTTCTCGCTCCTACTTCCTTCCTTTCTTTCTCCCTCTCCACTACAACTTGTCTGGTTTCTGGGCCACCAGACCTGACAGACTGACGACAGACACTGACATTACAATAACTATGACCTAAAGGCTATAAGGTCCTCCGAACCGCCTTCAGAAGCAACGGGAGTATAGTCAACGCCAAACAAAGTGGCGTGCACGTCATCACGATAAAAATTCCCCGACCTAATGCCTAGGTTTCTATCACAAACAATTGCTCTATTGCAGTTTCATATTAATGTGATATATAAATTGTAAAATGGTCATTACTCTCTTATTATGGTTAATAGTCATATAAACATTGTTATTAAAATATCACATAAGTTGCTTTCTGATAAATTTAGACGCATTATGCGAAATAAAATGTTTTGCAAACGCTCCAATCACTTATCGACATGTAAACGCACTAAACCGATTTCGCAGCGTTGACACATTGTCACCTTGAAACTTATTTAAACTGGGAACTGACATTTGTACTAATTTTGACACTGAATCAATTTGTGGCATTTCAAATCTTTATAAATCCTTTGGCCCCGCATACTGTAAATCAACAACTGTTTGTTTCAAAACAAAATTATTCATTTTACGAGTAGATAAAGGCAATTTTGGTATATAAAGATGCCCAAACAGTTAAATAGTCGGTGTAAGGAACTCGTGGCCTCGTTAATGCACTACTTTGAGCAAGAAAGGGACAACAACGGGCCTTTGTTGCCTTTAAATGCTGTTCAAGAGGTAGGTTACTAATAATTATATGTAATGTATATTAATAATAGTGAAATTTTATTTCATTTTTTGTAGCGTGTTGCTGCTGCTTTAAAAATTAGTTTAAGGACAGTTAGTCGTATTTCCGAGGGTGTGAAAAGTGATGCAAATTTAGAATCGCCCAAGAAAAAGCGGAGTTATATTAAACGTGTAACCAACACAGCGACATTGGATACAAGTGCCATTCGAGAAGTGATCTATAATATGTATCACAAAAGTAAGATGTTATTATAATAAATTTGCATTAATTTGTTAACTAAATTATAATGTCATATTACACATGGTTTCAGAAGAACAAGTTACGATACAAACTTTATGGTCTCAATTAAGAGATAGGGCATTATTTGATGGTAGTGCCACGTCTTTAAGGCGGTTGCTTAGAGATCTTGGATTTAAGTGGCTTAAGGACAATCCGCGACGAAGGCTCATGGAACTACCAAGTATAGCTTTGAAAAGGGTGGAATTTCTAAGGCAATACAATCAAGCCAAGGTTGAGGCCTTATACCAGTTTGTCTTCCTCGATGAAACTTGGATATTTCAAAATGGGACCATAGGTCGCTCTTGGCAAAATGGAAACCAAAAAAGCGTGAAAGCTATTAAAACAGATGGTAAAAGGTATGTACTTTTACACAATTTGCACTATAAAATTTAAAACTAATATATTTTAGATACATTATATTACATGCTGGAAATGAAAATGGGTTTATTGAGGGTAGTGAAGCGATATTTTCTTCGAAAACAAAATTGAGCGATTACCATGGAGAGATGAACCAGGACAATTTTTTGAAATGGTTTCAACATCAGTTATTAGAAAAATTGGAGAGTCCATCTATGATTATACTGGATAACGCCCCTTATCACAGCATGATATTGAACAAAGAGCCCAACAATGCATAGACAAAAAAAAATATCCAAGACTGGTTGACAAATCAAAACATACCATTTTTAAACACAATGTTTAAAACAGAGCTATTGAGTATTGTTGCTCGGTACATAATGCTTCTTAATTATATATATTTTGGTCGACAGTTTATATTTCTTTTGTTTATTCCTATTCTTAAAATAACTGCTTTTTTAGAAACAAACCACCTAAAATATACGTGATTGATGAATTGGCGGAACAACATGGGCACAAAGTTCTTCGTCTGCCTCCTTACCATTGTATATTTAACCCTATTGAGTTAATTTGGGGCATAGCAAAAGGTTACTATAACAGACATATTGGTAGAGATGGTAACAGTGAAAAAGACTGTTTGGATATGTGGAACGAGGCTCTACAAACGGTTACCCCAGACATGTGGAAAAATAGTGTTCGACATACTGAGCAAGAAATTTTTAAATGGTATGAAAGAGAACGAATTTTTGATCGACCAGACATCGAACCTTTAATAATCAACTTTTAGAGTGATGAAGATTCAGATTCAGACAGCGCTGAAGAAAGAAACTCCGACTAACTTTATTGTACAGAAAAAGCTTACACCAGTAGCTTACCTAATTTTAGAATGCATTTTTCTGTATGAATTCTGTAAAATAAATACCATGCATAAAATTTGGAGGACCCCATTTGGATTTTTATTCAGTACCTTTAAGCTATCAATTAAATATGGTAGTTTCATAGTGTCATCTGATCAATAATTGTCATACTTAATGATTATGCAAGTACAGATCTATAATTTTATTATACTATTATTTTTGTTCTCATTTGAGGTTAATATTGCTTATAAACCTAGATATGTAAATAATAAATTTTATTATTTTACAAAAAGTTTGGCAACAATGTAAATTTTTCAACACACCCACCTTGATGACGTGCACGCCACTTTGTTTGGCGTTGACTATAGTTGATTTGTTTAATGGGCAGTTCAGTCTCTTAGTACTTAAGAGTAGTACACACTTGTAGAGACGGTCTAAAGACACGATCTATAGACATCCTTCTTTGTCTCGTCTAGCGTCCATACGATAATGTGAATTTTTGTGTGTAATGGACTGAGATATGTCTCGGGATCCCTAAGAATGTTTTTTTTTTTCGGTTAACAGAGCAATGAAGTTTTTTGTGTTTTAATCTTTCATATTATTACACTAGTTAATTATAAATGCCACGTACTTGTTTTGTTCTCATATAATAAAATATTGAGTTTATGAAGATTTCCGAGTATTTTCCATGTTTTTTTTAAGCTGACATTGACCAGATAGAACACCCCCCTTGGCGATATCCTAAATCCGCCCTTGTCACATTATTGGATTTAAAAGAATACGGAAATTACTTTCAAATGTTTAAAAGTTGCTTTTTACTATGATGTTGAGGTAACAAATATCTTATGATAATATTTAAATGCATTTGTTATCCAGGGAGGGCAATCACATTCTTAGAAGCGTTTTGCATTCAAATACAGCGCAATAACCAAATATGGCATATTAGTCATACATGAAAGTTATTCATTTTTGAAACCGAGAATACCTGTATATACCACAGCATTGATGTAATTTTCCATATACCAAGTGTGAAATTAGGTAAAAAAAAAATAAAAGTGGGTATAAATAATAAATGCAACATATAGGTAAATCATATTCATATATTTATCTGATAATCTAGATCACATTACTGCCAAGCAGTACTAATTTAATGCATGTACATATGTTAGAAGTTTACTGCCTTGCATACCGAAAACACTTAAACTGGAAAACGAGATAATGCTGCTATAAAGAAATACATACTTATTGTAAGTAACTTTTACCAGTTTGTAAGGTTTATATAAAAATCGATACTTCATCTGAGAGATTCTGGCAGTGATTTATTGGGTTTGAAATCATCATTCAGAAAAATGGGCCTGACAATAGACTACATTATAATATTGCTAGGTCTAGCTGGCTTCTATTCTATTGAATTAGTAATCGTGAAAGGGATTTATCAAGTTCGCACCTAGCTTTTCTGAAATGCTTAAGTAACGTTTCAATTTTTTAGTTCCTGGTTCAGATTAACGAAATCAGACTAGGTAGGAGTCAGCCAAGGATTTTGTTTGTTTCCTCATTCTCATAGTCTATAGTGAGGATCAAAGGGCGCATGACAGTTCTGTCAATTAATTCGTAGTTTTCGTGTTATTCTTAAAAAAGCGAGTGTTTGCAAATAATTGTTTTTTCAAAACGCACTACTTCTTACATAATTTGCAAAGAGCAGTACAAGCCTAATGAAGGTAGATGTTTCCACCAGCAATTATTATTATTATTATGTTGATACAACGCTGTCTCTTTGGTAGGCATTGGTAGACAAATAAGTCAAAAGTATGCATAAAAGCTACGCAATTTTGGCCACAAATAACGCAATGTAAATAAAGAGGCTTTTGGCTCCTGATCTATTCGAATTCATTGGTTCACATCAATTCGATTGACGTTTAATTTCTAAAAAATTGGCGAGTAACATACATCGCTATCATGATAACAAAAAAATATCACATGTAATGTCTGCACAATGGATTCAAGCAGCGTATCGGATGAAGATACGCATTCAGACACGTAGATACTTGAGCAGGACTTCAAAATCTCCCGACACCACTTTGCATAGCTTTATATCAAAAAAGCGGCATCTAGGCCTCCTTGAAATGGGTTTTTCGAGTGAAATAATTGAGATACGTAGCATTTACATTGTGGTATAAACTTTTCGTGCTATGTTGTCATGTGAAGGACATGGCAAGTCAGGCGCAAAATGGGCACTTCACAAAAATTATGCAATGATGTTATTTTGATCTCTGCACTCCACTCATGCTTTCAGCGTTTCTGTTACGAAACGTAACCTAGCATATACGTTGCGGTATTGACTTTTCGCACTATTATGTCAGATGAAGGTATAATGGGTAACGACAACAGATGCCAAAGTGAGAACTTTACAAAAGCCCGCGCAGGTGTTATTTTTTCAACTCTTAGATTATGTACCATATACAGTAGCGGACAAAGGTTTGAAAACAAATATTAACATTGTTATGAACTATTTGATATACCTAAATCAAAATTATGAAGGAACAGATAATATGAATGCTAGAGTCTACCTTTGGCTCCCGTACTAATACAAGGTTTACCTTACAGTACTCTGATATTGCGTGCAGTAAATATCAGTGAAAATGGCAAAAGTAAAAGGATTTTCAAAAGATTTAAGAGACAAAGTAATTGAATTATTTAGAATTGGTTTCAGAAATGTTGGCATTTCTCAAAGATTGACGATTTCGAAAATTATTAGTAAATATCAAGAATACGGATCAACATCAGCGCGGCCCAGGTAGGTGCCGAAGTTACCGAAAAAAAAAACGATTATGTTTTGGATCGCTACATCAAACGTTTGTCCCATGAAGACCCTCGAATGCCAGCCACACAGATTTCCAAAAGAATCGTAGAAGAGGGTGCCGAGAATCTTTCTATCAGAACAGTGCAGAGACGCTTAGTGGATTTTGGGCTTTTTGGAAGGCGTCCAGTGCAAAAGCCTCTCATTTAAAAACAATAGTGTTGCTCGGGTTGAATTTGCTAACACTCATCTAACTTGGACAGAACAACAATGGAATACAGTTTTATGGAGTGATGAAAGCGAATTTAACTTGTTTGGATCTGACGGTACGGTATATCTGAGACGTCCAATATCAGTTGCCATCTCTGGGAGCATGTTAAAATACAACTGACAACAAAAACTTTTAAAAATTAGGAACGAATTGATTTAACTTTATAAAAAGTTTTGGCAAAATATCCCAACAGACTTCTGTAAAAAAATGTTGTTTTTTATAAGCAGATGTCAGGCAGTGTTGAATGCTAAAGGCTATGCTACCAAGTATTAGCTATACAGTATTTTTAAATATTTTTGTAAAGTTATTTAATTCAATTTTGTAATAAAAAATATGTTTCCACACTTTTGTGGTCTCATTTTTGGTCATAAAATAATATGACGGTATTTTAATGCTAGTCTGTAGTACCACAGCAAACACAAATTGTCATTTGTATCCTCAAGACTGTAAGCAAACTATATGAGAAAAAATAGTCCTTAATAATAAAGAATAAAAAATTAGAGCACTTTTTAAAAATTACTAAGAATGTTTCCAAACTTTTATCCGCTACTGTACGTTGCGGTATTAACCTTTCACGCTGTTGACAGATACATCATTACTTATCTGTCACATAAACTTCGTAGACATAGTCGTGAGATCGCTGCTGCCAGAAATAGTTTAGCTCTTAATTCTGGTTGCAACCGCTTCGACTGTTAGTTGAGTACATATTTATGTTATATATTCCTATATTTTTATAAAATACTCTCACACTAGTGACATATCTCACCTTGCTAGACCATCTCTAGTGTTCAGCCTTCAGTTTCATGTCAAGAAACAGCATTAGCATTACATTATCTAAATAACAGTTCACTTTGATTTGATAGGTGTATCCTGGGAGACGATTCAGCGTTATTTGTGAAGACACCTACGAACTAAAGATATTCATTATAGCATCTTCATAGATAATATCCAGGATTATTTATTATAACGTATTTTTTTATGAATCTTGTTCTGCGGTTGACTTTAACAGCACACTTTATTTGGCCAACAATTGACATCACATATCTTTCAAGAACATACTTTTCAAGCCATGTCTCTGCATCATACTGAAGAAAACCTAGTAAAACGTCATGGTAACCAACGACAGTCTTGATTAAGAAAACGTATTCCAATTCGCCAGATGAAGAGTGTTGAACTGTTTATTGAGTATTGCGTATAATAAAATTTAAATAGGCATTTAATATTACTTTTTTATCACACACGACTGAAGTCAAAACATTTCAAGCATTCCTTTCCAGAAATACTTTATTATTTACTGTAAATGGACATTACATTCAAAGGTACTTAATGAAACGCCCACAAATTTGAATTCGTCTGATACAGAAGAATTATATAGTATTAAAATTTCATTTACGCCGCTTTTAACGTATATTATACACTTATGAAGTGCTCTCATTAGTGCGGATGCGATGTAAATGAAACGTAAATATACCGCGTGCTTTCTAAACACGCTTAATTAATCTTGTCCACTGTTTTCAACGCTTAATGGATACATCAAATTATTCATGACAAGTGATGCAGCACAGAATAAAACAGTATAAGTTATTCTACATCTAAAATAAGATGCCCATAAACAAAATGCAAGGGTTTCAGAAGGTAACAATGCAAACATAAGGCCGATCCTCTTAATACTCAGGCCTTTACAATAGCATTACATATAATATGCGCTTTTGGTCTTGTTACTTCATAATATATCTCATCACTTCTTCAGACACCGAAGATACTAAGAATTGACATATTCATTTCTCCTTTCTAAAGATAAGCTGTATAATCATATATACTTATAGAGTTACTATTAGTAACATTGAGGTTTAGAGTCAGTGTATTACACCGGATTCTAGCAATGTGCTGAAATTACTAATCATTTAGTAACAAATACTAATGCATCAACATACACAAACAATAATATTTCATTTGTCTGAAGTATTTACAACACAAATGAAAAAAGTACCAGACAAAAACATGGAGTTTGACCACCAGTCAAATTCAACAAAAATTCGTATAGTGATAGTTCGTGTCATGCAGAAATACTTTCTATTTTAGACTCAGGGCCTCAAAAATTGGTGACTTAGCCCCTGTGGGTACGCTTGCCTGTAACATTTTCCGAAAATTGACTAACTTTAATGTATCCAGGATGATTAACAGTATTATAGAATCCCCACTGCGACTTCGGGATCCGTTAAAGATACGACGTCGTATAGGCGGTGTGGGTTAAATGGAGGAAAAGTTGCGCATTTAGATAAATATGAAAAAGGCACTTGGAAAGTTTCGCAATTCACTTTATTTCCGGAGAGAGGTGGAAAAATCCTAATTTTCCCAAAATCATTTTTATTTTCTCCTGGCTTTATTTGAAAATAAATTGCATATTAGCATAGGTCAATAGTTTTTAATTCGGATTTAAAAAATATATATATTGTCATACATTGATATTGTCGAACCTAAGCTTCGGTTTTTGAGGAGAGTCTTTGGAGGACATTCAGAAAATTTTCTAATTTATTGACTATAACAAGCGTTATTTTAGCCCGATGCGATCCGCTCCACATGACACAGCAGCCGTAGATTAATTTTATTTGAAAGCGGTTTAGATATGGCCTATATAGCCTAAAATGTTCAATATTAAAAGGAATTCCGGTTTAAATTTGATCCACCCTTGTATTGAAAAATACGAAACTTTCTAAGTATCATTATCTGAGTTACCTAAATGCGCAACGTTTATCCCATTTAATCGACTTCGTATCACGAAATGCTGAAGCTTACCCACAGGGACTAAGGCACCAATTTTTGATACCCGGTATCTCAAATAGAAAGCACTTCACAGCTTTGCGCCCATTGGAACATTTAATCCGGTGGTCACATTCCATATGTTTTGTGCCTGGTATTTTGATCTACGACTATAATATAGAGCTAGTGTAGGAAGTAGTTTTGTTAAACTTTCTGTTCAGAACAAACGCAATGCTTTAGTTAATAAAAATGTAATGTCACTTTAGCTACACTTTTTAAATGACCTATATAATATAGTTATCATTTTTCCAAAATCCAATCAAAATGTAACTGAAATAAAAAAATATATTACAAACTGAATTTAAAACGTGCAATGTGTTTATTTTTAACAGGAAGTTATAACACTCTACGCAGGTCTTTTAGAAACTAAATTCAAGAGATTTGGTCGTACAGTTTCAGGCACTGTTCGATAAAACCAAATCAAAATAAAGCCTTCAATACGTTAACTCTTTGTATCAGAAACAGATCATAGCATAATCATCTCACGTCCATTCATCGCAAAATATATTGGAGTATCAAATAACAAAACCATACCTAAATTTTCGAGAATGTTGACAAATGAACATTTTAAACGAGTGTTTTTTGTATTTTTTTGCTTTGAAGGTTTCTTTGTAAGAGAGGTAGTGTACAGAAAACAGTATCGATATATCGAGAGCATTACTTAAATTCGGACAATACATAATGTTAAGTGTGTAACTTGCTAAATAAATAGTCAAGCTTTTGTTTATGATTGCACTAAATATCCTCACTTATACTAGGAAAAAAGAGGCGCAAGCCAATTTAGTTGAGTCATACCGTAATGTACAGGGTGTCCAGTGAGAAAGTTCACATTTCAAATTTTAATTACGCGGCAACCGTATACGCGAGGAAGTGGGGAGAGGTCTTGATCGACGCGTTCGGCGTGCGGGTTAAATAGTCACAAGGAACGTTGGACCGGAGTGCAACGTGCTTTTGCTATCGAGGCTGACTTTAAGAGTCGTGATTCTTACGCAGCTGCCCTTCGGAAATTTTGTACTCGATACAAAATTCGCCGACCAAGAGATGCCCCAAGTAAGAACCTATTGAAAAAGTGGTTTAAGAGGTTCCGTGAAAAAGGCTCTACTCTTAGTCAACCCATTCCTGGCCCCTCACCTACTGTATCAACCGAAGAAAATGTGCGTCGTGTAAGTGATTCGATCATTGCAAATCCTCGGCGTTCTGTACGGAAGCATTCCGCTGCTTTGGAAATCCCTAGGTCAACAATGCAAGGCATAATGAAGAAAAAATGGGTTTTCATCCTTATAAAATCCAATCAGTCCATGCTTTAAAGGAAAGTATTTTCGTGACGAGGTGCATTTTCACTTAGACGGTTATGTGAACAAGCAAAATAGCAGATATTGGGCACCAACGAACCCAAAAGAGAAACATCAACAACAGCTACATAGTCCAAAGGTGACTGTTTGGTGCGCCATATCCTCTAGCGGTATTATCGGGCCGAATTTCTTTGAAGATGAAAACGGTCATGCATTGACAGTCAATTTCGAGCGATACAAGGACACGATTGACACTTTTTTTGCTCCTTTTGTAGGAACAGAACGTCGATTTAACAGAAACACGTGGTTTCAATAGGATGGGGCCACTGCCCATATTTCCAGAGAATCGATGGACACGGTGAAAGCACTTTTTTCTCAAAAAGTTATATCGAAGTTTGGAGACCTTCACTGACTTTCTAGGTCACCCGACCTCACGCCATGCGATTATTTTTTGTGGGGTTATCTAAAGTCAAAAGTGTATTTCAATAATCCACGAACACTGGAGGAGCTTAAATAAAACATTCGACGAGAAATAATCACCAATCCGAAGAATTGGCAAGCATTTGGACGGAATGATATTTAAGAAATGAAATCCGCCGAATTTACGATTACGTTGATATAATAAATATTTTGTTTCCATTAAGTTAAAACGTGAAATTTCCTACTGGACACCCCCGTATATAGTGAAATAATTTGTGAGTAAAAAAGTTTTGAAGACCGAAATAATTGTTGAAACTGGAATTTAAGGGTGGCGAGGACCAACCAAGATTCAAAACAATGTTTGTTGCTGTAAACATCAGAAATTCGTGGTGGAATTTGTTACGAATGTAGTAGCTGCATAGCTTCAGTGTAAAGAATAATATCTCATGGTTCGAAGCAGTAGTCCTGAATTCGCTAATTTCATATATTCTCAGCAACATACTAACTTAGTTTCAGGGCCAAAATATCGAATCGTCCAAGATATGTGTGCAATCGTGAACAAAAACAAAATAAAAACATCTCAATGGACAAATGAAATTAACTGTTGTGACAGGCTAGGTTTAAGTGAGTAGTGAAGTTACGGAAAAATAGGTGGTAGCCGCAACAGTGCGCGGTCAACGTTGCTCGTGGGACAAGAACGTAGAAGGGGGAACTGAAGAACGAGTCCAGTACGCGGCGGTCGCACGCACCAAAATGCGGCTATGTATTTTTATGTTTAATTGTTTAATTAATCCTGTATTTTGGGACTAAGATCCCCAATACGGTTGTTCAGTGTTAATACAATGTCTCACAAGTTGGTCGCGGTATTTATTTGTTTCAGCCGTTACCTTACTCACCCTTGATTATAAAGGGTCTCCCCAGGAACACCTGAGGAATGTTACTCTGTAGATGTTGCTAAGCATGTTAGCGAATATCTCGGAAGGTAGAGCTGTCTAAGATACAAATTTTGAAATTTCTTGCTTGGATATCTTACACCCCCAAGTACTAAAAAATAGTAAAATCACTGCTTTTTATTGATGTCATTTTAGACCACCACCTATTTGTGAAAGAAAAAATTAACTATGTTTCGATCTTCATTAAAGCATTGATATTAAAGATAGTACTGAAAGATTACATATATCAAATGATTTTGTGACTATTTTAGAATAATGTATGATGAGTTCAATGAAATATTTTTATTACACAAATCCTCCCTAAGAATGAAAATAATCCTGTATTTCCTTAGAAACCAAAATATTTTCCTTTACGAATTTCGTTATGCTGGTGATGCCAAAAACTGGAGGTAATTAAGGAAATATTAAAAAGATTACAAAATAATTGGATACCAATATAAGATTACATTGAATGATTGGATCTTTCTCTTTTTGCCAATTATGAAATTATTATATTCAGCAAAATATTTGTTGAGTATATAAAGTTGGAGAATAACTGATTTGTGATTATTCCATAATAGCGTTATCAGATTAGAATAATTAAAACCTAAAACATGAATGAAACATTCTATATTTCCAAGGGCAATCAAACCAAAACAGTTATTCTCGATAACGAGTTTAGTAAAACCTAAACTATTAAAATTGAAGTTTTTTAATTAATGAATACCTGCACATTTGCTAGCAAGGTTCAAAGAGACTTAAGATGCATCATAAATATCATTCAATATATACCATGATTATAAAGATTAATTATATTTTGAAAGGCTGTTTAGAACCTTGATTTATATGAAGACCTTACTATAGGGGAACAACTACTGGAGGCTCTGTTCAAAAGAATCACCAATGTAAAATATCCTAATTAAGGCGGTTAGGAGTCTGTGTGATGTATAGGCATTTCATAGCGCGTTATTGTCTAACAATCAAAGTTACATACAGTGCTAAATATAGGCAAAAATAAAAATGGAATGGAACAAACAAAATTCGAAATAAGCACAAACAAAATGAATAACGGGCTAGTAATATGCGAGGCATAACACAATTAGGAAGTCAACAGGAATTGCTATGAAACAAAAACCCGTCCAAATTGAAAACTGAATTCCTGGTTAGAAATATGCGACAGCGAACACAGATAGGAACTCAACAGAAATTGATACGAAAAACTCATTTGACATGAACGAAATGTAAGTTCAAGGTTGGTCTTGAAATTTGATACGTCGTAATTGTTCTACAGTAAAGTCTCAATACACTACACTTAACACCAAGTAATTGTGCGTAGCTGGGATTATACCCTAAGTAACTTATGTTTCAGGGCTTAATTTGGCAATTTTTTGCATGAAGGTGTAAGGAGCCGAAGCATGAGAATCAAATCTCACTTCTAATAAATCCGCGTTAAAACTTTAACCATCACGATGAAGCCATGGTCCAAAGCAGGTGATGTCAAAGTTCATTCGTAGAGAAAGTCGTTAAATTATGGTTTGCCATCGGCAGCTTCCCGCACGTAGATCAGTTACAGCAGGAATATATGTTTTTGCATAATTTTGTTTGTTATCTCGACAAAAAAATACCGTTTGATAATAGTAAAGTAAATTGCTGCTAGCAATAACTTGATACGCTACCATGGACATGTCATGACAGTCAATTGTACTTGAGAAAGAATAATTTTTCTTCAAAGAATCCTGAACCGCACCCGATCCTCAATGAAAACAAGCAGGTTTCCCTAAAAAATGTCATGACACTTGAGCTATATGGTTGGGAGTGTGCGTGGCGTGGACTAGGGACTAACTATACCTTATTCGTAGTCCATTTACGCCCCGGCACAACAAAGATGCAGCACGGCAAAGCATCAGTCGCTTAAGGACAGGATAGAACACAGGCTCGGGGTATCGCCGGCACGCCGACACCGGCAGTTGCTGTTCATATTCGGTGCATACATAGCGTGTGTTTATACGTTAGGATGTCGTCTACGGATACAGCAGATGAAACTGAGAATATTTCTCCCAATGCTTCCTTCGGCATTGCTTCCTCTTCAGTGATGTCTACTCCTCGAAAACGTGAAAAGAAGTGCCATTTAAATATTCAGATAAAAGAAATTGTCCTTAACGTTTATCAGAGCGAAATTTTAGAGCACCCTGAAATGAAAATTCATGATATTGAAAGACGTGTGACGAACAAAACAGGCTTAGGTCCTAAGACAATTTTCAACATTGTTAAAGAATGTTAACAAAAAATTGTCTCCACCACAAAAAAGGCTGAATTACACGAAGCTGTTGGATACAGTTGATAACCTTGACCAGAATGCAATTATACACAAAGTCCATCAATTTTTTGAAAGGCAGGAACTTCCCACCATAAACGTAAAAAGTAGGAGGTTAATAGTGATGAAGACTTACCTACTTTCAAAAGGACCACATTCTATAGTTTACTCAAAGAACTTCATTTTGAGTATAGAAAACTTGGCAGAAATAGTATTTTGATGGACAGCCAAGAGATTATTTTATGGAGAAGAAATTATTTAAAATCAATAAAGAAATACCGAGACCAGGGCAGGAAGATTTATTTTATTTATTAATACTTAGTACTAAAGTATAGGCTGACTCTACAATTAAATCAGCAGGGCCTCTTAGATGGAGTAACCGCTGGCCTAAATAATCCGTCAGATACGTGTTCGTCATTTGTGTTGTAAAAGTGGAGTCAAGTAGACTGAATCTATGAGCCCAAGATGAAAACTAAGCTTGGCTATGTATATCTGGTAGATTTGGAGCCAACACCTGTTAGATACTATGCTTATATTATTATTAGTTTTCTTGAATACTATAGAAAATAATTATTTCCAGGAAAAGTAAAACGATTTGTTATGTCATATTGTCAGTGAAGATAGCTTTGTGCCATCGCCCTATGGGCATTTGAGTCAAAGAAAACGACCGACTACCATGAAGAAATGGACGGAAGTTCATTTAAACGATGGTTTGAAAAAAAGCTCCCAAAGCTTGACGACAATGTCGTCATTGTACTTGATAATGCTGCATACCACACTAGAAAACTAGAAAACATTTCCACAATGTCCACAAGAAATTCAGAAATTCAACAATGGCTTCCATCAAAAGGCAGTTTCAATGAGAATATGGTCAAAGCAGAACTTATCCATCTAGCCAGGCAGCACAAATATAAATATAATCTCAATGTTATGGACGAAATGGTTAAAAACCAAAATAAGACCGTTTTAAGCCTTATCACTGCGAATTAAATCCCTTGAAATTATTTGGGCAAATATAAAAAACTATGTGGCTTCAAACAATATAACATTCAAATTTTTGACGTGGAAAATTTGTTTCATGAAGCTGTCAACAGAGTGACGGCAAGCCATTGGAAAGATTGTATCCGATATGTTAAAGTGACAATCGAAACAAAGATCTGGGATCTGGACAATATGATCGATATTCAAATTGAACCTGTAATAATTAATATTATCCTTCGGACGATGATTCAAGTACTTCCAGCGAATAAAGAATTGTGAAAAGTATGAGCACCTCTTTCTATAAAAATAATCATTTATTTTATATTATACCGTTGAGGAAAATACGGACCTGTACAATCTCGCTTTTGGGCATGTTGTTTTGTCTGGGCGTAAATGGAATACGAATGAGGTATAGTACGCAAATCGACATTATATAGAATTTTATGTAGTGCTCCTGCCGCACACAAGATGACGTATTTACAGGGTGCTTAAAAAATCTACTGCAGTAAATACATTTGACTCCTATGATGTCCTATAATGCTATAAAGACTGCAACAATACACTTTACCATTGTTAAAAGGTAGTTTTTGGTTTAGATGTCAATCAAAACTATGTAGATCGACCTACTTTTGAACTGGAATCAAACGCATTTGCGGCGGCTGCCGACAGGCAACCGTATTTTAAACGCTTTCTCTAATACCCTATAAAAGTGTGTTTGGACCATGGGTTTATGAAGGTAAATAAGATATCATGAGCCTGTTTGGCATGTTTGTTCAGAAATACTAACGCAGATTTTCGATTCTCATTCATAACGTCTTATCTGAAGAAAACACGTTTCAAAATCACTTTAGAAACTACCAAGTTGTTTAGAAGGATATAAATCCCAACCATGACTATTCCGATCAACGTCATGCCTTTTATTAAGACCCTCATGATTCGCCTGACTTTAACAAGAAGGCTGCGTGAAATCCGTATTCAGATACTCGTCGACTAGATCCTCAACCTCCTCTTCCGTTTGCTGAATAGACGGCATGTTCTCAAGCTGTTCCTCCAGCTCGTGCTTGATCGTGTCCACATCATCGTCATGCAGGTGGTCCTTCTCCTCGTCTATGGCTACATCGCAGATGTCATCCAATGCTTCTGTGATGGCGCTCTCATCGTTCAACGGTGTTAGCTCGTTTAGGATGCTCTCCCACTCTTTAGAACTGAGCGTGCCCAGCACGTCGTACAAGGAGTCCAGCTCCGACTGAGTGCTGTCCACGTATTGACTCAGCTGTGCCTTTGGGTTCTCCAGGATGTTGAACTTAGTTTCGCTTACCTACGAACAGTGGTACGTTATACAATTGTTTCGGAAAAATGATACCCCACAAAAAAACAGCGAAATAACTGGAGATTAAACTATATTACGATATAGGGTGTTCAAGTTAAGGACCCAATGCACAGGGATTTCAATACCTGTGGGGGATACAGCTTAGGTCAAATTAGGAAAAAAGTGCGTTCTTTGGGGCGTACTTACATGCCGTTGAGAAAGTGGTAAAAATTCCCCGGCTTACTGAGATATTTTTTGTTTTAAAAGCAACTCCACCATGGACGTCCCCCCAACGCCCAAGTGCCGTCAATTCAAAAGGTTCCCTACACTATGCGGGAGGTAACATTCAGGCATAAGACCGTCAGACGAGTGCTCTTGTCGCTCGACATTAACAAAGCTTCTGGTCCGGACTTGACTCCTGCCATTGTACTGAAGAGGTGTGCAGCGAAGCTTGCTCCAGTTCTTTTGCGTCTCTTCCAGATATTTTATGAATCCGGCACCTTCCCAGAAAACTGGAAATTTGCTCATGTCCAGCCCATCCCAAAAAAGGGATCTAAGACCGACCCTTACAACTACAGGCCTATAGCTCTGCTTTCTGTTATAAGTAAGGTAATGGAGAGGTGCATAAATCGCGAGCTTTTGGACTACCTCGAACGTCACAGCTTGATTAGTGACAGGCAGTATGGTTTCCGGCACCAACGATCCACAGGGGATCTCCTAGCTTACGTCTCGCAATTGTGGAGTAAACTCATCCATTCTTATGGCTGCCCTCTTAAGCAAACTTCCATCCTATGGCCTCCCAGAAAAGCTTTGCTGATGGGTACTTTATCTCTGGGCGCAAGATATCCGTCGTAATTGACGGGTTCTCCTCTTCATCCCACAACGTCAACGCGGGTGTTCCCCAGGGATCGGTCTTGGCCCCGACACTGTTTCTTTTACATATCAACGACATTTCCTGAGTCGGAGTCCAGATCACCGAGGGCCTGATCTGGCATGAACACATCTCGTCAATAGCGGCAGCTGCTGGGAAAAAGCTAGGCTATTTATTTAGGGATAAGAAGTACTTTTCTCCGTATGACCTTATCACTCTATACAAGGCCCAGATAAGGACTAGCCTCGAGTATGGCTCACACGTTTGGGGTGCTGCCGCCCCGACTACATTATTTATGCTCGATGCTGTCCAGAGGAGGGCGGTCCGACTGATCGATGATTCTTCTCTAACAGACAGTCTCGGGACTCGTTCACACCGACGGGCCATCGGCGATCTAGCTCTTTTCTACCGCTACACCAACGGGCTTTGCTCTTCATAATGCCGCCGCGCGATGTGCCTGCCAGACAAACCCGCCTGACTTTGGCGTCCCATCCTAACCGTGTCGAACTGCGTACATCCAGAACTAGCCGATACGACCGCTCCTTTGCCCGAGGGTGTCGAGATTGTGGAACAATCTACAAGAGGCAGCTTTTCCCAGTTCTACTAACTTTAGGCAGTTCAAAAATCGTATTAACAAAATCATCAAATACCAATACAATTACAAAAACAAAAGTCCGGTTCATATTTGATTCACCCTCGTATGAAAGATATACCATATATTTGATTTTTTCTGACCTCAAATCGGTTATTTGTCCAATCAGAGTCGTCAGTCGTATCTATACAACCCCGTTTGGAGCTTCAAGACTCAAATTCAGTCACCTGATCTCCCTTAACGCGTGAAACTATCACATAATTGAATCTTTTATTCCTTGATTTTTAAAAACCGAAGACTGGAAATAATATTTCTGGTGTTCATTTAATAGCTTTGCAGGAACTGTTCTATCAGTGAATGCAAAAAAACTGTTTTTGATAAATACATGGTGGGTTCCTTGGGTTATCCATTTGTAAACACACGCCTGTCAAGACTAATGAACCTACCTGAGACGGAAGCCTCGTTGGTAAATCGCTGAGCACATCTGCATCTATCAACAGGTCATTCAAGGTAGTTTCCGAAGTAGAGCTGCCAGCAATAGCTGAGGTACTACCACTACTGCTGTCAGCTCCCCTTTCTAGCTCAGATGCTTCCGAATTTTGACACTGTACATTTTTAGGCCTCCTGATATTTTGTTTAAGTTGTTTAGAACTTACTAAGGGGGGCTGCAACGTTTTTGATGAGATTTTCTTTTCGGGTACAGCGCGTTGTTGTATAGGTTTCTCTCGCGCTGCTTGACGTTTGTCCTGCTGCGAGCCTGATGCTATTTGTCCGGTGTATGGACTGGCAACAGAACTGTAAAGGATTTTCCGATTATTCTACAATTTCAATATCTATTCACTAAGAATGGCATAAGAAGTACCGAGCTACCGATGTTTCGATAGTATCTACCAAATGGGAAGCAGTATGTGAGCTCTGATGGCACCGCCTCAGACCTTCTGCATATTTGAAACGGGTACCGCAGAGATCAGTACTTATCCCCACGTTATCTCTAATATACATCAATGATCTGCCCTCAAGTATTGATAACGGATCCTGCTTCCTATTTGCAAACGACACCACCTTCCTGTCTAGACCTGACGAAAACAAAGGTGTAGAGTCTCGAACAAGCAAAAAGATGGTTTTTAGCAAACAATTTATCCCTAAATGAAAACATCTTATTACATTTTCCTCTAATAGGTGGGCTGTGAATTCGAAATCGGTAAAACTTCTAGGAATGGCACTAGGTGCCAGACTATACTGGACATCCCACATTGATTATTTACATTCTAGACTGTCTACACAATTATTTATTCTTGAGCAGCTTAGCAAATGCCTTCATATCCATACTTTGCGGGTAGTGTACTTCAGGAGTTTCATAGTCACATTACATATGGCACGATTCCCTAGAGAAACTCAGTAGCATCCAGAAAAGTTCTCATTTTACAAAAAATGGCTTTGAGGATAATTACAAGCTCCCGTTGTGGATCAACACATCTAGAAATTTTACCACTTCCACCAATTTAAATTTTTGGATTCCTATGTTGTGTGCAAAGAAATGTAAATGCTCTGCAGAAATACACACCCATGCACTACATAATGTTAATTACCTAAGAAATCCATGGTCGTGACTGAATTTGACTAAAAATGATAGACCTAACGTTAAATTATATAATTTATTCGTCAACGCATATAAAAAACATTATTTTATTTTTATTAAATAGTTTTAATCGCGATTTCTCAAAGTTTGCTGAAAAACATTACTTAACCATCTCTATTCCGTTGCTAAGTACGTTGATGCAATGGCGTCACTCGGATAAATAATAAATTAGTTTATACGACCTCATATGTACATTGTATAAACATAATGTGGTCAATAAATGGCATTCTATGGAAATTGGATAATGAAGCAATGCCATCATGGGCTGCATCTTCCAAATACAGTAAAAAGACATACAAATGTGAGAATAAATTAAGGTGGCACCACAACGTATCTTAGGATGTAGAGGTTATTACAGACGATCATCGTATCGACAAAGATTTAACGAGGCGGCTATCATAGCTTCAAACAATAACCTATAAGTTAATAAAATCTACATCTGTCAGGCCACTTAACGATCTTTAAAATTTCGACCGTTCATATTTGATAATTTATTGTTAAGCACTTTTTATCTCAACCGAAAATACTTTAAAAATCGATGTATCCCAGCCCCTCAACGTAAATGTGTAATTTTAGATCCAATTGATTCTTATGAACTTGATAATAAGGTGCATGGACAGATCGACTCAAAATCTTTTAGATAAAGCAATGGTTAATCGTTGGGAATATGTTTACTCTTTGGAATTAAGTTGCTAGATTGGAAATATATTGCTGAAAATGGAGGTTCATAGTTTGAGAAGGTGATCGAATCGATCTAAAAAATGTTTTTTGCAAACTCTTTAGAAACGATTATCAATCAGGCTTATGAAAATGTTGACATATAAGCTTAGAATAGCAATATTATCAGTTTTTATCGAAAATGAGCATCATTGTTATGTTAAACCGTGTTGAAATCAATTTTATTATCAAGTTGAATACAATGAAATAAAACACGTTTCCAACCACGCACCATTATTTTTAATATATAGCAAATACTTCTATTTCATTTCAAGTGGTGACTTATCACCATTCTGATTTATAAATAATTGTGGCATCTACTTAGGCTATTTTGTTGTCAAACACGCGTCATTAATATATGTATAGCAAATACGTGAAAAGTATTAAGCAAGAAATCCAACTGGCTCATGTTCAGTTGCAGAGGTCTTATGACTCTCTGAATAATTACAGTTTTTTTCGTACATGTGATTCAGGAAATACTTACGTCTCGTCTCTTTCAAGTGGCGACTTATCACTGTTCTGATTTATGATTAACTGTGGCATATTCGTAGGCTGTTTTGTTGCAGCTTGTGATTCTCTTTGTGTTGATATGGGTTGTGTGGTCTTGGGACTCAATTGAGAGACCAACTGAGGAACTTGGCTTCTGTGTGTCTGTGGACTAGATCGTTGTAACGAAGCCCCATCATGTTTTTGTCTAACAGCTTGCTTTTTGAGTTTAGATTTACCAATCTGTTCTAAGCCTTGCCTAGCTGTGCCAGGTTGTAACTGGGATTTGAGGGACTTTGTTTGTTTTGAAACCTAAAAAAAAACAAAACAACAGAATGTAAACCTAGCAAATACAGAGTGACTCATCTATGTGAGGACAGGCTATTGCTTCCAAGCAAGAACTTTTCAAAGAGAACTATTAATGGGTTATTATATAATGCTATCTGGAGGCATGTATCTTGAATATTCATAATTACACAGTGCTCACAATTTTGACCCACATATCAAATTTGATTATTGTTTAAATGTAATGGCTTAGTTTTTATTATACGTTCGAATAGACCCTTTCAAAAGAAGAATATTGATATAACATAATTATGTATTTTGACCATCAGTTGTTGAGCTGTTGAGTATTTTATGGAAAAAACATCAAAGTTTGATAACCTGGATATCTGAAATCCTGACAGGTGGAGCAGTGGATTCTGTTTCATTATACTAAATTTTAACTTGATTGATGGGTGAAAATTAAATGGAACACTCTCATTAATTTATAATTTTTTGTTTCAACTTGTTATGAGCATTTCTCAGATATAAATGTCCATTTTATTCATATATGAAGTTTTTAAGTTATTTGGACTTGGAATTAAATTGTACACTATCGCTACAAAAATTCCATTATCCCTGAAAACAAGAGATAAAAAGCAGAGTTATAATGAAAACTAAACATTCTTAATTGACTAAAACTAAACATTTTCCCACAAGTTCATGTTTATGTATTGTAAACTGAACATAGATTTTACAATAAAAATTACATTTTGTATGATAAAGAATGACAAAAACAATATTTTGACTCCTGAATTATAAAAAGAACAACGTATCTAATTAAGATATTTAAATGAATCGTGATTTAATATTCTCTAGTATCTATGTGCTTTCTATTTTACAAAATACTGTGTATATCCTCTTTTCTAGATTCAGTACAGTAGATTGTAATTAATGCGCTATTAAGAAACAGGATTTGCGTTTTCAACCAGCCTGTATCAGATATTAAAGAAATTAAGAAATTTTATTCTTTAGGTTAAAACTGGGTACTTGATAAAAAATAATTGGCACAAAATTCACTACTCCTCTTGTCCAGGTAGCAGATATGCTGGATGTCAAACTCTGTTTTTTTTTTTTACATAAAATACCCAATACCTCAACAACTAATAATTCAGACTGATAAGTATGATATATCAATCTTCTTCTAAAAGGTCATACTCATGTGATAAAAAGTAGGGCATCCCATTCAGAAAAATTCAACACGGACATATGTGCCTCAAAACTGCGACATATAATTGTGAATATTTTAGAAATGTATCTCCAGAGATCATATATAATTCATAGTTTTCTTTGAAAAGTTTTTGTTTATGCATATAATCCCTTTGTATTTTTTTTAGAAAACAGGACACGGTTAAAGGTAATAATATAACGGCGTACTATTTGGCACGTAAATCAGTCAGAATAGCGTAAAACGTCCGTACCGCATTCCGTATTACAATACCCATAATTTCCTAAAAAAAATGTTACATATTTCTGTAAGAAAAAAGTGTTAATGGCAATATTCATTGTATTATTAGAAAACAGATTTCGGGTGATTGAATTACAGGATTTTGATACAATTTTGACATATAGGTCATCAGACATGTCGCGTTTTGATACCTCATGGGGCAATATGATTGTTCTTATCTCCAATAATTAATCCTGTAGAGAGTGTAGAGATATACAAAACTTTCACATGTGTTCCATTGAAGTAGTATACTTTAATCAATTATCATTTAAAGGTAATATTTCCAGAACATTCTAGTAAACATTAAGTTAAATAACTGTAAACTTACATTGTATTATTTCAAAGCTTTTTTGCTGTATATTGATTCTAACAAATCTAAACATACGCTTAAAATAATCCTACTAACCTGATGCAAATTCGGATCAGCTTTCTCCTTTTGACTACCTCTGGAAGTAGCAGCTTGCTGAAATCTCAAACTTGAGGATAGTGTTGTAGGTACTTGCTTGATTCCTGATGTTGATACCAGATCAGCCAACAAGGCAGCTTGCTTTCGAGGCAGCACCATTTGGTTCAATCTTGGCACAGAGCTTCTGTGTGTTTTGTCTTCCCTCACTGGTTGGGCTGACTGAAGAGGCGGTACGCTTACGACACTGTGTATTTTCATTTTTTTCGGAGCTACCTCTGCTTGAGTTATTGCAGGTTGTGAGACCCTTTTTTTAGGCAACGCGTGTATCTTAGGGTACTTAATGGAGTATGTGATGGTGTTTGACGCGGGGTTTTTAATCTGATATACATCTTCTAAAGTATTGTTTCTTGATATTTGTGCAAGTTTCCTAGATTCCATTTCTGGTTCAGCAGTCTGTTCTTCAAAGGGAATATCAGTCTGTTGTTCATCTATTATTTCTTCCAAAGGAAATGAGTCGGTCTCTGTGTGGAAAGTTATCAATACCATTAAACAAATTGAAGGTGTTTAAGCAAAACATAGAACATACATATGCCCTCCAAAATTTGAACGTCAATGTCAAATCGATCAAATTCAGAAGACACGATACTGATAAATGAATATCTGAAACTGTGATGTAGCTCATGCCTCATATTCTTTGAAAACAACAAACTATTAGGTTTATTAGATGAGTCAAGTCCAACTATGGAAAAATTACATTTTTAGACATTTGTGGGTTTTATACTATCAATCCATGTCATTATAATGTAGAATATCACATCATTAAATTCAATAAATAGGGTCTGTCTATCTGATAATTTCAGGGCCTACTCAGGAAAGTCTGTTTTTAAATATTATAAGTAATGTTGACAATGCCAATGTATGACATACATTTTTAGAATCAGAATTAAAAACTCTAGTCGCGAAAAGAACAGACAAGAAATCAGCAGCTGAATTGTGGCCAAGATTAATTAGATTAGATGAGTGAATATTTTAGAAATGTATCCCCAGATATCATAAACAAGGAGTTTCCTAATTTAAAGCGACGATTTTTGGGCGCGTTTTAAGAAGTAAACTTAATTTGAATATATGTCCCAAATGTCTTAACAATTGATATCTGTAAGAGCACTTTAGATACTTGAGATTTGGCATACATCTACTATGTATCAAGAGGCATTTTTTAATGCACTACATTTATTATAATATCCACTAGCGGAGATCGTATGAAATTTCACCTGCCTATTCTGGCATTTATGGGAGGCCACTCATTTCTCTTAAATTAAGAAATCCTCAGACATTTCTTAGGAACTTTGAACGCTTGATGTTCTCTATCCGTTACCCGGTTTTCGTTTAAATAATAAAAACTGCTTCTCTGCATGATCACAACAATATTGTCAATATGACGATATCAGCATACAGAGAAATAGTTATTTTTAGGTGAAACCCGTGCGTCGGACTTTCATTCAAGACATTAAATGTATTCATTAATATAGATATAGAATTAATACAGATTTAAATTTTTCCATTTTAAGAAAAGTCGGTAGCTTGCCACAGACTTTCTATACTGAAAACTTATCACACTATCTCAAAAGTTATAAATATCCAGGACATAAGTTCAGCTTTTTTCTCAAAATGGGCCCAGAAATCGATTCCTTAAATATTGACATTCAATTAGGAAACACTCAGTATAATAAGCCATTAATAGTTTTCTTTGAAGTTTTTCTTTAGCTGAAATAGTCCACTCCTTAGGACACCCTGTATGTTGTATATACTAATATGTCACTCCAACTATGAGCCACTGCTTCCAATATTAGTATAACATTAACAATACTATTAACTAATACTATTTGATTTGGACAAATTATGCCAAACACATGACTTCTTGTTACCCAAAAACACTCAACATAAGGATAAATCACATTTAGAAACTACAATAAAGACTTAGTTCCCTGGAACCAAAATTGTACAGCAATATTCAGCAAATGAGTGTAAGCATTTGTTTGCTCCTCAAAAAACCTCCAGACATAAATTATCAGCAAAATAAGAGAACTGCAATAGTTAAATAATAGAGAAACAATAAACAGATAAAACTGTATACAGAAATATATTAAAAGTACAATTAATATGATAAATATGGATACTAATGGACTATTTTGGGCAGCTCTGCGTGGCAATTATGTCCCCATAATAAGTAGAATCCAAGTTTGAAAACCCATGTAGAAATACATTTATGTTACTACAATCTGTTAAAAATTTTATATATATATATATATATATATATATAGACATTTTCAATAATTTCAGTAGATCACAGAAAACATTTTTTTATGTATCTCTCTCATACATTCAATCACGAAATCTAACTTTGCTAAATTTTATGGCATTTATTAATCAGACATTCTAACAAATTACTTTTTTAGGGTGGGCACTTATATCTAGCTTTTGCATATAAACTCTTCACACATTACATAATTTTAAGTATACCAAATGTATAGAAGTATGCAGCTACTGAGAAGTAAACATGAGGAGTGATTACCAAATAAAAACCAAAAATGCTTAAGTACAAAGAGTACAAGATTTACAACAAACTCAAGCAAAACCATAAATGATTTCCTTACCAACATGAAAGCTGCTTTTACCAGTTGTTTTAATCAACCAGTTTATTGATTTCTAAGATGTGATAGCACCCTGAATTTGAATGAATAGACCTATGCATTATCTATTAAAATAAAACATAACAGAGCAATTAGGGCAGTAAAGTATGTTGTCACCTTTTTATCTATTTTGATACTTAGGGCTGTATCATCAGTCGTTCCTACAATTGTAGGATGCCTTTATGGCCTTCTTGATATTCATAGACTTTCCGCTCCTTCAGAAAGGCTTCTATATTTCTAGAGCTCCACGTCAGTGTCAGCACCCTACTATTGTGAGGCTATGTTTTATTCCTGAATTGTAGGAAATATTAGTCTAAATAACACATGATATAAATCAAAAGTATAAACTTGATGCACGTAGATATTTGTAACATAACCTCAAAATAGAGTGCTGACATGGAAGAGTAGAAAACTATGATAATCAAGGAGGCTATAAACGCATCCTACAATTGTAGGAACAGCTGATGATACAGCCCTTAGGAAAGATCGGTGAACTATTAATCATTTGTTCTTACATTACTCAAATCTTGTGAAATGGTTACATCCTTATAGCTCCATTATGACTAAGTTCTTAAAGTACTGACCTCCATCCATATTTATATCTTCAACAACTCTACTCGGACTATTTGGGAACTGAACGGAGTACGTAGAATCATCTCCAATGTCCTCAGTTTTGATATTCAAAATATTGTCTAAGGCTTCTTCAGAATTTAGTTGCTCTTGAATATTGTCATCTGAAGAATCTACATCATAAATTAATGCCCCACTACTTCCTGGTTGAAGATACTTCTCAGCAACCCCTTTGAGTTGTGATGGCTTATAGCCAATCTCCAGCAGAGATGGCCTAGAATTAATATTCCTAGGGTTATTCTTCTTGATGACATTTGGGGTGCGTCTGCCATACTGATTTTGATGGATATATGAAATGAGAAAATGGATGAGCTTGTTGATGATTTTGGTTTGCTTGGAATACTTCACTCGTAAATTATTTATTTCACTCCATAAAGTGTTGTTTTCTTGTTTCAACAACTTTAATTCTTTATCTACTAAGTTGTGTTTGCTTTTGATGTCTTTCATGCCATTTAGAATATTTTTCATATCTTCTTCATCAACTTCTTTGGAGAATCTCGGTTTGAGATTGGGCACTTTTCTGGTAATAAATACCAAGGTTTCTGGCAGATCTTTGAGGAAGTAATGATGGGCAAACTGCATTTCATCCTTCTCTGTGGATGCTATTTTGTGGAAGTCATAGAAGTTTAGCTGGCGCACAAAACTGGACAAATTGTTGTGCTTAAAATAATGTGGTAACAGCTTCATAATAAACTGCACAGCATCATGTATCACAAAACCATCACCAGTAGAATTCCAACTAATTATATCTTGATTATCCTTGTCATTAACCATTTTCCAGAGTTTTTTCAAAAACAAAGGTATATTTACAGGCTGGTTGTCACCGTTATCTGTCGCAGACATTTTTTTTTCAATTCTAAAAAACCAAAGAATTTGCATCATAGCTGGGATATACAAATAATTGCTTACCTGCGTTCAGCCAAAGAAAGTTTTATTTCACTGCTTGTATCTGCTACTGGTTTTTATAGATTTGTTATAATGTTAGGCATACATTCATGCTGAGAAAATGTAAGTTGAGAAGTACCTTCTGTATATGGAAATCGTAAAGTATTCGTAAAAATGTATGTTTACGTACTTCTGCACTCCACTGTGCTAAAAACTATACGATACTGTCGTATTCGCCAATCGCCATATCGCCAATTTTGTCATTTTTGACATTAGCTTGACGCATCTGTAATCTCCTACGTGAAGTGTTACATCACGCATTACGGAACAAACAGATGACGTCATAGGACCTTACTCCGTGTTCCATGGCCCATGTGGTCGAAGTGGTGCCGAGACTGCCGATCATAACAGCATACTGAAAAATTCAAATTTAAATAATGAATAATCCAACGCTGAAAAATCTCACAGATTCAAACTTTGGAGTGCCACCTTCTAAGCAAAATGAGGTTTGGGTTCTTTCTGTACCTATCTTATAAATACCAGCATTTTTAAACTGTGTTTACCTTTTCATAGGTATTGCAAATCCTGGGCGAACCTCATGTGAAAAGCTTTAACTACATGCTGGAAGAAGGATTGGCTGCGGCTGTTGAAGATCTAAATCCAGTAGAATTCATGTTGAATGAGAGGAAGGTTAAATTAATGATTTCAAATTATACAATTGCAAATCCTTGCCTACCTTTTGGAACCATTTGTGTTAAAGATACAAACATTTATCCTTCTGAATGTAGACAGAGAGCCGCTACGTATAAAGGCAAACTTTTTGTGGATGTAGATTGGTATATAGATGATGTTCAGCAGCACTCATTTCAAAAAGACTTGGGTGATATACCAATCATGCTAAAGGTAATGCATTATAAATGGTCTGATCAGTCCCAAAGCAGTCAAGCATTTGTCATAAATTTGATTTAAAAAAAGATAAGTTTATAATAGCCTTTCAAGGGCCAATAGGGAATTGTCCCAAAACCATTTCCATTCAATTTTAGAGAAGGCCATAACTATTCTGTGGCTACTAAAAGAATCAACTATCCTGAAATAGTTCCCTGTAGTGCTTAAACTAAGCTACGAGCCCCTACCCACTTCAGTTGGCCCAACTATTGAAATCTTATTTTTTTTCTTATCAAACACAAATAATAAAAATGTAGCAGGGTGTTATAGGTTTAAAATATTAACAACGAATATTTTGATAATATATAGTAGAAAACACCAACTTTATCACTCGCTAATCAAATTTGCAGCATAAAAATATGTATGTTGCAATTACAGCATATCAACCTATTTTCATTTCAATGCAAAATAAGTCAATAATAATAATAATAATAATAATAATAATTTATTGGTACTATTACACAAAAATGTGTTTTGCACAGGTCATTTAAAATAGAACATAAAAGAGTAAGTAAAAGTAACAAACAATACGGAAATAAGACAAACGTAAAACACAAAGTGGCAATAAAAGGTAAAAAAACTTGATAAAACTATTTTAAAATTTAGATGAACAATAAAATAAGATTATGAAATAGTAATCATTTTTTCATGTTTGTACTCAAAAGTCCTTACACACGTCTGGAGAACTCATCTATGCTGTAAAAAGCTTTCGTCACTAGATATCTTTTCACAGTTGCTTTAAAAATGGTTGAGTTGAGTGTTTGACAAAACTTGGGCAGCGCATTAAAAAATTTCACACCGAAATAATTACTTCCGTGTCTAGTTTTTGATAGTCTTGTGTTCTCTGGTATTAATTCATTGTTGAACCTTGTGTTATATTTGTGAATCTCTTTCGGAGTTCTGTAATCATCGTAATTATTTTTAACGTGGATCAGACATTCCAGTATATACAGGGTGACTTTGAAGTTGAGTCATTAATTTTCAGATAATGATTGTAGAAGGAAGATAAACCAAAATATGTGTGTAAAAAATAAAAAAAAAAAATTTACCTTGTTTTATAAAGTATCCTCCCGACAAGTATTTCAGTGCGGACCTGTATTTGATCGTGAGGTCTTGGAGCACCGGCATGCCGTCCATATGTGAGGTCTTAAGTCAAATGATTCACGAACCCGGACAAAGGCACGAGGGGTTGGTTGCACTCGATTGGGAAACCGATCCGCATAAACATGTGCCATTTTTTATTTCGTTTGAGCCACGCAACAGACAGCACTATTCACTACCGACTGACACTGACTGTATACAACTGAATGAAATAATTGTAAAAACATCGTTCCAAATTCTTTCGCTTTTTTGTTTCCGATGCGATGAACCGATAAGGCGGATTATATCCGTTGTCGAAAAACACGAGCACATAATATTATTATTGAGACCGGGCGGTACTCAAACTTCCAAAGGGCTATAACTTTGTTACTTTAATTTTACCAGAAAAATGGTAAAGGAAAAAAACATTTCTTTTGATCAGATCTACTCACTGTTAAAATAAATGACTCAACTTCGAAGTCACCCTGTATATGCATGGCACAGTTAAAATTTTTAGGTCGATAAATGTCATCTTGCAACACTGTCTGAAATATAAGTTTGCTATTATTCTCAAGCATCGTCTCTGAACAGCAAACACCTTCGATACATGACATGAATGTCCCCAAATCAGTATGCAGTATTGCAAGTTAGATTGGAAGTAAGCATAATAGGCTATCATTAAAGTCGATTTTGTTAGGTATTTAAACTACGTATCATATATGTTATTTTAGATAACTTCTTTGATAAAGAGGTGATGTGTGATTCCCAGGTTAAGCTTGCATCAATAATCCAAGAAATTTCACGGGCTCTACTAAATTACTTCTACATGTATATATATAGTAGAAGAGATTGAGTTTTCGCTATGTTGATTGACAAACTGTTGGCATTAAACCAGTTTTGAATGTTGTTAAAATGCTGCTGAGAATCGAGCAATACATGGTCAAAGTTACTATTGGAGGATATTGATGTCGTGTCATCCGCAAATAATATATACTGATTGATGCTACAGTTTGACAGATCATTGATGTAGATCAAAAAAAGAATCGGTCCTAAGACACTTCCATGGGGAACTCCGTGCTTAATATGTACATTGTTGGATAAACAATTTTGAAAACTAACATACTGTCTTCTATCTGATAAATAAGACGCAATTAAGGACAGGCTATTATTACTAAAACCATACAGCGACAACTTTTGAATCAAAATGTGATCAAATGCTTTTGTAAGGTCATAGAAGTTAGCGAGAGCAAACATGTTATCTTCCAGACATTTGTTGATGAAACTGACAAAATCGTTTATTGCTGCTTTCGTTGATCTGTTGGTACGGTATCGAAACTGGTTGTTACAGAATAAATTGTTACCTTCGAAGTATTCACATATCTGATTCTTCACAAGAATTTCGAAAATTTTTGCTATAATTGGTGTTATAGAGATGGGTCTGAAATTACATGGATCATTCTCACAGCATTTCTTGAAGAGTGGCACAATCTTTGCAAGTTTTAATAAGGCAGGAAAGACATTATTTTCTATACACATGTTTATCAATTTTGTTATAGGATATACTAACAAGTTATTTAAGGTCTTCATAATTTTAACATCGATGTCATATGGATCTTTACTTTTAGAATTCTTTAAGCTTTTGATTGCGTCTCGAACATCATTGAATGAAACAGTTCGAAAGTTGAAATGTAGTGTATCACTAGTCTGTATAAAATCTTTGAAGTTCGACTGGGTAGTAGCTGGAATTTCAGCGATAATGGTTTCAGCAATGCTGACGAAGAGTTTAAATCATTCGCGTTGAGAGTAGACGAATGTGATTTTGATGATTGCACACCATTGGATTTAATCACGTTCCACATAGCTGCTTGTTTATCTGACGCTCTACGTATATATTTATCATGAGCATTTTTTTTCCTAATTCTGATTTCTGATCGGTACTTTGATTTGAATACATTAATCTCCTTTGATACTACTTGGGGATTATCTTTATTAATTTGTGTTATTAGTTCCAAAGTCTCTCTGATCTGAGCCAATTCGTGATCAAACCAGTTGATTTTGTTGCGACAACCCTCTGATACTAACCTAGATTTGATTGGCAAGCACTCAGCAACATTATTTGTTAAGATGTTCGTGAATCGTTCGAGTTTAGTGGTCAGTGGTAAACTAATATCAGACAAAAAGATCCAGTCGACTGTTTCAATTTTACTGTATAACTTGAAAAGACCTTCAACAGTCAATAAGTCTATATAGGTGGCTGTGAAAAATAAAAGCCATAACAATTGTTTTTATTAATCACAGCTGTCAGAATACGTTTAAAATAGTTTTGGGTAGTTAAGGTTTTCAAACTGGGTAGAAGAAAGGTTATTAGTGAGAAAATTTGGTTACTGATAATTAATTTTTTTAATTCTGGGAAATCAAACTCAGAAATTGCAACTTTATTAGACTTATCGCGGTACAGTGTGAGAAATATTGTTAGAAGATATAACGTAACTGGTTCGGTTAATATTAAGCCACGATATATGAAAAAAAGTAATATCACAAATGCCGACCGAAGAGCATTAAGAAGAATAATCGTGAACAACAGGCGTGCCAATTATGTACAATTAAGTGCTTTGTCGAGTGACGCTGTTGGAAGGAGAATTTCGAGGTCCACAACTCATAGAGAGGCCCACAAACTGGGATTTAGCACTTGCAAGGTAAGTTTTCTTATAAAAAAAAGTGAAGTAAAAACCCTAAAGTTGCACAACTTGTTTATAGGCCAAAGGAAAGCCACTATTAACTCCGACCACAAGAAAAATCGGCTTAGATGGGCTAAAGAACATAGACAATGGACACCTCAACAATGCTGTGCAATACAATGGAGTGATGAGGCCCGATTCGAAGTTTGTGTTGGTGACAGTCGCAGTAGAGTTATTTGCAAAAAAATGAAGCATTCCAGAAGAGAAAAGTGAAATTTCCAGCATCCATTATGACCTGGGGCAGTATGTCATCAAAAGGAGTAGAAAACTTCATTTTATTGATGGAAATGTGGATACAAACAAATATTTGGCAATTTTAGAAGAATCACTTTTACCAGTGATGGAAGAATGTTTGACATACGGCCAAGGTTTTGTGTTTCAGCAAGATGGTGCAGCGTGCCATACCTCAAAAAAGACTATAAAATGGATGGAAGAAACTAATGTACCACTTTTGAAATGGGTTTCTACCAGTCCAGATCTGCCATCTATTGAAACTTTGTGGCACGAGATGAAAAAGGTTCTACGACAACATCCTGCTTGTACAATCACCGAACTGAGACAAGAGCTTCAAGAAATATGGGATTGTTTTACACCAAATTTTTGCCAAAACTTGGTTAACACTATGCCCCAAAGAATTTCAGCCATAATAAAAAATACAGGTGATGTTACCCAATGGTAATCTTTTAATTATTGCTTTGTTAACTTCGCGCATTTATTCGCACATTGTTTATTTGTTCAGATGTTCTATTAGTTATAGTTCTAAGTGATTTCAAATATGTATTTTTTACGACTAAAGTGTATCTAAAATGTTTTTGAAAAAATAAATTGTTTTAGAACTAAATGGTTTCGTCATGTTTAGTTTATAAAGGCATATTTTGGTACAAATCTTGAAGTGGGCCAACTGAAGTGGGAAGGGGCTCGTATAATGAAAGTAGCCATGAGTAGATATCCTCACTACATATTTTATTAGATATGTCAATTTACTATGTAGTGCTGCAGAAAACACCTGGCTACACACAACGGCAAATTAGGGAAATCCAGGGAGGGGCACAGATGTCACATCATTAATGTTCAGGAAGATGACATCTCAGTCATTAAAAATTGAGGAGCATGGAGAGGGGGGATGGGGGGTGGCATGCGTCAGCACTTATGTATCACTTCTGAGAGGAAATGCCTTTGTGACAATTGATGAGTGGAGGTGGGATATGTCTCACAATTCAGGTCTAGCAAGGTAATTTTTACACTAAGACACAGCATTTTATATACATTTTTCTTGGAAAATATGGCAGACTTGGGCATCTAGGAGGGCATGTCTCCCTCTAATTAAACCCTTAACAATACATAGACAAAATCTTCACATCTGACAGAATATCACAAGGTTACTCTAACCATTGACAGGTAGAACAAGTTAATCAAATGCTCTAAAAAATTCTAAATAGCATTACATACTTTATTTTAATTCATGATTCTGACTTATCTGATCAATAAACAATTGTTGCTTCAGTCAAATCGTTGCCATCTATCTAAATTATCCCCAAAGGAGTTAGTTCTAAGAGGAGAACATGAACAAGAGTGGGGTGGATATTTTGTAATAAAGGGTCATGAAAAGTTAATCAGAATGCTACTTATGACTAGAAGAAATTATCCTGTTGCTATAAAAAGGAATACGTGGAAACAGAGAGGAGCATTGTTCTCAGAATATGGTGTGTCAATAAGATGTGTCAAAGAAGACCAAACAGCCACAGTAAGTTTGTTATAAAATTAACACATCTTTCATTTCATTTATCTTCAATTTTACACATGGCTGTCTTCTCTGAGAGCCCAGCTGCAATGAAGGCACTAAGTGCCAGTAAGATTACTTCGAGCCTTGTATTGCAATGCCGGGAGGGCCTGGATTGTCTAGCAACGAGGCATCCGGTATCATTAGTGTAGGTACCGGGGCACGCTGGGATAAAGGGCAATGAGACGGCGGACGCTCTGGCGAAGACAGGATCAGTCAGCAAACTCGTTGGTCCTGAGCAAGCTTAAGGGCTACCCGCGCAAGACAACACTCTCAGAAATGGAGAAGCATCTCTAGACATCTCCGTCAGGCACGGGAACTCATTGTAGGGCCCCGAGCTAAGGATGGACGTTTCTGCTTATCTGCTATCAGACTATATACTGGGGTCCATTACTTTGAGAGCTTGGACTCAAGGCCAAACTCAACTTCGCTAGGATGGCGAGGCGTGAGGTCTAGGGACTGTAGAGGTGCACAAGGGCCTGTCTAAGTGGCCTATGTGCTGGCTCCTCATGGTGGCCAGTATGCCTCTAATTTCATGTTTCATTCATTCAATTTTACACATATATTGAATAGTTAACTAAAGTTGATTGAGTGATATTGACAGTGCTAACATTATTACGTTTATATGGTATTTTGAAAGCTGAGCTATTGCATCCTTTCTAAGGTTATATTTAAAAAGTAATTAATGAAAATATTTATTTTGTGTTTTTAGAACAATGTATTGCACTATGTCACAGATGGCAGTGCAAAATTGATGTTTAGCTACCAGAAGGTACTTTACTATGCTCCATTATCTTTAATTTTAAAGTGCCTATGCAACTACAGTGATCGTCATATTTACCAGAGGCTCATACAAGGTTGCGAAGATGATTTGTATTATGTTGAGTAAGTAATAGTTACATTGTTGGTTTTACTACTTTTATAACAATCATACAGACAAAGTGGGATCTATGGAGGTAAATTATTCTTGGTTTCAAACAACATTGGACTCTGCATGATTACTTTTTACAATCTTGATCAAATTAGCCTAACCTGTTATGGTTACCATTTGACAGAATATATGAATTATGCTCTCAAACTGACTACAGTGTATTAACACTGGTTTTGCTACACTCGAATGAGTCATCAATGTCAATTTATTCTGGAGTGGTGTATGATAATACATTTATCTTACCTGCTATGACCCTCTTTTGTAACAATGGTGATTATTTCCTAATGCTCTTTTTGACCTTTTCAACGCTGCCTGAGAAATAGAGAGATTACTCTCACCAATTTTGTAATTGGCCACCACTAATTGTATTATCTACCACCTTCACCCAGTTGATCAATATTTCCAATAGAAGCAGATCCAAGACTGCGTCAAGAGCTTCTGAAAGTGTTATGCCCATCGCAACAGATTTGAAGGTTGACCCATTAACTGAAGAAAGATAAAAATTAAAAATTGCGAAATTGCACATTTAGGCACTATTTCCTGAAATACATTTGTATGGTTTTTCTACAAAAGCTAACTGTTTATGAGATTTCTGACAAATACCAATTGATTCAAATAACTGTTACAGCTGTGTTCAACGAATGTTACGAGAATTGCATGTGGAAAATCTCCACCGAACGGAGGAATGCCGCACATACTTGGGAAGAATGTTCCGTGTAAAGTTCAACGAGTGTCCCGCTTGGTCGAGCGATGCTGAAGTGACGGACTTCATCCTCAGAAAATGCGTGCTGATCCATCTTGACTCGTTCGAGGACAAATTCAGCGCGTTGGTGTTTATGACGCAGAAGCTGTTCGCGTTCGCGCAAGATAAGTGTAAGGTCGAGGGTGCTGACTCTGTCATGATGCAAGAGGTACTTTTAGGTAAGTTGGTGAGAATGTTGTATAAAATTGAGAATACAGATTAAATACTCGCAAAAGGGAAATGACACAAATAATACAAAGGATAATGTGCATTTTGGTAACTAGACCAATAGTAAGTGATACATAGGTATGTATATTGAATGCGTATGTGCAATTTTTTGTCTGTTTCAAGATGCATGTGTTAGAATACAATGTTTTTTAGATTATTTAGTCTGCTACTGGATACAGATTAGAGCAGGCACCGAGAGAAATTCAGTGTGCAGAATATAAGTAGCGCATTTTGTCAATACGTATTAGCTGAAAGTAGACCAAAGATTGATAAAGTTTGGATTTTGCGTTTCCTAAGCCATCGAAAAAGTTGTGGCGTAAACTTCAACAATCAAAAGGCATTTTTTAAGTACTGGATCTAATGAATATAGTCGATTTCTTGTAAAATATTTCTCAAATACAGGAATAAATATGCGATTTCTGCAAGATAGACCACTAAATCATTTAAAGATTACCTAGTTTAGCTTCAAACACATTTTTTTCATTTGATCCCGGGCGTAAAATTTGCGACTTAGTAACATGTCGACCAATCAAAGAAGGATTTGTGCCCTGCTCAAACTATGACTTAAATATGTGATACAACATCTAGATATAGCAGCAATTTTAGTGAAAATACCACTCAAAGTTGTGCCACGGATAATAAAAGTCGTTCGAACAAGTCTGTTTACCGAAATATGTAAGTGAAAAACTTAAAATACCATACTTGACGCCATTTTTCTTCCAACAGGCGGACACTTATACCTTCAGATAGTGAAGGAAAAATTGCAGTCATGGTTGTTCACACTGCGTACGAACTTGATAAAGATGGGTAAATCGGCCGGCGAGTTTGGCCTGAATCAAAGTGAAATGTTGAGAGCGGCCAAGTCAACTGGGGGCATCGAGCACTCCTTGGAGCTCTTCTTGGCCACAGGAAGTATTAATAGCATCTCTGGGCTCGGTCTTATGCAGGACAAAGGTTTGGTCATCGTAGCCGAAAATATCAACAGAATGAGGTAATTTTTGAAATATCAATTTTCTACAACCGTACAAAAAAGTACATATGTCGAGGACTGCTAAAATTGACAGCTTTGTAGCCAAAGTAGTGACGATCAGAGTGAAATTTGTTATCATAGTATTTTCATTTAGGTATTTCCCTACTAGCATACATTTTGTTATAGAAGTATTCAAGTTTAGTTTATTTACATTTAGCCAATTTATGATTTTTGTCAAGTCAGAATTCAGCATTTTTAAAGCAGTGTCTATATTTTCATCTGATATGTATATTAATCTATCATCTGCAAATATCTGAATTTTACAATAATCTAAAATATTACAAATGTCATTAATGTATTAAATTAATAGCAGTGGACCTAGTTTACTACCTTGTGGTACAACAACAGAAATATTTTTTGAGCTTGATAATGTAGATCCAATTTTGGCTTTTTGACTTCTGTCAATTAAGTAGTTTTGTAGAATTTTGAATACAGAGCCTTTAAATCCGTAGTGATGCAATTTTGTAAGTAATTTATCCCTGTCAATAGTCTCAAACGCCCTTTTGAAGTTCAAAAAAACTGTTACTATATGTTTCCTATTGTCCATACATCTCCAGTCCTCAATAAATTCGATGATCTGTTCGTAAATAATTTCTTTAAAGACTTTTTCAACATCTGGCAGAACATTTATTGGCCGCATATTGGTGTACAACTCAGAATTTTCAACTTTCGAAACTGGAGTTATGGTAGAACACTTCAGTTTTGTTGGAAATTCGCCATATTTTATCAGGATTCATATTCTTGCTCCAATAATATCAAAACATTCATTAGACAAAATCTCACTCTTATTTTGATTTGATTTCAATTTTGATATAATCTTCTTGAGACGATTAATGTTTATTGTTCTAAAGGCACTGAATGATGCATTATAATATGATCTAATGGGACATTGGTTGGGATCTCCGTCATTAATTGATCTGATAATGTCGTTGACACTTTCTATGAAATAGGTGTTCATTCGATCTGGTATTATTTCTTCATTTGTTATTACGCCATTGTCGAACTTCATTTTAGATAATATATTTCTTCTAATAGGAGAAACAATGTTTTTTAACGTTTTCCACGTCTGTTTGCTATTATTTTTACTCTCATCAATTTTGGCAGTGTAATATTTTTTTGCAACAGATTGGTTTCTTGATCTTGTGTATTCTAGCCAATCATTTTCTCTCCCAGTAATCACAAACTTTTCATACTTGTTGTCTCTTTTTAATTTAGAATCCTTGAACGTCTGCGAGAACCAATGTGTTGGATTTTTCCGTTTAAAATTGTCTTGACTGTAGCTTCTTTCATGCAAACTTCAACATTATCCAATAGGCGTGTATAGTAGCTACCAACATCAACAAACATTTCAGTCATATCTTGCAGTAAAAGAGCTTTTCGTAATTTTACATAGTTAATATTAGTAATTTCTTCCGCTTTGTTAGCATCAACTTTCAACTTCAAAACATATCCATGAATGGTCAATGAAAATATCTTTGAGATGTACCTAATAAAATCATCATCATAAATAACTTCAACTCGTGACTACTGGAACACAATCTTATAGAGCTTTGCATATACACTGGCGTCAGGGCATGCATGAATTTATACAGCTCCATAGGATAGTGAGTGTTAGTAGTGGAATACCTAAGATTTATTAAATAGTAATATTGATGAAGTAACATTTTTCTTGCGTTTTAAATTTTTGACGACAGGTACATGTCCCACTTTCGAGCAGTCCATAGAGGAGCATTTTTCCAAGAAATGCGTACCACAGAGGTGCGACAGCTGTTACCGGATGCCTGGGGATTCATTTGTCCTGTCCACACTCCAGATGGGAGTCCCTGTGGGCTGCTCAACCATCTTGCTATGGATTGCACCATTACACAACAACCAGATAAACTTAAGGTGAGCTGGGCGCTGATGCATCAGATTCTTGTTTCCGGAAAGATAGTGATATAAATAGTATTCTGAAAGAAAATTATATACCTGTGCATATTAAACAGGCTTTACTGCATCTACATAGTCTTCCGGAAAATTCTGTACGTTTTTAGGTTATAATAAAATAATTTTCTCAAACCTTGGATATACTTTGTGGAATAATGTGATATTCATCATTATTTATGACCTTTTGCCGACGTGATGGCAATTTGCATATTGTATTTACATTTTTATAGGGCGTCTCCTCTCTAGGTGCGAAAAATTGATTCAGCGCTTGTTGGATATCGTCTTCATTTTTGAACTTTTAATGTACAGAAAATTTTGTAATGACAAAAGTAGATAATAATACTAGATCTGGGGAGTATGTTGAACAAAAAGAAATGTTATCCCTCAGAAAAACTTTACAATGAATCTCAGCTTTTCGACTGCCGAAAAATTTATTTTTATCATACAATAATATATTTAACAAAAGATCCAAAATTGTTACTTTATATCAGCCACAACCACCAAACGCGATTCAAAGAAACCTCTGCACTAATTCCTAGACTTAATAAAACTATCAGCCAAAGATCATTCTATTTTCTATGCTCAAAATTTTATAATGTTATTCCTGCAAACCTTAAACATATAAAATGTATAAAACGTTTAAAAATTGAATCAAAACCATGGATCCTAAATCAACCATAAGTTTGTTGACACTAAAAACCTATATGTTATTTGATCATAAAATGATGCAAATTTATACATTTGACTAGTATACTTAAAGAAAATTTGTTGTATTAATATAACTCAACTTCGGTTAAAACCCAAACACAAGTGTACACTTTTTTGGGTATATTATGTTTATTGGACATTTCCGTTATTATTTATACGAACACTTTTTTACCAGTACCTAAAGTATTATATGGTCTGGCATTATCATGCATGTATATTGTTCCTTTTACTAAACATCGCTGCCTTTTTTATTATGTTATCGACTGTTATTTATCTAATTGCTGATATTGCTGCTCCGAATTTAGCTTTTCATTTGGCTTCAACTGCTCAGTATGTATTATTGGTTTTAAAATGTTCCTGGTGAGGCTCAGGTTCGGTTTAAAAGTGAAGGAAGCAGATGTTCCCTGTTCACCATATGCTCTTTTTCTTACATTTTCATATGTGATCCACTTTTCATTCCGATCCAAAAAAAAGTTCGATTTTGCTGCATGCAAGCAGATATCTGCATGTCATGAATCTTTCATTCAAGTTCCTCTCACTTAACTCGTCTTACGCCCATCTCGAAATATTCCACACTAATCCTAATGCCAAATATAGCTCAATGTTCAACTGAGTAGAGCATCCCCGATGTTGTCATGTAGCCATGGATATACTATTGCGTATCTCTGAATTCTATCACAAATCGTTTTCGTTATGGTTGATTTCAGCATGCATACATTCAATGGTAGAAAGATCGAGCTAGATATCCATCAATTAAAGATGTTCGTACGAGTTGAAAATTGTTGATGTCGAAACAGGCAGAATTTTTCGATACACTTACTAGTTTCTTTAGTTTATCTTCTAATTATGTTTCATTGTTTGAAGGTGAAAAACATCCCTACCGTATTGACGGAGCTAGGCATGATTCCATTGAGGTATGGAGAAATTGTCGATGTAAAAGACAGCTATACAGTCCACCTTGATGGTAGGATTATTGGTTTTGTTATGAAAAAGGATGCTGGAAAAATTGTTGACAAACTGAGGATACTGAAAATAAGTGGTGAGAGTATAATCCAAATTTTTTGAGCAAAAAGATAGTAATAGCCATTGGCCTGAACGTGATAAAAAAATTTCTGCTGATGATTTAAGTGAATTTGTTTGTCGTAGGTGATAAAGTGCCTTCAACTTTAGAAATAGTGTTAGTACCGAAGAAAAATACGGTATGTCAGTACCCTGGTATGTTTTTGTTCACGGGTCCCGCAAGGATGATGCGACCTCTTTTGAATTTGTATGCAAAAAAAGTTGAGTTGGTTGGGACGTTTGAGCAAGTTTACATGAATATTGCTATAACTTCTGAGGAAGCATATAAAGGTAATCATATATGTATATAGTCCTAGACGTTTTTGGGTTTGTCTTGTTTTTTTTTCCAAAACGGAATTAAATAATGTTCTACTTTATTTAATTCCAAGTTCATTTTTCCATCAGATGTACTGTTGGACAGTTTTAGTTGCACGATCGCTGAAGCGAAGCGACGGGAAGGGAACTCCGAGGACATTTGTCTTTTGCACGCTTCAATATTTCCGCGTCACAACGCTTCGCGTCGCTTCAGTGCGCGAGCACTGATTAATTTGTGAGCAAAGAGCTTTTCGCTTCTCTTTCCTTTCCTTCTCCTCAACGATCATACACCTTAAGTGCACAGTAAATCAGAAAGAGAGCCGCATAATGCGTAGAGTCGGAATGCAAATTCCTTTTAAATTTTGAGCATAATCATTTCCTCAATAAGGTGTTACAACGCATATGGAGATGTCGAAGATATCCTTTTTGTCAAATTTGGCCCAGTTGATTCCGATGCCTGATTGTAATCAATCTCCTAGAAATATGTATCAGTGTCAGATGGGTAAACAGACGATGGGCACTCCATGTCACAACTGGGATCTTCAGGCGGAAACGAAATTATACAGGTAACTAACTGACTGTATTTTAAAATGTGTTTCCTTTAAGTATCTGTGATGGTTGCTTTATGTTCGCAATAATTGTGGGCGGTGCACAGTGCAAGCTCCAAGTAACATCTAAAGGGTGTCTCAACAAGAGCGCCGGATTTGAATTTGCCGCCGTTTTTTTTGTACAAATGGTATGGTGGTTACTTGATGACATCTGTCATGTCCAGACCACCCAATCAGATGTCATGGAGCAGTATTCAAACGAGCAATGTTTAATTATTGTGAAAACTCACTACAAAAGTGGAGAAAATCACGCGGAAATAGTTCGCAAATTACGTACAATTTTCGGTCGCAATAATGCGCTAAATGAGTCGACAGTTCGCCGTTTAATTACAAAATTTGAGACAAAACTCACGTTGCTGAATATGAAGATGACTGTTCGTCGCCGTACTGGTCTGTCTCCTGAATATATTGTCGCAGTGCGGAAAAGTGTGGCCGAGAATCCATCAGACACTTCCATTCGGCATCGTGGCCAACCAGAATTGAACCTTACCAGACCCACTCTGCAACGAATTTTGCCAAAAGGTCTGTGCTTGCATGCATGCGTACAAGGTTCAAGTGACGCAAGAACTCAACCCAGCGGACCATGCGCAGCGCCGTGAATTCGTTGATTGGGCGCTGGAGCACCACCAAATTGATGCGAATTTCTCGAACGGGTACGTCAATGAGCAGAACTGCCGAATTTGGGGTTCTGAAAACTCGTGTAATAATCGAACAATCAATGCATCCACCGCGAGTTAACGTTTGGTACGCATTGTGGAGTGACGGAGTGATTGTACTGTATTTCTTCGAAAATGCAGCTGGAACTGCAGTAACTGTTCATGGTGTGCGGTACAGCGAAATTTTAACCGAGTTTTTGTGGCCCCAGTTGGATCGGATTGATGTGGAGGATATGTTCTTCCAACAAGACGGTGCGACCTGCCACACAGCACGCGAAACAATGGTATTACTGCGGACCAAGTTTCCAGACCATCGGTTTGGCGATCAAAATCGGCCACCAAAATCGTGCGATCTAACGCCAATGGACTTCTTTCTCTGGGGCTATGTGAAGGAAAAGGTGTAGGTGTACAAGCCACAAACAGTTGAACGCCTTAAAGAAGATGTATGGCGAGTTATCGACGAAATAGATCCACAGTTGCGAAAACAAAACTTTATCCAGAATCTTAAGAAAAGACTGACCCTGTGCCAGAGTGGTGGCCATTTACCGGATGTCCTATTTCATGTTTAGTCGCAGCTATTCCTTTTCATGTTGAAATATAAATACTCGCTTAATTCGAAAATCAAATCTGGCGCTCTCATTGAGACACCCTTTGATTGCATTGATCTCGATAGAAATGTATAATAATTTTTTAGGCTGCAAACACCCGCGACTCCTCTGTTCAGACCGGTCCATCATGATGAAATACAATTGGACGATTTTGCAATGGGAACTAACGCTATAGTGGCTGTGATAAGTTATACTGTAAGTTCTTATTTGTAGAGATTTTTTTGGTTAAACTAATGTATACATAATTTCAATTATTTTCGTAGGGTTACGACATGGAAGACGCCATGATAATTAACAAGGCGTCCGAGGAACGTGGCTTGGCACATGGCTCCATCTACAAATCCGAATTCATAGAACTTGACCATGTCAGCTCATTTTTTACATTGAATCCTGCCGAAGAAAAGTACAAAAGGTAAAGTAACTACTCATAAATAAATTGTTTCAACTAGGGAATTACCGATACCGATATTTATATCGACAATATCAGCCTATTTACCGATAGATCAGGCAATATGGCTGCCTATATGCCGATATATGGCCGACCGATATAAATTAAGGTAAACTAATATTGTCCTTAATTGCGTTAGTCCAACATGTTCATGTTACATTATGTATAAAAAACAAACTCAATCGGCTTTTTCAGTCTTAAGATTTGAGCAAAAGCTTAAAAACAGATAAATTAATACAAAACTAAACATGAAAAATATTATAAAATACAGGAGACATCAAAAACAATGTTGTAAAAATTATTTAAAATCAAATTATGATAATTTACGGATGATGAAGTTTCTACCCTTTCGTGAGTTAACCTACCCTAAATTTCAACGTTGGCAATAATGAATCGGGTGTAAATCTAGTAAAACTGGTTTGTTTTTTGTATGCAAATGAACTTTTCTAAATAAAAGAGCTTTTATCAAGTACAAAATGAATCTGTAGCGTACAAAAAACCAAAACAATATAGCTCTCTCTACCTGGCATTGACGGATCCGTCAGACTTATGTGCCCTTTAACGATATGAGGAATTTTTAAATACATATTACTAGATAATCAGCTGTCATTCTACCGAGATGGATACTCGTGAAATAGGGTATACTTCGTTTGACATTGTCAATGTTTCCCATCCCAGAAAAAATTTGTTCGCTTGGCAGATCCATATATTTGATGCTAATGGCTTTTTTTCGAACATCTGGTCTTCTTTCTCTTGAACCCATGCTTTTCATCTTTGAAATACATAAGAGATGATAGTTTTACGGAAATATCTTACTTATCTTATGGTAAGCCATAAAAAGAAAATGATTTTTTCAATGAACGAGTAAAATCGGTATCAGTAGTGATAGAAAATTCTTGGTTCTCCACTTCAAATATTTGCTTTTGAAATAGTTCTGCTAGTATTACAGTAGTATTTGCAGATGAAAATCTATACTGTCTCTGGTTTCGTAGTTATGATAATAACTACTTAATTTTGTAAATTTTTCTAAATGTGGTGGTAACAAATGATTTTTTAATTTCAATATAAAAATGAGAACTGCATAACATATATTTTTTTACATTTAACCACTGCAGTACTTCTAACATAGACTTAATCTTCGTGAATTTCTCAGAGCGACCCAGTAGTGCTCAGCACCAATATCGTTACATTGCACTTTGTATTCCCATGCACGTTTTGAATACCCAAAATTCATAGTGATGTAATTTTAATAGACAATCATGTAAAATTACAGAAAATTGATTAAAAAAATATGGAAAAGGACGATTATCCAAAATTGATATTGTACCATTAATGCTAAATAAATCTTCAACAAACAAACAGTGACAGAGAACAATCTAATCTATGTGAACCCTGCACGCTTGACCACAGTGAGCAATGATGTATGAGGAACTGGAGAGTTCAGCATGAGATATATATCCGAATATCGAAACGACTCTACAATTGTTGTACAAATCATACAACCGTGTTTGCATTTCACGTTTTTCAAATTGCAAACCTTTTTAGTTTTACATAAGTACCATAATGTTTTGTCTGGAATTACATGTTTTGTGCTTCCAGAAATACTACCTGATTTACAGTACCACTTATTCTGAATCGTAGATTTTTGGATGAAGACGGTCTTCCTTATGTCGGCCGCGTGATGAAAGAAGGTGAGCCGCACTATTCCTTCTACGATTATGATAAATCTCAGTACGTAGTGAGGAATTTCAGAGGAAAGGAGGAATGTTATATCAATTCCGTGAGACTTTGTGAAAACTTGGGAACGAGGAACGCCTGCAGGATTGCATGCATTACATACAGAGTGCCAGTAAGTAACACAACATTAAGTAAAATAATTTAATTCACAGCTAGTGGACTCGAACACGAAGAAATGCTCATTCACACCAGTGTCAAATCGTTTACAGTTTGGGAAAAATGAAGTAAATCGTGATGTAAACGAGATCGTTACACATTCAGAAGTTTGCAAAATTTGGCTAACTACTCCCTTGCACAAAATAAAATCTAATCGACGCTGAGGTTTTCAAAGCATGTTGATAAGTGCATTGCCGTGCTTATGGTCGGCTTAAAATGTTATTTCCACATCGTCATATCTTTTCTACCGAAGAAATCTGCACTCTGCAGTTTTGTTTCATAAAATTATTCTCTATAAAACTCCGCCTTATTTATATAATAAGATTTCATTTCGAAGTGATGTTCACAATATCAATGTTCGGTATCGGAAGCTGATTTCCCAACCACGTCATCGTACATCTATGTTTAACAGATGTTTTTCTCATTTTATCTACCGCTTGTAGAATCACGTCCCCACAAACCTTAAGTCTATGTCTGTGTCAGCTTTCAAAAAAAGTAACAGAAAATTTCTATTAGATGAATTGTAGTGTTTATATTGTTCCTTTACTTTTATATTTGAAATGTTTTTTTTTTGTTAAATCTGCCTAAAATGATTTGACCTTTTTCGTTAAATTATATTTTTTATATAATTTCTTTATATACATATATTTATTTGACGTTTGTAATTACTATTTATTAATTATTAATATTAACTTATATAATTTGGTTAAGAACTCCTCTGTTGTAATTTTGTTTGTTGGGCTAGTACTTTCATCAGTTCGTCTGTTTACTAGTCCCTTTTGCATGGAATTCATGTTGTTTCTTCATTTTTAATTTTTTCTCTTTGTATTTTTTTTTATCTGCAAATAAACGCTATTATTATTATATATTAGGACTATGTAAAAACTGTTTAAGGTATTCACAAGTTACAATGTGTTTACCAAGAATATGTAAGAAGTACTTGATAATTTTATAATGGTAATTGGAGCCCTATTTCAATCTTCCAGCGAAATCCTAGTGTTGGAGATAAATTTGCTAGTAGAGCGGGGCAAAAAGGAATCTGCTCGCAAAAATGGCCGGCAGAAGATCTACCTTTCACAGAAACAGGTAAGCAAAGAGAATATTTTATACCATATTAGGTAACATTGCTTTTATTCTTATTATAATAACAAAATGAATTTAGAGATGAGTTCTTACTTTTGACCCAAATAGGAAGTCAATAATGAATGATTAGAGCAATTTATTGGGTAGACAAGAAAGTAATTCCGATTTCCGCCATTATGTCTGCTTCGTTAATTTTCTGACAATTCTAGAATTTCTTCTGGGGTTTGGTAGTCGACACTTTCACGTCACTGTAGAGAATAATTCCCAGTAAGTTTATTTATAACTGTCAATTTATGGTCAGTTCTAACATTTAGTGCGAAAATAAGCATTTTTGACATGTTTTACTATTTTATTTTCATAAAGCCAATAAACCGTCTGATGCTCACAAAGAGATATGCGAAGTTTATGGCGTTGACTCTTTAACACACTGACGATAAATAAAGAATAAACAGACGGCACGTTTCAGAATTGGCTTAAAAAGTTCATCCTGGAGATCATTCATTTCGACTTGTTTATCATGACCAAATGAATGCCAAAATTACATCCAATCGTCATATAACTGCGAGAGATTGCATAAGGATCAAACGTACCGCATACAACAATTGCATGTGTCTTCGATTTTTTTTATATACCGAAGCAGCCACGTAGGCAGAAGCCCAAATACCGGGTAACCTCAGGCAGATTGTTCCACAATATCTTCTAGGGACAAGGGAGCGGTCGTACCGACCAGTTCTGGACACATAATGTTCGACACGGCTAGGGTGGGAGGCGGAAGTCAGGCGGGTCTATCTGGCAGGCTCATTGCACGGCGGCATGATGGAGGAGAGTGTTGAGGAGCAAAGCCCTTTGATATAGTGGTAAAAGAGAACCAGATCGCCGACCTGCTCGTCCGTGCGAAAGGGTCCCGAGACTGTCCGTTAGAGAAGAGTGATCAGTTGAGCAGCCCTCCTCTGAACAGCATCAAGCATGGATAATGTAGTCGGGGTGGCAGCACCCCAAACATGTGAGCAGTGCGCGAGGCTAGGTCTTATCTGAGCCTTGTACAGAATGGCGGAGTTATGTGAAAAAAAACTTCTTAGCTCTGAACAAATAGCGTAGCTTTTTCTCAGCCGTTGCTCCGGTTGACGAGATTTGTTCATAGCCAGATCAAAAGTTGGTTCCGCACGAAGCGAAAAAAATCACTTAACACAACGAATCAATATTCGCGATGCGCAAAACTTAATACAATAATGGCGATGAAAAATGGATCGTATACAATAACATTAATCGATAAATATCGTGGTCCAAGCAAATGAACCAGCATAAAGTCTGGAAAATATGTCGAAAATGCTTATGTTTGCAATCCATGTTAAAATTGTCAGTAAACAGGCAGTTGTGAACAAAATTACACAGAATTTGTTTCTATAGCAACGTAAAAGTGTCAACTACTATATCCCAAAGCAAAACAATTCGTAATCTTATTGGTGGAAAACGTCCAAGTCAGTTCTCAGACAGTGACTTTTTCTTACCACACCATTTACCTATTATAATATTATCGCATTGTTTTAGGTTTAGTGCCTGACATAGTGTTCAACCCCCATGGCTTCCCCTCCCGGATGACCATTGCCATGATGATCGAACTGATGGCAGGCAAATCGGCGGCCTGTCACGGTCTCGTCCATGACGCCACCCCTTTCCGCTTCACTGAGGAGGATACCGCCATCGACTACTTCGGCAAACTGTTGGTGGAGGCCGGCTATGACTACTATGGCAACGAAACTATGTATTCGGGCGTGGACGGCAGGGAAATGGGCGCGATGGTGTTCTTTGGAGTCGTGCATTATCAAAGGCTGAGGCATATGGTCTCAGACAAATGGCAGGTTGGTAATTTACAGTGTCACTTTTAATTAATAGGACCTATATCCTATATTCATGTTCATACGCGTTGCGGTTATCGGGACTCGTCCAAGCGTCCCTTCCCAGTATCTTAAACCAGTTATAATTTTTCCTCAATAGCTCGTGCATCGTGTGCATATGGACGAAGGGGATAACTAGAATGGTAGTCAAGTAAATTGGATATTTACTCGATTTGTTAGAGAGTAAGCATTCTGTGATTTTATATCTTCAAGTAATTTATCAAGCAGAATTTTGTACTGCAACAGTATGACACTGCCATTTTCAATAAAATTCTTATTTAATTGCTGTCATATCAATCTAAATATTGTATCAGATTTATGACCATGCTTCGAGTATGGCGCAAATGCTTCTTTTTCATTGGTGCATTTTATGACCATGGTCGCTAACTTAGTGTCCGGCCGCAAAGGAAACACTAGGTTTTTGTGGCTAAACCAAGTGATTTATGACGTATTTCTTGATTCAATGAGGGAAATTATTATCTAGTTTGAGAGACATTTTACAAGAAATCGACCGTATTTATTAGATATCACGCTTACTTAAATCGGGCCTAAGTTATTTTATTAGCTGACTTGAAAAGTAAAAGTAGTCATATATATTTATACGCAGCTATGTCAATTAAAATGTCATCAAATGATCGGCTGTTATTTGTGGCATGTTTTGCTTCTAGTCAGTCTCTTTTTCATAAATTTTCTGTTTTTGTTGTATTCAGGTTCGTTCAACGGGTCCGATCAATATATTGACCAGACAACCACTGCAAGGGCGTAAGAGAGGAGGCGGAGTCAGATTTGGAGAGATGGAAAGAGATGCCTTGATCAGTCATGGGGCATCTTTTTTGTTGCAGGATAGACTGTTTCACTGCTCTGATAAAACTGACGTAAGTTTAGTTGTAATAACAATATGTAATGGTTGCACCATGTAACTGGTGAAGCTGTTGTAAGGCATAAGTAACTTATTTACATTGACTCTCAGATATACAGGGAGATATTACCTAAAGCGTATAAATACTATTTGTTTTTCTTGTAAGTAAATAAATAAATATGTATTTTTGTTCTCTTCAGGCGTTCATCTGTAGCAGTTGCGGTACCCTTCTTGGTCCGATAACCGTAATCAAAAGAATGTCAGATAGACCTAACAGAGCTGAAACTGAGGAATATTGCAGGTTGTGCCAAAGCTCCGACAACATTTCACAAATTCAGATTCCATATATATTTAAATTTTTTGTTACGCAATTAGCATCTTGTAATATTAATGTTAAAATAAATTGTGAAAAAATGTGATTCATTGTCTCAATAAAATATGCATCCAAAATATATGATTATCAGTTAAACAACTGCTTATCTCAGCATCCTTTTGAATCAGTTGAATTTTTTCATAATTACCATGGGAAGTGCAGTCGAGAATTTTTTTTACACTGAAGTAGAAATTTTGTTAATCCGATTTTTGAACTGCCTAAGGTTAGTAGAACTTGGAAAAGCTTCCTCTTGTAGATTGTTCCACAATCTCGACACCCTCGGGACAAAGGACCGGTCGTATCGAGCAGTTATGGACGTACGAAGTTCGACACAGGATGGGAGGCCAAAGTCAGGCGGGTCTGTCTGGCAGGCACAACGCGCGGCGGCATCAAGGACGAGAGTTCTGACGAGCAGTCCGTTGGTATAGATGTAGAAGAGCTAGGTCGCCGACGGTCCGCCGGTGCGAAAGGGTCCCGAGACTGTCTGTTTATCATCGCGTGATTATTGCGAGATCAGTACACTGATATATTTCAAGAGAGAGGGAGCATAACTGCTAAGCTGGTAACAGACGGTGAGCGATAATATAATATATATTATAGTCATACAATGCGCTATAATATTATATTATATTATGACTGCAACAGACTACAGAATATATCTTTTCATATCTTTCTAGCAGTGTTGAAGAACCTACCGATTTTTTAGCATTTCTGTGAGTAGGCTGATCTGTGTATTTAAATAACAAGGTATCCCCCATAAGTTAATCTGACGCGCTTGAGTTAATCCCAAAATCCCCTCTTGGGTCCCCTACTATCAGCGATGATACTTCTCCAAGCTGCTTCTTTAATCTCATGATTTTTATACTCGTTTCAGTATGTATCCATAAACATGGATGTTTTCTTACACTCTCAATATCTCCATTTTGTCTATTGCGAATTCCGAAGTGCAAGAACAAATAATAAAATAGCAACATCACACCAAGCCGGCTGCCAACAAGAGCGGTTTGTGGGATTTACGGGTGACGCGACGCAAGAGGGGAATAGATGTAGCGCGATATAGCGCAGAATATCGCTCGGTAAGCATATCCCGAAAGATACGTAATATATCGCTGGGATGTAAATATATCTTGTACCGTCCATGCGTGGCGTCTCAATACCTTTACACATGGTGCGATACTTCTGTAATATGCAGGATATAATATATATTATATTAAAGCTCACCGTCCGTTGCCAGCTTTATTGGGCAGAATAGGTCGAGCGCTCACACAAAACCAATGACAAACCAGAGGGTGGAGTGGGATGTGGGAGACGACAAGACCGTGCATGCCGTCTGTCCCGGTGGCTGGCCGTACAGTACAGAGTTGGCATCAGATTTACACTGGTATTACTGTGTGCTTATTAGATTTGTCAGTTTAATTTCGTAGAATTCAAAATGTCTGATACGCATACAGCTGATGAAGTTGTTGGTATAAGCTTCACACCGCCTAAAAAAAGAGCTAAAAGGCTTCATTTTAGCGCTAGCGAAAAACAAATAATTATCAACATTTATAAATACGAAATGCAAGGAAGGAATGACTCAAGTGTTCGGGACATTTTTTGCAAAGCTGACACCTACATATTTTTCAATACTTGTAAGACGAGAAATTTCAACTAAAATTATATTTTATTTTTGGTTCTATAAAGCTTAAACTATATAGAGATAAGAAATCAAGCAATCATTTTGTTAGGTTTTTAGTGCTTTCAATAGGAGCGGTTTTAAAGTGGCCAAAATGAATTATTTTTAGGAAAATCTTAGCGATGGATAATTTGCCACATCGGTAATGAATGCTTTATGGGCATTTGAATCCAAAGAAACGGGAGACTACCATGAAGAAATGGATGGAGCCTCGTTCGAAAATTGGTGCTCAAATGATCTACCGAAGCTTGAAGATAATTCGGTTATAGTATTAGATAATCCTTCATTCCACACGAGAAAGTTAGAGAAAATTCCAACAAAGTCAACAAAAAATCAAATTCAAGGATGGCTTAAAAATAAAAAGGTTGATTATGATGATACAACGGTTAAGGCAGAATTGTTATAATTTTTCAAGACGCATAAAAATAAATATAACCTGAACATACTCGTAATTGATGAAATGGCCAAAAAACAAAATAAAAGTGTTTTACGACTGCCTCCTTACCATTGTGAGCTCAATCCGATTGAGCTCATTTCGACAGACATAAAAAAAATATGTTGCAGCAGAAAATAAATGTTTTAAATTTTCTGACCTTAAACATATTTTTCATGATGCTATACAAAGAGTAACACCGAATAAGTGGGAAAATGTATCAGCATGTAAAAGAAAAGGTCGAACCTAAAATATGGGAATTAGGCGGTATCATTGATACTCACTTTGCCCCTTCAATCATAAATCTTGATGACAGTGGGAGTTCCACAGCCTCAGATCTAGAGAGATTTTAATTTTCAAATATATGTATTTCCGGTTTTAGATGTAAAATATCTGTGCAATAATTTTTTGTATAATATTTAGTATAAATTATTATGTATTCAAATCCTTTTTCTTTCAACTCCACCTAACTATTCATTTTTTAGTCTAATATTAAAATTAACTGTTTGCACACTAACGTCCCTGTTCAAGCGGTGGTTAGGTATACTTGTATGCATATGCAATTATCGTTTTAATGTGTCAAGACATTTTTTAAAAGCCTGCTTTATAAATGCGCCTTACGACACATTTAGAGTATAATTTCTTGATAAAACACTTCTACTAAAAACAACAATAGTCAGTTGTTTTCTTTTTGGTCATGACAGTTAAATTAAAATATACATTAATTCCAAGCTTTACGTTTGGGCCCTATACATACCTGCAATAATTTTGCATACTTTTTGAGCGTGTCGTAGAACCACACATCATTTATTCTTAGTACGGTCCTGTAACGTGCTCGGCGTTCTGGAGCGCGATCACGTGGAGTGTACGTGAATATGTTTAGGTTTGGTCTCTTTCTTCGATGGATACATAATAGGTCTTATCTGAGCCTTGTACAGAGTGAGGAGATCATGCGGAGAAAAGTACTTCTGAGCCGTACACCAAGCCTAGCTTTTTCCCAGCAGCTGCCGCCAGATCAAGCCCTCCGTGATCTGGACTCCGACCAGCCGAAATGAACGGCTCTTTGGCAGAACTCGGCCATCCATCTAACTCGGATCATCGCTAGGTCGCTTTTTAATTTGTCAAGGTACAGTACTGTATTTTCTAAGCATTAAACTGTACAAGAGCGATGCGTGCTCAAGCAGTGATAACCTCCAGATCTCTCTTCAGAGGAGAAATCGCTGCTAGTCTTCTTTTTTCCAGCTCACCGGCAGAGAGACCAGCTTATCGCCCTGAACTCCTGCATGTAGAGTGCTGTCATCAGCAAAGATGTGGATTGGGTAGATGGTACAGGGAAATTTAAATACTGAGTGACTTAGCTTTGTTGCTCTAGAGCGGCAAATCGGCGATTTCGATCGGTCCTCGGCAAACTGGATATCAATCGACATAGAATTTTCGCCGATACCGATATATAAAAATGCTGATATATCGGTATACTTGTACAAATTTCTTGTACGCATGTCTGCACAAACGAACTTGAACAGTAACATTTTAAATCAGAATGATTGCTTCCGTTGTCTTTCTCAAAAAAAAGGATGATAAAAGACACATAATCTGGTGAAAACACAACCCGCACTTTCAAAATACAAAAATAAATTTGCAAGAATCTATGTAATCATACTACGTATGCACTTGCGCACTTGTACAAGTGACTGTATAGAAATTCAAACACTTTTACCAGCAATTTTTTCCATGCTCACCGCATGTAAGCAAGTCTTAACATTCACTTAGTCTGTTTTGGAAGCATCAAGTGCAATGCCTTATGGAAATCTCAAGGGCTCAGAGGGCTTAACCTGTGCTGAATTTAAAGGTTCCCCCACACCGCCGCGATCCAGTGATAGCGGTAGCGTCTGCGTTAAAAATCGCATTTAGCCGTTAATTTAGCGCGATAGCTGCACGTTCACACCACCGCGGTACGGCAGTTTTCTTATCTGCGCGATATTGTTAAACGTTTTTTGATTCCTTAGACAATATGTCTTCTGGTGAAGAAGAACTATTATTATTATTGGCCTTAGCGGAAGATAAAAGGCGAAAAAGGTAAGTATTTAGATGATTATCATTAGTTAATAAGAGGCAGCAGCGGTGTCGTAGTGATAGACGGTCTCCTAATCAGTCGCCGTGTGCGAGAATTTTTCTCTTGGCTATGGATGTTGTGATTGTCTAGCTGGTAGACTGTCGAACGCGGAGGTACCACCCGGCGGATCTGGTAGACGGAACCAGAATGTGTGCATGTTGCATTATCACGTGCTCCCTCGCTAGAGTCCGTGTGGGTCACCCCTTTTCCCTGTATTCCCCTATAGCTCCACGGTACCCCATCGGTTTTAGGCCTAGGCTTTAGTGGTAGTTGGAATATAAAAAAATATAATAATTAATAATTCTGTTTGAGTAAAAAGAAGAAACGGATACATGATATCAATAAACAAAGAAGGATATGTCATACTTTAATGCCCGAGTTATGTAGAGATCCACAACGTTTTTACGTTTACTTTCGAATGACTCCAGATTGTTTTCATGAAATCTTAAGTGTAATGTGATCCCATACTTTATATTTTTTCCTACAAGTTTAATAGTCTTCGTGACATAAATCGTACAATACTCGTATTGGGTACTTCTTAACTTGTTCAATTAATTTCTCCGATGGACATCCTGAAAAACGTGGCAATATGCGATACGAACCGCGTCAGCAGCGTTTCTGAAATGATGAAAGATTTCATTAAAACAATCGGGAGTCATTCGAAAGTATACGTAAAAACGTTGTAGATCACAACCTAATTAAGGCATTAAAGTATGATATTCTCCATATATCCTTCTTTGTTTATTGTTATCATGTATCCATTTCTTTTTTTCCTTTAACCACAATTATCAATTATTTTTTTTATACTTCCAACTACTACGAAGGCCTATGGTCTAAACACCCATGGGGTACTGTG